TTGAGATTCCGGCCAGTTTTTGGGGTAGGTCCAAGAACAAAAGTGGCTCCAAATAGGGTGTTACACCTAGGGTAGGAGTCTTGAGCCCTGATTTGGAGTTTTTCTGGCGAAGCGTTATCGCTTTAGGCACCACGCGCTGCCGGCGAGTGGACAGTAGGGTGGGAACCACAATCAGTCCTAGAATAATCCCTTGGTCCTCATGAGCGCGTAGGATTTGGCGGGTCTTAATTCGGATAACGTTTGAACCCCAAACGGATCTCGCCTAGTGGGTGAGTTCCGGGTTCAGCAGGTTTGAACTGTTGGATCGTAGTCATGTTCAAGTATGTTGATCTAGGTAGTTCCAGGATCGTATAGTATTTGACAGATTGTAAAACGGAGTCCCGAATACTCCAGGAATGCCAGCCCTAGAGCTAGGTGATGAGTCAATTTTATATTATATATTTAACCCCATTCTTAGTATATTTTGGTTAATATTTTGGAAGAATTTTGATACTTTGAATTATATTTCCAATATAGTTCTTTCAACTTCCTCTAGAGCAAAACATAATCAAATGGACGAATTTTGGCGTAATTCCAGTTGGAGGACGTACGTGAGTCACTTAGCTTGATCCTATCAAAATATCAGACTTTTCCACCAAGCGATGATTTCTTGGCGAATAAATGAAGGAGCAGTGCGCTGTGCTGGAATAGTGACATTTTGGGATTTTATTGAGTTTTTGGAGCCCAAGATGACCTCGGATGGGTTTGTGGCCTTCTGGAGAAGTGTTTGGAATATTTTTATCTTTAAAATGAGCTATCTTGGGCTAGATTTGGAGGAGATTTGAGACTAAAACGTGGCTGGACAGATTATGGGTAGATTCTCCTAATCCAATTTGAACTTTATTTCATAGTCTTATTTTATTTTAACTTAGTTTCCTTGTGGGGATTGGGTAGCTAGGTTTTAGGAGGTATTTAAGCTCCTTTTCACAGCAATTTAGGGAGTTCCTTTTTTAACTTCTTTTTGGCTTTGGGAGCAATTGCTAGGGTTTTGGATTTTCTCTACTTTCAGATGTTTTCATTCGAATGATATTTTCTTGGATTTCAATTGTGATTATGTGTAACTAATTCCTTTTGCTAGGGCGAGGCCGTAAGCCTTAGCATGAATATGTAGTTTTATTAATTTGCTTATGAATGGATGCATGTTTGCTTTGAATTATTAATCACTGTGTTTAAAACTATCTATCTATTTTAATGACTGATCACCATTAGGATATGTAGACAAGTAATTTGATGCAATTTCTGTTGGAACATCACCTTAAAATTGAGGAAGGCTTCTTGTGATTAGTAATTGTAAGTTCACTTAAGGCAAACATCACGCTCTTAAGGGTTGCATGGTTTTTCAAAGGGTTTTCACAAAGCTTAATGAGTCTTGCATGTTTATATTTGATCTGAACATCACAGACGGATTGCATGTTAGATATACGTTTTCGCTTGAACATCACAAGGAAAATATGCATTAGGAAAACCTAACCTTCAAAGCATATATGTGGAAATTCATAAGTAATTGATAGAATTGCATAGGATTGCGACGGTGTTGGCTAAACCCTAGTTTTCTCTAAATTGTTAGTCTTTAAAAAGAAATCGTTTTTCTTCTTTGCTGTTATTATTTCCCAACTTTCAGATTTCTTTTATTGTTAGTTTAATCTTTTCAAATTCATAAACTTCAAATCTTTGATAAAATCTATTTTAGTTATTAATTAAGAGTTAGTTTAATTACAGATTAGTCAAACAATCTTTGGGGACAACGACCTTGCATGAGCATTTATACTACAATAACCTTGTATTCTTGCAAGTATTTTCAGTGATTTTAACCCTGTTTGCGCAGGTACTAAAAATCCTATCAAGAAATTGGCATCGTTGCCAGGGATTGTTTAAACTAATTTGTTTTTATCATATTCTTAGTTGATTTTGTTTACACTTTTTCTGTTGATTTGGGCAGAGATGAGAGAGAGCTGAGTGAGAAGTTTAGGGTTATGAGTGAAGGGGTATGACTGAGAAATATGAGTGAGAAGGTATGAGTCCGAAGAGGTTTCAGTGAGAAGATCTGAGTGAGAAGAGGTACAAGTGAGAAGATTCAACATGTCTTCGTCTTCATCTCCCGCTCAAACAAAGAGGTGTCAGTATTGTGGAGCTGTAATGGTGCTTCGGGTTTCAAAATCAGATAAAAATCGAGGGAAGCCATTTTGGAAGTGTCTAACCTCCTATGTAAGTTTTCATTTCTAGAATATGTATGTGGGTGAAAAATACCTAGGTCTAACTCTGACAGAATTATTTTGCATATATGATGCTTACAATTAGGGAGCCACCAGTTGCAATGGATTCGAATGGGTTGATGTAACCTCCGCTGAAGCAGAACAGCAAAATGACACGTATGATGCTACAGTGCTGAATATGTTGAAGTCCATTAAGGACTTGGTATTAGTTTTATTAGTTGTATCAATTGTCATATTATTTGTTCTTTTAATGACCAATTAAGTGCACGATTTCAAGGATTGTAAAAGTTCTCCCCAAAAGGACACGTTGCACACACCACCAATGAGTTTTCAAACCCATTTTGTAATTTTTGTTTTTGAAATAGGTGGAATGGCATTGGGTTTAAATTATTGTTTGAAACAAAAACATTTATTTGTCTGAAACCCAGCAAAAAAATTTCCAAGACTTACTTTAAAAAAATAAAGTGATACGAAGATGATAAAATCACAATACAGGGCCAATACGATGCAATAATAAGACAATACTTTTTTTTTGAAAATTGCATAATTATTCAGTGTATATAGATTGTTTATTTGTGTATACTTAAAGTTTATTGATTGTTTACTACATGTAAATCGCATGATATTGAATGTTTATTGAAGGTTTATTGATTGTTTACTGCATGTATTTCACATGTTATTGCTCCAATATTAAATGTTTATTGAAAGTTTATTGATTGTTTACTGCATGTATTTGGCATGCTATTGCTCCGATATTGAATGTTTATTGAAGGTTTATTGATGGTTTACATGTTTATTGAAGGTTTATTGATTGTTAACTGCATGTATTTCGCATGTTATTGAATCGATATTGAATGTTTATTGAAGGGTTATATTGATTGTTTACTACATATATATCGCATGTTATTGCTCCAATATTGCATGTTTATTGGGGGCAAAAATACCACTCAAGTAAGATTTAAGGAGTTAGATTTAAGGGGGGAAACGATCCTTATTCTTTCTTTTAGTAGGAAGAACAACTGTTAAGTAGAATTTCCTATTCAATACGAGTTCCTTATGGTTGGTGTAATTGGGGATTGATGTATATTGCATGTCCACTGTGTATATTGCATGTCTATTTCATGTATATTGCTTCTCTGTTGTGTGTATATTTCTTGTTTGTTGCTTGTGTATTGCTGTTTATTTCCTTCGTAAGCAATAAACAATCAATACACACGCAATAAATGTAAGATATGCGACAAGCAATATAGATGCAACAGACATGCAATATAGACGCACCAATATACATTACTTTTATGCTACTGAGCTGCCCAATACCAATAAAATAAAGAAAATCAACGAATTTATTAACCGATTATAAAGGAAAGTGGGATTCAAACCTGAGGAGCGGTATAGAACCAATAGGGAGTTTTTATAGCATGCACCTGGGAACATTTTTTCATGTGTTTCTATAAAGAGGGCATGGTTGAATAAAACATTGGAGGCGAGGCCATAGCCGCCTATTCCCCTTACAGAATTACCTTATTAAGATGCAACCCATTGCGATTAAGTCAAGGCATGTTGAACGGCTTAAAGATTGGGATCTAATATTTGGAATGGTGGCTTGGATAAATGATGACATATCACTTTTCAATGATGTAATACACTTAAAAAGTCATCAGTCCCCATTCACATATGCATTCTTCAAATCCCAATTCACATATGCAGTCTTCAAATCCCAATTCAATGCAGTTTGGTTAAGGTTATGTAAATGTCGTGAAGGAGTTAGGTCAATATTACACAGATGTTTGTTTCATTAAATCCAAAAAAACTTTACACTCCAGTTGCACATTCTATGTAATGGGAATTGCATGTGTCTAACTTCAAAAACGCATCTGCCTATCCATTTAGATTGCCCACGTGCAATAGATTTACAGATCCATTTACTTTTCTCCTCACCAAGCCAGCATCTCCATTTCAGATTCTTCATTTTTCTGTCTATGCTCTGCATCCAGCTCCATATACATTTAGCACAATATGAGAATAAATGTAGCATAGTATCACACTAATCGAAATGAAAGCATGCATCCGCTATAATAGTTGCCACTATTTTGGTTCTAACTGTTATTGTCCAATAACTTAAACATAAAATTATGTACAAAAATACACTAAGATTGAAAAAGACGAAGAAGAATTGAGGAGCAAAGGTAGAATTCGAAAAGGACCCGTGGTTCTCTATTGTGTATTTACATGAGTTTGAAATTGGACATTCCCAAAACCTATTTAATCATCATGTACCTAAACCAAGTTCAACCAATATCATGCCAATGTACCTAAACCAAGTTCCAATATCATGCTAATGTACCTAAACCAAGTTCAACCAATATCATGCCATGTAAGCATCTCCTCGTAATATCTCTGCAGCCAACTTCAACTGAAAAAAATGCATCTTCTGCGAGGTGCAAGTAGCTAACGGAATCTCAGCGCTCAAAACCTCAATGTACTTCAACACGAACATGCCACAATCGCCTCTAAAGCAAAACAAGAACTCGATCAATTCAACTAATGACATTCTAACGTAATTGACAATTTTAAGTAATAAAATTAAATAAAGAGTTGTGCTCACTGATTAGACTGTTGCAGAACATCCACACGTTCTATTGGCCACGGACACCACCAATCTCGGCTGCAATCGTTTGCGTAAACACCTTCTTCATAAAAGTCGATGGTGTTGAGAAGATTTGGAATCGTAATTGAAAGCGGGGTGAGTTATTCCTTTAAGATCTCATCTGGAATAAGTGAAATCATTGAATCGTACACTTTGATTTCACACTTAACCAGATCAATCATTACAGCCACCCAATGTTTGTACTTCGTCAACATACAAGGGGCATACACCTTGCCATTTACAACGTTCAGTAAATTGTTTCTAATTTTCCACCTAACCTGCTCTTTTCTTCTTTTATTATCCGCAAAGCAAGTATGGATGTGATTCTATGAAATAGAAAACAATCAATGGTTAAACACCTCCACAAAGCAAGTATGGATAATTTGTAATTATTAACTGCACTTGGCCAAGGCCTATGACATACCATAAAAAATACATCGGTCGTTGTCCAGTCCGATATTTCTACTTCCTCCAACTCTTGTTGTCGCTTCCGGATGAGATATAACCCCAAATCAATGTGCTGCACATGCTTTTCATGTCAATCTCATAATCTATGTACATTAAAATAAATGCATAATCAATTAAACTTACATCTCCTTTCAGCCAACCGTCAGGTTTGACGAGGGAAGCAAAGAATTCAATCTCAGCTTTCACGTTGCCAAATTGCATCACCAAACTACGAATATAAAACAGTTTTAAAACACAACAATTAAAAAATACATGCCTTCTATCTCAAAAAACAAGGGACTTACTTTGGGTTATGGCGCCATTCCCAACAAAGTTTTAGCAATTTCACCATATCATCATGCGGAATCGCCTTCATTGGGTCTAACATCCGAAGTCGGGTTGTCTCTGACAGATTTTTTTGAACCAATTCACTAGTTTCAATGATCTTCCACATAGGAATGATCATCTTCCTCTTCTGTAATTAGACCACTTGTTCCACAGCTTTACCTTCATCATTCAACCAAACGTTCAACTAAGATAGCATAGCTATAGGTTGATCCAAAGTCGGGTTTTTTGAACCAAGCAACATAAATTCATCATCCTCTTCCTTTTCCTCACTTCTTTGTCTTTTCACTTCCTTGCCCTCCCTTTTTTTTCTTTGCGAATCCTCTCCCTCACTGCTTTTTCTTTTCACTTACTCTCCCTCACTGCTCTTTCTTTGTGCTTCCTCTCCCTTGATGCTTTTTATTTTCACTTGCTCTCCCTCACTTCTTTTCCTTTGAGCTTCCTCTACCTCACTTCGTTTTCTTTGCGCTTCACCCCCTTCAATCCCCTCCTCCTCTTCCTTTTCCTCTCCCTCAAATTTGTTACTTGGCCCTTCATCCCATCGAATGTCATCCATTTCCTCACTTCTGTTAAATAGATGTGAGATGACACAACGATTTGTCATCTCTTTCAGTAAAGCTAGGTCCCTCCTTACTTCTTGCTCAAACTGAGGACCTAAACAGTGATCCAAAAGTTTTTCCATCCGTATGACCTTTAACTCAAGAACATCCTTTTCCCGCTTTACTTGAAACTCAGACCTCAACAAGCTTACCACCTTGTTCAACTCATCAAGGTCAGCACATGAAAAAGGAATTGACTCTGCCGAGACAACAGCAGGGCAATCCTATGGCCAACTCCAATATGGTTGTCTCATTTCCTCTTCACTCAGACATAGCGCCCGCAACTGAACTGACTGTTTCAGAATACAGACAAGAGTCATATTCAATCATTCTACTTCATAATTTCATTGAATCATATAAATAGTTTCAAGGTCTGTAAACCAAACCTCTTTGCTCTGGAAAAAATAATTGTTCAACTTTCTCATATCGGGAACAGACATAGTAGTTCTCCATCGCAAAATACGCAGAAGAGCTGTCGGATCAACAACCTTGCAGTAATTCAGGTCCACCATTCTAGGAATTAATTCATATACCCAAATCTACACAATTCACAGGACAAAAGTCATTATTTAAGTTTTAAAGTCCACAAAACATAACTAACATGAACATTATTACCATGTACCTGGAAAGCATACGTGAAACCTTTAAAACTCCAGCCACCCCTTTGCACTTCACCATGCTTATCCTTCTTGCCCTTCTCATTTCTCCGGCTTGTTCCCGTTACCTTACTTTTCCCCTTCCCTCTTCCCTCTTCATTTTCAAAGCTTTTCACATACTTCGTTGGTGCAGAAAATAGACTGTCTTGGGTTTTGTCAAAGGACACCAAACCCCACGGATACCTGTTGAACGCATCCAAGTCCTTTACAAGGGTCAAGTAATTTAGATTGATGTTCAAATGCTTGTCCCTTCCCAAAACCACTAACTCAACAAAGTAAACAAGAGCTAGTTTGTAGATGTCATCTTCCTTTGTGCACCTCAGAAATGCTTCTTCTAAAGCATTACATGTAATTCCTTCGTCTATAAAATATCTTTTCTGAAGTCTAATTTCATCACTTTCTCCACTGGAAACTTCAGGCACTTCCCCAAAACAAAGCCCTATAATCAAACAGAAATCCTGACGAGTGAACTGAGCAACGTCGCACCCTATTAAGAAACTCAGTCCATCCAAGTCTTTCACACCCTGCCCTACTACTCTACGCAACACAACCCCATGCACAATCTGCCCGCTAAACTGAATCTTATATATATTTAGAAGATGGCCAAAGTATGATGTCTTGAATTCTTCTAATTGTTCAGCACTCAACTTCACTCGAATTGCAGCTAGGGATGAATTTGCATGTGAGCAATTGTTCACCCGTGGCGAATATGCCTCTGACTTTGGCCATACTAGCTCCACGTTGGATCTCATTTCATGAAATACAAGATGAAATAACGTGAACACATATACTACCACGTATTTGCATAATCACATTGGTATTTACACAACTAGTCAACCAGGCACATTACAAATTTTACAAAGTACATGCACATAGGGATTAATGATCACAGGCTTTAACATCATCAAAGCAATATGACAAATTTTGTATACCTATTAATGCAACAATTCTATGAATTACAAGCAATTTCATGTGTTTTATTTATGGATCCAAACTCCAATCAATGGTTCATGCATGAGTGAGTGTGAGTGCAATCTAGGCAAGTTTTGCACTTCACACACATGACAATTATTGTCATCTCATACACAATACAAAATAAATAAATAAATAAGAAATATGGTAGAAGGAAGCAAAGCAAAGCATCTGCAATGCTATCTGCTTGCTAAGCCATAGCCACAATTATTATTAACATGTTATTGATATGTTATTGACATGTTATTGACTTGATTTTCATTCATTTTTTAACATATACCCAAGAAAAAATTAAGATGCAAGTGAAGCACCAAGAAGAGATACCAAATCCAACAACATTGATGGTACAAATTGGGGAAAACCGTTACTCTAACCCTAAACTCAAATTCCATAAATTACTCATCAAATGCTTTGCACTTATATTCATGAGTGTGTTATTATCTATTCTCATTTTTCTCAGGCAAATTTAGTAACAAAGGAAATAATATTTATTTCAAAAAATATATATATTCTAGCGCCAGAGAGATAATCTGCACTATGCACTGCTTCAAATGTGGAAGGTTTTGATTCGAGGGCCTCCTCCAATTCAACACCATTATCTTATTCATATCATTATTGACATGTCATTGATATGTTATTCATATTTTATTGACTTCATTTTCATTCGTTTTTTAACATATACCCAAGCAAAAATTAACATGCAAGTGAAGCACAAAGAAGAGATGCCAAATCCAACAACATTGATGGTACAAATTAGGGAAAACCATTACTCTAACCCTAAACTCAAATTCCATAAATTACTCACCAAATGCTGGTTATTGAACAATCGCAAGGTGTCTATGTGGGGTCTTTGTGCGACTTTGCTCCACAAATGGAACTTATCACTTTCAACGAATATGGCTTCTCTCCTTCTCCTTCCACTGCTTCGCCCCTTCACTGTTTCGGAATCCACACCTTTGCCCCTTCCACTCAAAATAAATACTTTTTCAGGGTTTGGAGAACGGAGTGGCGTTCAACCGTTGCCTTCAACTGTCGTTAACCGTTGCCTTCAACCGTCGTTAACCATTGCCTTCAATCGTTTCTCAGAGCTTAGTGGTTTCTCAGAGCTTTGGGTTTTTAGAGCGATGGGTTTTTTCTATTCAAACTTCGAACTTGCCTCTCTTTTTTTTTTTCGGACCTGCTGGATATTAAATTCGGGTTTGGGTTCCTCACCTACCCGATTGTAAAACTTTATCTCAATTCTCCCCAGCTCTTGGATGATCTGATGGCTATAAAGTGAACCCCTTATAACTTACCCCTCATTATAGTCTGGGTGACAATAAGATGCTATATTGGACTTGAAATACACTTGGGCCTCTATTTAAGATTTTTTGACACTCAACACTATTCACCAAATGGGATCATAAGCGGGCCCAACCATCAATGCGATCCAATAATATGAACCATTCATTTTTAAGGACTCATTCAATGATAATCCTAATTTGAAAACATTTAGTCATCTAACAATAGCACAAGAAATAAATACACATGACATTTCCATAAAAATAGTGAAAATTTCATTATGATAATCAAATGGTCCAAACGATTCCAAATTTTACTGAATTTTTGAAGCGATTTTTCTTAAATGGTGATCTAAAAACTAGATAGTTTAGATCATTGAACCATATTGAGTAGTGTACTAATATTAAAAAGAGAAATACTACATGATCAAGAGCTAGTAATGTGGGCTTGTAGTTGTTGGTGCAGGTTCTATCCACTTTAGTTTTGTTTTTTTTTAGCATATTAGGTTTATTGCCCTTTTGTACATGTCAAATTGAAAACTTTTATTTTCTAAATCACAATTTAAAGATCCTCTCTATGAAAAACTCAATCAAATTTAAGATATTTTAGTCATTTAAATTTATCAACTAAATGAACGGTTCATCGTGAAGATCTTAATTATTACCAAAACATTCAATTTGTTGAACACATATGAGTTACTAGAAGGTCTCCAATTTAATTATTTTTGTACATAGAATATATGGTGATTTTAAAAAATGATCCAATTATAGTATGTGTATGCTAAGGATTAATTATTCACAACGGGGTGGATAGAGTGGTGCACCTATTGAACATATTCGGCTAGTATATGTGTTCGAGCACCCTTTATTCGCAAGCCAGTTTTGTACAAGCAAGTTCTTCCCATGGTTCCTATCAATTACCTTCATAGCCGGTTACACTAGACAAACAGTGGAATGTTAATCTTAACACTCAGTGGAAAAATAGAATATGACTTTGACCACTATATGAGCTCTTTGGCTCTTTTCCCTTGCAAGTTGCTAGTCAAAACAAGAAAAGTTTCACTCTCTCTCTCTCTCTCTCTCTCTCTCTCTCTTTCACACATACACACACACACACACACACAAATTCATTATGCAACCTCGACAATGGATTAGCATCACCACGATCTGTGCAGCTCTCATCCAAGCATGCTTAACAGAAAACTCGCTCCCAGAGGCTGATAAAAATACCAGTTTGCCACGTCAACCACAGGCCAATTTCCAACAATATGCAGGATATATAACTGTGGATGAAAAGCAGTAGAGATCACTTTTCTACTACTTTGTTGACGCAGAAACTGATCCTGCTTCAAAGCCTCTTGTTCTTTGGTTTAATGGAGGTGAGCTTACCTAAATTCTTCCACATGCTTTAAAGACTGTTGGTCTTTGGCCAACTTATATGATTTTTTTTGTTTTTTTGTTTTTGAGAACTTATATGTGCATTAAGCAATGCTAAAAAGACAGAAATTGAACTTTCTGAGTTTTGTAGGGCCTGGTTGTTCATCTGTTGGAATTGGAGCTTTCGGTGAGCATGGACCTTTTAAGCCAAGTGGAGACATTCTGCTCAAGAATGATTTTAGTTGGAACAGAGGTAAGTAATCTCATTAATTCTATAATCACAATGTGGCACTGCCATTGTTAGTTTCTGCTTCGAATTCACGTTGATACTCTGTCATCTTTACAGAAGCAAATATGCTGTATTTGGAGTCACCAGCAGGAGTTGGCTTCTCCTACTCAGCTAACAAATCATTCTATGATTTCGTGAACGACGAAATAATAGGTTGTCACTTTATATGACTTTCTCAATCCTCATCCAACCAAGAAGAAGCCAAATAGAGAGACTTTCTTTACATATCAAATTAAGAATTTTTTAAACTTCATTGAACATCTCATGGTCTAGTTCATAGAGATAAAATTATGCCATATAAATGATCGTATCTAGCAAAATACTTACTATGTTTGCTCTCTTTAGCACGAGATATCTCATGTTCCTTCAGCACTGGTTCGACAAATTCCCATACTACAAAAACAAGGATTTTTTTTTATCATCGGAGAGAGCTATGGAGGTAACATCATTCACTCATAACCACCATTTTCTATCGCTGACTAACTAGCACTCAGTCTAAACAACTCGATATGTCACCAGGCCACTATGTTCCATAGCTTGCACTACTCATTGTCCAATCAAAACTGAAGTTCAATCTGAAAGCAATAGCAGTAAGAAAATGAAAATTGAAAGAGTGAAATGAAAGTTTCTAAAGTGACTTTGGTGTTGATGATTTTGATTAAGATTTGTCATGCTTGAGCTTTTATGCTTGCAGATAGGCAATCCACTTTTGGACTTCAACCCTGATCTCAACTCAAAAGTGGAGTACTTGTCGTCGCATGTGTTAATATCCGATGCGACCTTTGAAATTGCCACTTCAGTCTGCAACTATTCTCAAATTTATAGACAGAGTGTAATTCAAAATGCTCCGCTTAGCCCTGATTCTACTACAGTAAATAACCAAGTTCATACAGAAGTCAGTAAATTTATCAACAATTATGATGTTTCTCTTAACGTCTGTTTATCATCCGTTGTTGCTCAATCTCAGATGCTGAATCAACTGGTAAGAATTTTTTTTTCTCCTTTAATTTGTTTGGAATTCTGTGTTTAATATGAACTCAGGTACATCCGCGGCAAAACACAGAGAAGCTGGATGTCTGCATTGAAGATGAAACATATACATACTTCAACCGACCAGACGTCCAAGATGCACTTCATGCTCGGCTAATTGGAGTCGAAAACTGGACAATGTGTAGCAAGTAATCATCTCACTTCAAGTCCTTTATGTTCTTTGTGCTTTCGCCTCTGCATACCGGCTTCTAACTTTGATTATCCTCTTTCGCAGCCGAAATGTTATCAAGTACGAAATGCAAAATCTAGAAACACCAATGCTTCCTCTTTTAGGTGCACTTGTAAACTCTAGAATCCGGATTTTGGTTTAAAAGTATATCTATACCATACTTATCAATGTTCAAAAACTCTTGGTCATTAACAATGTCATAAAGTCTTTCACAACTCATAAAAATCATATCTTAAATTTGTTCAGTGGAGATCAAGTCTCTGTTACCCCTCTGATAAGTCCATATTGTACATATATTTTATGCCTCATTTGCTTATTTATTTCTTGATTTTCTTGGATTAAATTGTTGGGTTTAATGTATTTTGTGAGAATTGTGTAGTTGGTCCCTAATTAGAGGAATTGGAAGAAAAGTTGTCAAATTGGCCTCAAAAACCATTAAGATGTACGACAAGGATTAATTGGAGACAAAGAAGATGTTTCTTAGAAGGCAATCAACCAGTCAAAGCTTAAAAGAGGAAGTTTGGTAAAATCCTTGTGGAATTTGGAGAAGCAATCAAAGAGATATCGGGAAAGATATTAGGGAACCTATTTTTGGTAGTATTTGATTGAAACTATGTTAAGGATTTGTGTATTATAAATAGCATAGGGCTGGCCTCATAGAGGGGATCCATACTTTTCACTACCCGAAAATACCCAATTCTTGCAAAGAGAAGTCCTGCTGCCGCCTGCCACCTTGGAGCTTTTTGGGGGTTTTCGAGTTCATCTTCATGTCTACCATCAACAACTCTGTGATTCTCAATAAGTTTATCATGTTCTAATTTCCTTTTAGCTAGGGCTACGATGTAGCCTAGCCATGAATACCTTATTTCTGTGTTTATGTTAATTTGATATTATTTTCCATGTTAAGTATCTTTTATCGTTCTTAATGCTTTGAGTTCTTGATCACCACTTAATTGATTTGATGCTTGAGTTGACGATAGGAATATCCAACTTAGGATTTTGCTTCTAGTAATTGGTACCACAGGTTACTTGAGTGAACTGGAAGGTTAATCAAGGCTTATGTGGTTTCCATAAATTTCCATAGAACTTAATGGGTTTCTACTTCTTAGTTCTTCATTTAGGCATAGAATGGGACAGTTGTAGGAATACTTTTGGTATAGATAGGCATGTCATATTGAATAATTAATAGAAATTTACCATTAACATGGATAATAATTAGGATTAACTGGTTACAGGAATAGGGTAGAATTGGCTATGGTGAAATCGGAACCCTAGTGCTAATACCATCAGTGTTTGCCAAATTTTATTATTGTTTATGTTAGTTCATTCTTGTTAATCAAAGCCTCACCATTCGAACATCCAGATAAAACTCAGGATTAATCAAAATCAGTACTCAGTTAATTAGTCTTAATCTCTACGGAACAATACTTACTTAACACTACATTATTTTGCTATGCTTTTGTGTCTGTTGGTCCTTTTTTCCTCTCCTCGTCCTTTTACCGTCCGCGGGGGTCGGTTCAGCTCTGAGGGATGAAGGAGGAGTTTTAATGGATCAACACCAGTGTCCCGTTCAGATGGTGTCTCTTGGCTTGCGAGTGTGATCTTTTCAATTTCTGAACAAAATTGAAAGTTGAATCAGCTACTAGAGCCTGAGGTCTTGTCGAACAGCTCCTTAGGCTACCGATTCTTGTTGTAGCATAGGCATGCCACTATTGGGTAAACAACCAGCCCAATAGATCTGGTATGGGTGTGTGTGATTGATATTTGTGAAGTTTGCGCCTTCTCTCTGGACTTCTTATCAGGCCACTGTGCTCCAGGGGGGGTACTGGCCTGGATGGGCTCTTTTCTCTGCCTCGGCTAGGAGGACTTCCATATTCTTCTCTTCGTGATTATCACCCTAATAGGTGCGAGCAACACCTGAACAGGTAATAGAGGAAGACCAAGTTTGTGATCAGTAAAGACCCTGCCTGGTCTTTATTAACCTGTTTCAATATTTCTCCTGTTTTCGGACTCGACTGGTAGCTATTCGGGTTTACGAACAGTAATCGGGCCCAACTAAACTTCCTATCCCTTCTTTTATTGTATCATTCGGGCCCCTGTTCTTTTCGGGCCCGAATATCAATATTTCTAGCTTTTCAAAGTTCAGGGAGGCGGGAGTCCAATTTTAGACGTTTAAAATGGTTCGAAGCCCGTTTTTGTCAGATTATCAATTAATTAATTACTGAGTTTTCTGCAATTTGTAAGTTATTTGCAACCTCCAATTAAACAACAGAAAATTCATTGGTTAATCCATTAATTTATCCTTAAATCCGAACAACCAAGTAAAAACAAAACAAGAGAAGCTGGAGATTTCTCAATCTAGTCCTGAGATTACATGAATTGAAACGATTTACATGTTAAAAGAAAATCATACCATGGTGATGGCAGAGCTACGAGAGATAATCACAGAGTTTGTTGACTGGATATGTTAAGAACAAAGTAAGCAGATTGCGATTTTGAGAGAGTTTTTTGAAGACTTTTCGTCTGGTTTTGGAGAGAGAGTCCTCTTTTCCTGAAGTAGACCTTCGTTATTTATAGGGGAGGATGAACTTGTAATGACAGCAACTTCGACAATACCTCTGGCTTGTAACTCGGGATCAACCACTAGTTTGTTGTTCTAAACCAGTTTATAGAAGGAATGATGGAGGGTCCTTGGCAAGGACCACTAGTTCTCTTCATAGGGTTTTCTTGATTTGACTTTCTCGAACTTGAAAACCTGGCTGGCGATTTTGATCTTCTGGTTTTGGGGGCTTAAGTACATCGTGCTTTCTTGCTGGGTGAGCAAGAAGTTAGTTTGCCATTTAATGTGATAATCCCCTTCAGCCTCCCACGTGGGTTTAGGAGTCATACTCATCACTTTTTGTCATGTAGCATAAGTTTAAAGCCTGACTTTTCTGACCTTGGGCCTATTTATGTATTTATTTCAAATAGGCCCATACTTGAGAGGGGCGGCTTTTGGGGGATGGATGAGTGCAAATGAGCCTGGCCGTATCCTTCAAATAGTGTGACTACTTTTGGTCCATTTACCAAAATTGGGTACAAACATTGCCCCCTAGTTTTGATGGGCTTGGGTCAAGTCTATCAAAATTAGACCCTTTAGCTTCCTGGTTATGTCTTATCATGACGGTACACATTTTTTGAAAAGTATGCGCCATCGTAGTGGTGGCAATACATCAACTGTCTCCATGTCTCACGTCTGGCAATTAATTCGGCCTGCCAAAAAGATAACCTCCCTATTTCTGGTTCTTTGAACTTCATCTCTGAACATACCCCCTTGTTCTTTCCTCTCCTTCCTATTTCATAGTCGTTACTTCTCCTTTCTTGAAAAAACTACCATGGCTCCAAGACGTTCGAAAGGTACCAAGGTCTCCACTGCAAACCCTCGGTGGACGTCTGGTGTAGAAGCTGCGAAGCATGCCAGCGATTTTCAGGCTGCTCTTGTGCAGGTGCAGTCAGTTAGTTCGGAGAAGCTATATTCCCCTTTCCCGCTGAGTTTGAGAGGTCCCTACAAGAATCCGTTCCTGGGCCCGCATTATTACCAGGCCAACCCCAAAAAGTTGCTGTCTTTGGACGCTTGCTTAGTCAGAGCGCCTTTCGCTTAGTCAGAGCGTCAACTGGGGGTCGTGGGATATGCATTTGGAACGGCTAGGCTTAGATCCCTCCATTCCTCTTCCGGAGGATTTTCTTTCTTGGGCCGATTGGGTGGATGCGATGCTGCCCTTATTTAAGGATAAATGGATGTTGAATGGCATTTACTAGGTCATCATGTTGTCGAAACATCAGATTACTCTGAACGCTTCACTGATAAGCGCCGCTTTGTGCTTTTGGGATAGCACTTCAAACTCGTTTGCCTTTGGCCCTGGGCCCATGACTCCCACTATTCTGGACATGGAGGCCCTGTTTGGCTTTAGACCCCACGGGCTTAGTATCAATGCCTTAACTTATTTTGAAATGAAGAATCGGAAAGTTATGGTACCAATGAGGGCTAGTGCGTCCGAAATTATGCGTCTGAAGATGTATTCGGGCTTCGTGATGACCTATCAAGGTATGGATGATCCAAATCAAGAGCACATGATGTTTCTGCTCTTTTGGTTGAACAAATTCGTTTTTCCTCAAGCTAATGAAGTCGTGAGAACTGAGTTTATGCATTTGGCTGAGGCTCTTCACAATGAATCAGACTTGGCGACCGGGCCTTTTATGTTGGCGTCGCTATACCATTGTCTTCATCGGATTACTGTTGATTCGTTCAACTTGAATGTATGCAGCCCTATCTGGATGCTTCAGATGTGGCTGGAGTGGTACTTTCCGGAGCTGGGGAGTGCAGGCTCGGAATCTTTGGAACCCTCAATATGCGAGTCGTCAGTTTGGGCTTGTTCAGGCCATTCCTGAATTACTATATAGCTCAATTAATAGAGGGAGCTCATGGTGGAACCTATCGATGACTCCTCAAGAAATTGGGTCAACGAGGTCTTCGGGGCGGAGCCGAGGTGAGAGAATGAGAGTACCTCCTTACGATCCTTCCCCACTTTGCACCTCTGCATTCCACGAGTTTTAGTATGACAGGCTATCTTCCTGGCTACCTGAGTCTACGAAACTCTTCTATGCCTCAACGTTCCAGGACTGCCCTTTTGCTAGATCAATGACTGAACAAGAGGAATACCATATGCAGCACAACTTGGTGCGCTACCAAGGCGAAGCCATAATAGGTAAAAATGTACTTTCTTTAATGCTTGCTTTTCATCCTAGTTCAGTTACACCATTTCTAACAATCTGGATTGTTTTTGGTATTCTGACAGAAACCATTACTGACGAACCGTATGGCCCTGATTTGAATGGTAAGCTCTTGTTGATTTTGATTTCCTTTCAGATTCTGAGCGGAACTAACTGTATCAACGCCTCTTTTGTAGTTCGAGATGTTGTTCCCGATGATGCTGATAATCCAATGTTGCCCCTTAGCTCTCTCGGTCCTCCTTCTGTCCTTGGCTTGAGATTGCTAGATAAAGGAAAGGCTCCCTTGGAGGGTCCTAGTGAAGATGATGAAGATAGTGATGATGGGGAAGAGGAGACACCGCTTCAGAGAAAATGCAGAGCCCCGGATCGTGATTCAATCCCTGTAGATGGTATGTTTTCTTTTCTGGCCCTTAGTATTTTTGGTGGAATTTTCCCTTGCCCTTTTTTAAGGTCATTCTCATTTATCTTTTTAAAGTTGAAAGTAAGAGGGCGAGGGTAGAATTGTCTGCTGACATTGATGAAGCGCTTCTGGTGGGCCCAGAAGAAGTGCCTTAGGTTTGACCTAATTCCAAATCCTTGTCTTTTAAGCACGGTTTTTGTCCTTTCTAACTTTCATTCGTATTTTGTAGCGTCCGGGCAAGGAAAAAGTCTTTGGTCCTTTTGTTTCCGGTGCGCCCAAAATGGTGGTATTGAAAGTGAGGACCATCAAACTTGAGGACGGAGCCGACCTCCCTCCTTATGAACCGCATTCTGGACTAGATTGTCCAGATTCTGCTACTGTTGCGAAGGCACTCTCGAGGTTGGATCCTCTTTTTCGGGACTTCGGCTTGCCAGGGTCTCACGGGTCTATATCCGAACGTTCATCCAATCTTACTAGCATTGCGGGCAAATGCATTATCATGGTGCTGAGTCAGCCTGATGTGGTGCTTGCTAATGCGATGGATGCTTTTAGGTCTCTCTGGAACGTAATTCGAGCTCTTGAGTTTGATCTTGTGACAGACCTTGACACCCTCTCCGGGATGATGCCTCAGATCCATCAAATTGCTCTGGTAACGCCCCATCTTGCTCCTGCATGCAAGCATATGGAGCAGTGGTTGAGCAGGACTCTGAAGCATATTTGCATTATCAGAGAAATTATTCCTGCTGCTAGGGACCCATAAGAGATTTTGGAGGACCACTGGGATCGCAAGGAAGGGTTCGTGGATTTGGCTGAAGCTACCGAGAAGGTCTTAGATCAACTTGATGTTCTGGAGAAAAAGGAAGAAGGATTGAGGGCTGATATCTCTGCTAATCTTTGGTTGAAGGCAGAGATGGAGGCTAAGCTGAAGGACATTCGGGCCCAGATCGCTGCTAGTGGCTCTACTGCTCAAGAGATAACTTCTCGGGCCTTTCGGGCTCGATTGGCTCGAAAAAAGATGGTTTCTGCCCGATGTGCCCTAGATATTGATATAGATGAGCTGGCAGATCTGATCGCCACTATTTTAGAATTTTCTTGTTGATTTTTTTTTTTTTTTTTTTTTTTTTTTTTTTTTTTTTCCTTGGATTTATTTTTTTTAAAAACTATCCAACTTTCTTCTTTTCTGGAACAGTGCCCTTGCAGGTTGTAATTAATTGGCCTTTTTCAATTTTTGCTTTAATTAACAACGGCTTTAATTAACACGTGGGGTGTCGTGCCCTTTCTGGCTCATTTCCAATTTTGGCCACGTGGCAGAATGAAGTGGCGTGCCATCTGATGGGGGTTGTGAAGGGTCACGTCAGGGCTTTAAATATGTGATTTGACGTCTCCCTTTCTCGTCCATACTTCTATCTTCCCTTGATAGTGTCAGACCCTATACTTTCAGACGGGAGAACTTTCCTGAACCCAAAACCTCAACCCTCTTCCATTTCTCTGGATATGGTGCCAAAAAAGGTTTCGGCTACCGTTCCCGACTCTTCTTCTTCCGAGGAGACTGTTGCCCTTCCTGATTTTCTTTCGGGTGCAGGCGTAATGTCTTTTGCCGCCATTTTCGACAACTGGGTCTACAGGTTCGCTGCTGGCCGAGTGGACTTCCTTCTTTGCAAGGATCTTGTCAGCTTTGCGAACGATTACTGCGTGTTGGGTCCTAGGTACGTGGACCGAAAATCCGACCAACTTTGGAATTATGAAACTCATCCCATTCGGGCTCCTATTCCCGTTTGCCATGCTGAAGGTATTGATTGGTCGAACTGGAACAAGATGCTTCCTCGGTTCTTTCCAAAAATCGATGTGTCTAGTATTGACCTTCGCTGGGTTGACTGGGTGGCAAAAATGGCATCTATCATGCCATAACGTGCTCTACTCTTCAACTTCAAGCCGATTCGCCTCTTCTGGGCTCTTCTTTGGCTTTTTGGAACAATGCTTCCAACACTTTTGATTTCGGAGTTGGTCCCATGTTGATTTCTATTCTTGACCTTGCAGTGATTTTCGGATTTCGTCCTCATGGGTGAAGTGCCGACTGGCTGGGTAATTTTCAAGAGGATCCTTCGAAGGAACCAGAAAGGCGGAAGAACCTCGAGACTCTTTCGGGTCTGATTGGTCCTACCTGGGCCTTTGGTGCTTTTATGGGTGCATTCATGAATTGAGCGGTGGATTACCCTCATGGCAAACACATAATGTTCCTGATGTACTGGCTGAATCGATTCATCTTTCCTAGCGCGTCCAACTGCATTACAATGGAATGGCTTCATCTAGCCGAGGGCTTCGCATCTTATCGGGATATTGCTACTGGTCCCTTGATTTTGGGTTCTATTTATAGGGCTTTGAAAGAAGCAACCATTGCTCCCATCAATCTCAATGTGAAAGGACCCTTGTGGATGGTGCAAATTTGGTTGTAGTGGACATTCTCGGAATTAAGAGGTCGAGACTTGCGTACCACCTCCGATTCGGTCCCCTTGAGAGATTTAGTTCTGAACTCAGTTTCTGGTAAAACGACTAAGGAATGTTTTACTTTCTTCATGGGCCGAAAGAGCAGGAGTGTGACTCAGTGGATGATGAACTTGAAGCGAATGTCCCCCTTGCTTCTGAGAATATGGACATTTTTTCGTGCTTGCAATCCCGAGACTTGCCTTGTGACAGCATGATGGATTCCAGAAACTACCAATATGGTGTGGAGGCCTATAACCCTCAGCTTGGGTGCCCCCAGGTTATTCCTGAGCTGAACTATTCCTTGATCAACAAGGGTTCGTCCTATCGTTTTCCAAAACTGAGTCGAGAAGATCTTCTGGGGGTTCGGGCCAAGTATGAAGAATCTTCCAGGGTGTTGGAGTTGAAGCCCTACTAGCCCGTTTGCTGCGGTACTCTGCCCTTCCAGGCTTGGTGGAATAATTATCTTGGTAGATTCAGGACCACAGATGCCGTATACAAGAGAGCTTTCAAAAGCTGCCCTTTCTGCCAAAATCTTAGCGAAGATGGAAGGCATGCTCTGCTCGAACAGATTGCAACCGACAACAAACTTCCTTTAACCAGTAAGGATAAAGAACTTTGTTAATTTTAAAGCGTTTTTTCCCTTCTCTAAACATCTGAGTTTGCATGCAGTTTTCGCCAATTACCAAACACTTTGCTCTTCTGCCCAATTGATTGCCCTTGCTAAAGAAAGATCTAGTTCTGGCTCGGGTTTATCTGTTTGGGGGTTCCCATCTTAGTTTAGCGGAGGCGGAGCTCAGGGAGGGTAAGCGTTCCTCTCGGCCCTGCGCCCAAGACTGCTAACCTTTCCAGAACTCGCGAGTCTCGGACCGCTCCGTTCGCTCTTCCCTATTCAGGTAATTAGAGTGCTAGAATGAAGTGGTTAACCGACACCGTTTACTTGCTAATTGGCCTTTTCAATCTCGTGTAGGCACAAAGAGGTCGCTGTCGGAGGAGACTGATCAAGTCGGCGATACTCAGGCTCAACCTTAAGCTGCCCAAACTAAACGAGCCAGGATTCTCACCACAGAGGCTCCTAAATTGGCTTCAACTGCCCCCTAGTAATTATCGGGCTCTTCCTTTTTCTTGCATTTTCTCAGTTTTGCCTTTCTCATGTTTGGTTATTTTTACAAGATTCTGACCTTCCTGGTCCGAGCCCTGCTCCAATTCCTGTTGTGGGAGTCCATGATGCAGAAATTGTCGACGTAGATAAGGTGGATCCTCTACCTGTTTCACCTTTGAGGGAAGAACGTCCTTCTGTAAAATAAGTAAAATTTTTTTTTTTTTTTTTTTTTTTTTTTTTTTTTTTTTTTTTTAAAAAAAAACATGTCCTTCCCTTTTTATAAGTCGGATGTAGGGGAATTCTATCCGAGACAGTTGCGCCGGCAGAGACTGAATGCCCCCTGGTTATTGGGGAGGTGAGGCTCGAAGAGACAACATGTGGGGAGGGCCCCCTCGAAGAGGTTCTGGTTGAAGATCCTGCTAAAGTGGTTATCGAGGTACTGGCCCCTGCTGTAGAGTCAATGGATTTCGAAAGGGAATCATCAGTCCCTGATTTGAAGGTAAATTTCCTATAATTCTATCTTGTCCTCGAGGAAAGAAATTACAGAAAATAATTGTGAGTATTTGTGGGAGGAGACCGAGATGCCTGAAACTGAAAGTATGATGCCTGAGCCAATGGTGGATCCTGTGGATCGTACTGAAGCTAGTCAGGATTCAGGTTCTTCACGTGCTGAAAAGTCTGAGGTTCCAACTATGTCCAAGGAGAGGGCGAAATTGATCTTGGCAAAATGGGTGACTCTTTCAACAGATGAGAGGGTGGGAGACGAACAGAAGAGTAAAGTCTGTGACACCTTAGATGTTCTTAGCCCTTCCTACCCGAATTTCGCATCCTCTTTCAAGACTGCCAAGCTGGACCTGTTGGCTTTGACTGACAAATTCCAGCACAGTGGTGCTGCTCAATTTCCCGATGATGAAGCGCAATTGGAGGCAGAACTGGCCTGATCCAGGGAAGAAACGAAAGCGCAACATGAGGAATTGGAGAAATGCGAGCTGCTGTGGAAACAGGCAGATTGGAGACTGAGGACCTCAGAAGCTCGCTTGCAGCAGGTGCCATTGCAGAAAGATGAGCTCTAGGATGAGGCTGATCAAATGCTAATGGCCCTGACTACTGCCAAAGAGGACATTGATAAGGCCGATATGGATGTTGGACTGGAGATATGGCAAGAAAGGCTGAGGATGATCCGTCTTGATAAGATTTGTGTGGACACGCGACATTTTGCTGAAAAGATCAAGACCTTGCTGGACCTGCTCGTGTAGTTGCCGAAATACTTCGACCCATACTATTTATTTTTGATGTAAGAACCTTGTATGATGGTTCTATCAAACTGCTACTATTCTACTAACTCTGGTATTAGGCATTTTGATACAAAACTTGTTTGGAATTGTATATCTTATTCGAAACATGCATGCTATGGGCTACTTAGGTCTAGACCTGTCAATTCCCATAAGGACGGTATGAACGTTTTTAGCCATTGACCATTTATCGGATGTTGATGCACCGTTCCATCTCTATGACATAGCAAATACGCCCCCTTTCCCAGAATTTTTCTGACTATGAAAGGACCTTTCCAAGTCGGGCTCCATTTTCCTAATTATGGCACGTGGGCTCCTAATGGTAGGACCGCTCGCCAAACTAATTCTCCTTCTTCAAAAGTTTTTCCTTGGACTCTTCTATTATAGGCACGTGCCACTGCTTGTTTACCGACCATCAAATGATTCAAAGCTTTAGCCCGAATTGGACCGAGTTGCTCTAATTCCTTCATCATAGCCTCAGTGTATTCTTCTTCGCTTAATTCAGACTGTCTCTCGATATGTAGTGATTGCATGTTGATCTCTACTGGTAAGACAGCGTCATGCTCGTAAGTGAGAGCGTAAGGGGTAGTGCCTATAGCATTCTTTTTAGACGTCCGATCTGCCCAGAGTGCATTGGATAACCTTTCATGCCAATCCTTTGGGTTGTTATCCGCCATTTTCTTGATAATATTGATCAAGACTTTGTTGGTAGATTCTGCTTTACCATTGGCGCGTGGAAAGTAAGGACTAGATTGCACGAATCTGATATTGTATTCTTCAATGAATGCTTGGATTTCCCTTGAGATGAAGGAAGTGCCTCTAACCGTAGTGATGCTTTCTGGAATTCCAAATCGATGAATGATTTGCTGCTTGATAAAAGTAATCACTGCAGCTGAAGTGATAGATTTCAAAGCCTTAGCTTCTACCCACTTCGTGAAATAATCTGTGGCCACAATGATGAACGTATGCTTGTTGCTGGAGCTTGGCACAATTTTTCCCACAAAGTCCATGGCCCAGTCTTTGAAAGGTTGAGGCTTTATGATTGGATTCAAAAGAGTTGCCGGAGCATGCTAAATCGGGCCATTCCGTTGGCAATCTTCGCATCCTTTAGCATAATTAAAACAATCTTTCTCCATCGTTGGCCAGAAGTAGCCATATTTTTTGATGAGCCAACGCATCTTTTTCCCGGATTGCTGCGCTCTGCAAGTGCCTCCATGAATTTCGCCCATAACGCGAATTGATTCTTGAAGTCCCAAGCACCGTAAAAGAACTCCTTCCTTGGATCGTCTGAACAATTTGTTATTTATCACGACAAACTTTGTAGCCTGATATTTAAATTTTCTGTTCGCTCTGGGAGTTGGATTATTCAAGTAATCGAGCAGTGGCTTTCTCCAGTCTCCAGTTTGTACATCATGGGCATTTATTTCAAGATCCATTCCTCTACTGAGGATTGAAGGAAGAGCCCTTTTTTGTACTGTGATGGTTCGTTCGGACTGACTTTCTTGAATCTGAATGCCGGATGCTATCTATGCCATTTCGTTGGCGGCCAGATTCTTATCCCTTGGGACGTATTTGATTGATATTGTTTTAAACGCAGACCCTAAATTACGAGCTGCCACGTAATAGGCTGCCATACTCGGGTCCCTGCATTTGTATTCGTTGGTCAGCTGCCTAATTATTAATTGAGAATCTCCGAACACTTCTAAATGCTTTACCCCCCAATTCTAATGCCATTTCTAGGCCAATAATTAGAGCTTCGTACTCAGCCCTATTGTTAGTACTATGAAAATCAAGCTGGAAAGAATAGGCGTATTTGGTTCCGAATGGTTCTTCCAAGACAATGCCTGCTCTGGCGATGAAATTTGTCTTGGATCCATCAAAGTACAGCTTCCATGGTTTGATTTGTACTGTTTTGACGGAAATTTGGACCTGGCCTTGTTTGTTTGGTAGATTACCGAGAAAGCTTTTGAATTCGAACTTTGGCGCTCTTTGCTCTGGCAAAAAACCTATATTGGCAATTTCCAAGGTGCTTAAATCTTCGATTTCCACACAAGGGTGGGCAGCTAGAAAGTCTGCAATGGCTTGTCCTTTAACTGCTTTTTGAGGGACATACCTAAAACTGAATTCGGACAAAGCCAAGATCCATTTTCCTAATCGTCCCCTAAGCACGGGCCGGTTAAGCATATATTTAATGAGATCTGTCTTTGCTATGATATGAACAGTAAAAGGAAGCATGTAATGACGAAGTTTTACTGCTGTGAAATAAAAAGCAAGGCAAAGTTTTTCAATAGCTGAATAACGAGTTTCCACATCTTGCAAAACTCGACTTAAATAAAATACAGCTTGCTCCTTGCCCTCATCATTGTCCTGGGCCAGTAAACTACCGATTGAATTTTCTGAAGCAGAAATATACAATTTTAATGGTATACCCTTTTTTGGAGGCATCAGGACTGGAGGTTTGGTCAAATAAAGCTTTATCTTGTCAAATGCTTCTTGTTGGACAGGACCCTATGTGAATGGCTCTCCCTCCTTTATCTTCAATAATGGAGAAAATGGTTGTACTTTTCCTGCTGAATTGGCTATAAATCTTCTTAGGAAATTTATTTTCCCGAGAAGGCTTTGTAGCTCATTTTTATTACAAGGTATCGGGGCGTCGATAATTGTCTTGGCCTTGTTTTTGTCGACTTCAATGCCTCTATGATGTACCAAAAATCCCAAAAAATTCCCTGCTTGGACACCGAATGCACATTTCTTTGGATTCATCTTCAGCTGATGTTGCCGCATTTTGATGAATGCCTTGCGTGAATCTTCGATATGTGCTTCTTTTTCAAGAGATTTGATGACCACATCGTCGATGTATACCTCTAGAGTGTGTCCGATCATGTCATGAAAGATAGCATTCATTGCCCTTTGGTAGGTAGCTCCTGCATTCTTTAATCCGAAAGGCATGACGACGTACTCATAGGCTCCTACTGCCCCCGGGCATCTGAATGCAGTTTTGTGAACATCTGCTTCAGCGACCATGATCTGATTGTATCCCGCATTACCATCCATAAAAGACAAGATCCTGTTATGTGCTGCACCATCAATAAGCACGTCTGCTGTTGGCATTGGGTATTCATCTTTTGGGGTAGCTTCATTGAGGTTTCTAGAGTCTACACAAACCCTTACTACTTTAGTGACTTTCTTCAAAATGGGGACTATATTAGCCAGCCATTCGACGTATCGGGCTGGCCTGATGAATCCCGCTTTCAGCAATCGCTTAATTTCTTCCTTCACTTTGAGTTCTGTCTCAATAGACATACTTCACTTAAGCTGTTTTACTGGTTTGTAGCCTTCTTTTACGGGCAATCTATGCTCTACCAAACGTCTATCGAGTCCTGGCATCTCGTGGTAGTGCCATGCAAAGCAATCCTTGTGTTCTTTGAGAAGGGCGATCAGCTCCGTTCGTACAGACTGATCGAGGAGGCCACTGATGAATGTAGGCCTGGGGTCTTCTTCGGTTCCTAAATTGACTTCCTCGAGAGGGTCTTGAACTTCTGGAGGAGTCTGACTCAACTTAGTAGGTGCAAGTTGGATTTCTTCTTCCATTCCAATGGTTTCGGTCCAACCTTCCTCTGAGACGAACTCTGCCATGTAATTGGCGGAATCTCCGTCTAAAGATTGTTCTTCTCTCTCTTCTCCTCTTACTCTTTTTGCTACGGTGTTGATTAGCAGAAATGCCCCGTCTTCCTTTGGGCTTTCTTTAACCATAACACTGGGTAAAAGAGATTTGGGGCCTTTCCCATTCTTCTGAGGAAAACGTCAGGCCCTGCTGGAGGAACTTCTGGGCCATCACTATAGGAGAGTGGCCGTTCTTGATGAGTTCAGCTACAGTGAGAGGAGCAATATCCTCATTGTAGAATCTTGCATCAACATTGTTGGCTGAAGGCAGGAAAGGCTTAGAATCTGCTTTGACCATTTCATAATCTTCTATCTCCTCATCCCACATTAACAATTCCCGCTGAAGGGAGGAAGGTATGGACATGCTTTGATGTATCCAATCTCTACCCATCAATGCATGATAAGAAGATGTACTATTGACTACTAAATATGACACCAGTAAATTTTTCGAGCCGACTTCGAATTCGGCAATCAAAATCCCATGTGTTGCAGTGATAGTTCTTGCAAAATTAGAAACAGTTAACTCAGTGGGTATTAGATCAGATTTACTTTTTCCGATTTTTTCCAGTCTTTTGAATGGGAGAATGTTGACGGCCGCCCCTCCGTCGATCAAGACTTTTTTGAAAGGGACACCATTAATTCTGGCGGAAATGAACAGGGGTCTCAGGTGCCGTGTCATCAACCTGGTTGGTCTAGTGAAGAACACTCGAGGGGTCTCCTTCTTTGGGGAGTCTAGGCCTTTGTACTCTAGGCCTGAATCAGTAGTTTGTGGAGTGCTTGGTTTGTCATCATAATCATCATGTATCCCAATCAGAGCAACGACGTGTTCTTCGATCAGGATGTCACCTTCCATCCTGCATGGTTGTCCTTCTTTTGACCTATAAAAGGCGGGGAGGACGTACACCATATTTACTGGCATAGTACCCTGTGCTGTGGTCTTTTCTCTACACTTGATGGCCTGATTCATTGAGGGTTCAACCTCAACCTCTGTCTTCATGGGCTTCTATAGAGTTGTCGATTCCTCAATTGCCAAGATTGGTTTTCCAACTGTCGATTCACCAACTTCTTCTATTGTTCCGAACATTAGGGCTGGCATGTGATTAAGCTGGCTTTCCACAAGCGCTTGGCTGTCTTCATCTTTGGCTCGTAGTCCTAAGGCTGCTTTGAATTTTTCATGATTGAGCTCATAGTCCAACCAATCGTCATTGTCATCTTCAGACATGTTATCCGCTTCCTCTTCTTCTATGGCTGAGCTGGCTCGCTGCACCTTTTTTGGGATTGTGATCTGCATAATCAGTCTGTCTGATCCTTCTCCGGATTCTGGGTTGGCGTTTTTGTTAAGTTTTTCAGTGGAGTCGTTCTGGTCAGTTGTCATTGCTGGTCACCTTAGAATAGTTTTGCCTGCTCCCAGTCTTGGCTTTTTTGCACAGGATGGTTGTGATCCATGACCTGGCTTGAGGAACAAGTTGGGCTTCGACCCTTCTGCTGCTTTTTTATTTTCCAGGTATGGTCGTGATTCGGTTTTCTCTGTTCGGGTGCGCCTTTGATTCTGAGCATACCTACAGTTGACCTTCCTTCACGTTGAAACTCGTTCCTGGTGGCTTGATGAGCCCTTGGTGGGCTTGATTGCATTGATTGATATTCCATTTCCCTCCTGGCCTTGCCGTATTGTCTTTTGATTTGTCTAGCCTGGGTATTGGTTAATTCTTTCCCTGGCTTGCGCCCTTCCCTACTAAATACCATCTCCCATTCTACACCATTGCTGGTTTAGCCGGGCAGGGTGGCCTGACATTAGTCAAATTGGAAGTAGTAAAGGGTCTACTGCAACCAGTTTCTTCATGTGGACGTAATGGAAAAGCCCTGGGTTATGGCTGTTTCAGTCTTGTTCTCCATTTATCTCTTTCTTCTAATTTTGTTGATTCGGATTCCTGCCGTATGGAGGTTTCATCCATAGCTTTCCTGTCTATCCTTCGGAATGTCTCGTATGGCTTGTTCGGGCCCTTTCTTGGGCTGAAAGGTCCATATGATTGACTGGATATTCTGCTAGGATGTCTATCGATTTCCCTTCTCGTGCGGATTAATTGTTTGTCAATCTTTGATCCTGTGGCTGGTATCTCTAGTTCACATTCGCATTTGCACCTGCTACATAATACGATCCCAGCTGTAATGGTGGCTTTCAACCTTTCTGGCTCGGCTATAGTAACTTTTTGATCGCCTTCTTCGCCCACATCCACCACGATTTTCCTTTTGTTACGTCTGTCGGGCCAGTTGACGCCGATCATGTGTGCCGAGAAAGGCTCCTTGTCTACCCTCATGGTAGTCTGCTTGTCCTTAAGGATCTTGCCCTCGATGATGAGATCTTGGATGACATCCCTGAACTGAACACAGTTGTTAATAGCATGCGAAAAAGAATTATGCCACTTACAGAACATTTTGTTCTTCAGCTCTTCCGGCTTGGGAAACACGTGCTTCTCATCGAGTTTGATTGCCCTTCCTCCTAGCAATTCGTCAAAGATGTTTTCAGCTTTTGACAAATCGAAAGAGTATGATTTATGCTTCTGTTTGTATGGAGTGAATCCTCCAGTTGGGGCAGCAATGTTTCGCTGCTCCTTTCCTGGTTTTACTATTACTTTGCAGGTGATTGGAGTTTTCATCTGAACAATCTCAACCAATGCCACTTCGGGACCAGCCTCTTCTTCGATTTCTTTGTCCAATGCGCTCATTACTTCCAACTGATGAATTGGATTCTTGTAGTATGTAGGCTTGGAGTTGTTTTTCCTTTGGATTTCTTCCCTAAGTAGCAATTCGTACTTGCCAGCTCGCTAGGCCACATCCTGCAAATCCATGAATTCTATGTCATCAAACTTCTTCCGAAGGGATAGTCTGAGTGCATTTTGTGCCATTTTTATAAAATGTTTTTCATCCATAAGAATTTTGCATTTCATTTTGATCTTTTTAAATCTGACGATGAAATCTGGCACTGTTTCGTGATCCCCTTGCTTCATATCAGTGAGGTCATTGATGGTAATCTCCAGTTTGGGCCTATAATATTGCTCCATGAAAGCTCCTTCCATTTCTGCCCATCCGAAGATGGAATTCGGGCTAAGATTGGAATACCAAGTGAAAGCCTTACCTGATAGAGAGCTACCAAATAACCTCAACTTCAAGAGCGGTTGGGTTTCTATGGACACGCACTAGGCTGAGAACGGCCCTATATGCTTTAATGCTGATGCATATAAGTCTTCCCCATTGAACAGGCTAAAACTCGGAACTTTGAAGCCTCTCGGGAAGGGTAAATCATCAATGTAAGCAGGATAAGGCTTCTGATAGGTAGGTCGGGCTGGTCTCCGAATATCGGCCGGACCATTATAGACGAGTTGCATTAGTGCTTCCATTTCATTACGAATGTCCATGTCTGGAAGATTTCTGGGTGCAGGCTCGACACCGACAGGAGGATTCTGCCCTGCATCTACTTCGTCATCGGATTCCGGAATTTGCTCTGGCATCCGTGCGTTGTTTTGTCTTCCCCGTCCGTTGCCTCCATTATTACCATTGTTGTTGGCGATAGGTATGTTCAACCCTGCTGGTTCTCGCCATCTATCAGCACGTATATTCCTTCGGACCGGCTCTGGTCGTAGAGCTAGTTTGCCAGTTTTTGGGACCTAGTATTTGGATGGTGTTCCAAACGGAGCGAAATGTTGACTAGCAACGTCTTTGGGTGGTGAAATCACCTTTGGCACATGCGGTGCCATTGTAGTGATATTAGACCCCTTCGGGTTGGTCTACCTGGTAAGATGACTTGAGAGAATCTTTGATCACCATTTCTGAAGGCGAGGTCTGGGCATGTCCACTTGTTTGACTTGAGGAGTATCCTTGTATTAACAAGGGTGTCTGGATATTTGGTAGTCTCCCATCTCCCTTTCGGGCCATTTTATCGTCTTGTTCTGCCTGCATGGCCCGTTCGAAGAGGTGACCTAGATATGCCCTTGTCTCATTCCCTTGTAGGGTTGTGTTCAGATGACCTCTCTCAACGGTCTGAACGACGCTTTGAGATAGGAGATCCATGGAATTGGTCATTGCCTGGAAACCCTCTCTCATGACTTTTTCGAGTCTTTCGAAAGGTACTTCCCTTGATGATTCCATTGACTCGGACTCTGCTATTTCTATGTTCTTTTCGTAGCTACTTGAGTCGAATCAGCCATGTATACTTTCTTTCTGGTCTTTCTCACCATGCACAGAGAGAAGTCCCATTGGGCGTGCCAAAATTCTGTTGGTCCTTTTTTCCTCTCCTCGTCCTTTTACCGTCTGCGGGGGTCGATTCAGCTTTGAGGGACGAAGGCGGAGTTTTAATGGATCAACACCAGTGCCCCGTTCGGATGGTGTCTCTTGGCTTGCGAGTGTGATCTTTTCCATTTCCGAACAAAATTGAAAGTTGAATCAGCTACTAGAGCCTGAGGTCTTGTCGAACAGCTCCTTAGGCTACCGATTCTTATTGTAGCATAGGCGTGCCACTATTGGGTAAACAACCAGCCCAATAGATCTGGTATGGGTGTGTGTGATTGATATTTGTGAAGTTTGCGCCTTTTCTCTGGACTTCTTATCAGGCCATTGTGCTCCAGGGGGGGTACTGGCCTGGATGGGCTCTTTTGTCTGCCTCGGCTAGGAGGACTTCAATATTCTTCTCTTCGTGATTATCACCCTAGTAGGTGCGAGCAACACCTGAACAGATAATAGAGGAAGACCAAGTTTTTGATCAGTAAAGACCCTGCCTGGGCTTTATTAACCTTTTTCAATATTTCTCCCGTTTTCGGACTCGATTGGTAGCTATTCGGGCTTACGAACAGTAATCGGGCCCAACTAGACTTCCTATCCCTTCTTTTACTGTATCATTCGGGCCCCTGTTCTTTTTGGGCCCGAATATCAATATTTCTAGCTTTTCAAAGTTCAGGGAGGCGGGAGTCCAATTTTAGACGTTCAAAATGGTTCGAAGCCCGTTTTGTCAGATTATCAATTAATTAATTACCGAGTTTTCTGCAATTTGTAAGTTCTTTGCAACCTCAAATTAAACAACAGAAAATTCATTGGTTAATCCATTAATTTATCCTTAAATCCGAACAAAAAAAAAAAAAAAAAACAAAAAAAAAAAAAGCAGAGAGATTTCTCAATCCAGTCCTGAGATTACATGAATTGAAACGATTTACATGTTAAAAGAAAATCATACCATGGTGATGGTAGAGCTACGAGAGATAATCACAGAGTTTGTTGACTGGATATCTTAAGAACAAAGTAAGCAGATTGCGATTTTGAGAGAGTTTTTTGAAGACTTTTCGTCTGGTTTTGGAGAGAGAGTCCTCTTTTCCTAAAGTAGACCTTCGTTATTTATAGGGGAGGATGAACTTGTAATGAAAGCAACTTCGACAAGACCTCTGGCTTGTAACTCGGGATCAGCCGCTAGTTTCCTGTTCTAAACCAGTTTATAGAAGGAATGATGGAGGGTTCTTGGCAAGGACCTCTAGTTCTCTTCGTGGGGTTTTCTTGATTTGACTTTTTCAAACTTGAAAACCTGGCTGGCGATTTTGATCTTCTGGTTTTGGGGGAGTACATCGTGCTTTCTTGCTGGGTGAGCAAGAAGTCAGTTCGCCATTTAATGTGATAATCCCCTTCGGCCTCCCACGTGGGTTTAGGAGTCATACTCATCACTTTTTGTCATGTAGCATAAGGTTAAAGCCTGACTTTTCTGACCTTGGGCCTATTTATTTATTTATTTCAAATAGGCCCAGACTTGAGAGGGGCGGCTTTTGGGGGATGGATGAGTGCAAATGGGCCTGGCCGTATCCTTCAAATAGTGTGACTACTTTTGGTCCATTTACCAAAATTGGGGACAAACATTGTCCTACAATTTCATTAACACCCTCTAACTGGGACACGGACGCTGGTGCATAGATTGGCAAAGGGCTTGGGACTGAAAACGACTGTGCCTTACAGAGTCTGGTTTGAAGAGAAACAGGTATGTCAACCAAATAAGTTATAAATAATTTGACTCAGACTTCTTTTCTTCCTTTCATGCTTTTTGTTCATTTCTTTCTTAACTTGTCAGGTTGCTGGATGGACACAAGTATATGGGGATGTTTTATCGTTCGCCAATGAGATCACTGCTTCTGTTTAGTTCATTTGTGGGGGGAAAGCCATTGCCAGAAGCACTCTCTCACTGACGAAATTCACAAATATATAAAATAAATAAATAAGTAAAAAAAAGGTCTCGTATCGTTCATCATCTGGATATCGATTTATTCACCAGCTTGTCATGTCAAACAAGCTTCATCAGATCAGTATTTATGGAATAAAAATGAACAAGTTGTAACAAAACCAGTTTATTAAGAATAATGAGCGCAATGAGAGCTTTTTCTCTTTACCAGTTGGAACATGTGAAGGAGGAATTACAAGCAAACTAAGCACGCTTCAGAATGTTAGATAAAACCCTACTTGTGCTTCTTTAGCAATATTCTAAACTCCATTCTCCCATTCTCTAGTTTCTCTTCTATCTTCTCTTTCTCCATTTATCTTCTAACTAAAATTTCTCTATCTTCCATAAAACCTGGATAGCTAATAATCGATAGAAAATAAAAATCATAAAAGGCATTGAAGTGTCAATATTTTGAAAGAGATGTTATGGGGTCTATATGCAATTGAGTTTGACCACATGCTCAACTTCGCAGACTTAGAAAAAATTCGGTAAGACGAGAATGGAAAATATTTATCTTTGGTGAGATTAGGTCCAATGAACCTATTCAGATGTGCGGATTTATCACAAAAGTACTCAGTCCAATTTTTAACTTGGCACAAATATAAAATTATGCGCATCCATCTGGCTTAGTTTGCTTTTATTTGTACACAGAAGAGCCATGAAATTATAATGAGCCTGAAAATCATGTGCAATTGTCCAAAATTTTCTTTTACAGTCAGCCATGAGATTATAATGAGCCTAAAAATCATGAGTCGTCCCAAATTAGTTAGATGACTGTTTGTATGAAAATTATGTTGTCATTTCCTAGAATCTAGCATAGGTTGAAAATTAGTGTGTGAAGAATTGTTATTGGACGTTTTGGCACAACTCGTTCAACCCTATACTTCCGAGGCATGACTTGACTGATATGAGGAAATTGATTTCAGGTAAATCATGACATAATCATGCATTCATTATAGGATTCCTAGTTGGATTTATTTTAATCAAGTATTTTTATGTTAGCCCTATTTTTAGTAGGATTAGATTTTATCTCTTGAGATTACCTTCCTAGTTGGACTATATTTTGTTTTAAAGTTAAAATATCTTTTTTATCTAAAATTTGGCAAGCACGTCCTAGTTGTGTCATTGTTTTCATCTTGCTACATATTGGTTTCTTTTATAAAAAGATGAGATTGGATGGTATTTGGGACACCATGCATAAAGCTGGCGTAAGTGATAGAATCAAAACATATATCCATAATTGAACATTATTTGGTCTCCATGTTTTGACGTCTTTCACCAAGAGTCCATATATTACTTTTGATAGGCATATTTCAATAGGATATGTGTTCATGTTTTTACACCTTTTACTTAGAGTCCATATTGGACGAAATTTGATTGTGATGATTGAATAGGATTGGTGGACCCTTGTGCTTCTCTCTTACTAGAGAGAAGACGGTTTTGCATAAAAGGGGGGTGCCTCTCTTTTCTTAGTTACAGCTTTTGATATTTGTGTTGAGCATATAGAATTCTTAACCAAAAGCTGTTGTGCATTTATTTGAGATAAATCATCAAGTGTTCCATGTTTACTTGGTGATTTATAAAACACTTTCATCATTCATATTGCATTCATATGCATGTTGGTGACTCATACGATTGAGGGCACTAAGATTATGGTGGCGGTTTTCCTCTGGCGAGCTTGAAGCAATCGTGACCAGTATTGCGTTCAACATAAGAAGTGTCAAAGATCATCCCATGACAGAAGTTGAGTTACGAAGAAGTCGGTAAATATTATCTAGAATGTGTCTAGGATAAGTGTGTGAGTACTTCTTGTAATCATCATTCTATAGTGGATTTGTATTGGAGGAGTCCCGTGGATTTTCCCCAAAGGTGGGGGTTTTACCACGTAAAATAATTCTCTGCGTGTTCTTTTATTTTATGCCCAACACGTTTCAAGATTGATAAGCCATATCAATCTTGCTACTGAAGTTTGACTCTTCAAGTCAGCCCAGCCTCTAGCTTTCCAATTTGAATTTCATGTCACCAGCCAGCTTTCATGTTTGCAAGGATTATCTAAATTAGCTACCACACAAAGGAGAAAAAAACTTACTTACATCGGGGTTTATAATACATGAGAGAGATAGAGAGAGAATTATATACACAGCTTGTGACATGCATGTTCTTTTTCGCACAAGTATGGACTTTTGTCTTAAAATTGTAAATAGAAATGCGGTTTATGAAGTTAAAGAAATTTCATATTGCCATTAATCCATCTGGCTGAACATTTTGAAATCTAAAAAATATTTTCTTGTTCATTATAAAACAGTGAAAGTCCAAAGTAAATTTGCGCTGTATACTACAATGTAAGAAAAACATTGTATACAAAGAGTAGGGAAAACATATTTCATAAGCATGTGGCCATGGGGAAAAAGAAAAACAGATAGTCCAATTTGAGTTGTGAGCAAAGACAACAGAACCGGCCATTGACAGATAGAGGAAACAAGAAAAATGCAGAAAAACACCAAGTCAAATGCACTTTTTATAGCCTCTTTGATTTTGATTCCTATAGGCACTGATCTGTGCAAATTTTAAATATACAAAGTCACAAAGTCAGGATAGAAAAAGGGACAAGGTAGGTAGATTGTTATGTTCAAATAAAAAAATAGTGAACTTCTCACAACAATGTCACAACATTCTTCGACTTTGATTCATTTATTTGTTTCTTTTGCTGCTTGACTTATTGGTTGGTCGTGAAAACCAATAGACAGCTGCATTCTGTTTGAGGTTAGGTGCACACTCATTCTTAAGTTCTATCAATAGTCACTGCCAATAAAAAGTAAAAGAAAATTAGGATAAAGTTAACAGACCCTTTATAAATACCTCTGTTACCATCCCGCAGAAAAAATACATTCATATATTCTCTCTCTCTCTCTCTCTCTCTCTCTCTCTCATTATGGAACGTCAACAATGGAGTATCCTCCTAACAATATGTGCCACTCTCATCCAAGCATTTTTAACAGCAAACTCCCTCCCAGAAGCTGATAAAATCACCAGTTTGCCAGGTCAGCCACAAGTGAGTTTCCAGCAATATGCAGGATATGTAACTGTGGATGAAAAGCAACAAAGGGCACTCTTCTACTACTTTGTTGAAGCAGAAACTGATGCTGCTTCAAAGCCTCTTGTTCTTTGGCTAAATGGAGGTGAGCTTACCATTCACTTATTTGCATCATTTAGAAATCTTACTAGATTATGTGAGTGTGTATATACACGTAAGCGAGCGTACTTTCATACATGTAAGAAGTTTCGAGTTAGAATTGTAGCATTAAAGAAAACCGTGAACATATATCTTCTGGGCTGCAATTTTATGATTAGAAGCTTTCAAGTTTTAGATTTTTTTTTTTTGAAGATTATCCATACCAAAAAATGAGTCAAATTTAAAATTGTTTAACTACTATTTGATTATTGTCATTAGTATTTCATTCTTGACTGAGAAACTGTAATTGTCTACAAAATTTAAAGTACTGAGAAACTGTAATTGTCTACAAAATTTAAAGTACAAAACGGTTTCCGAGTTGGGCCCTTTTTTGTAACAATCATCTTTGAAGAATGACCTAAAATGCTGACGATTATGATCATTAAACTACATTGTGGGGCAGCCATAGGGAGGAATGAGAACATCCTCACTTGAAAATTTTCCTACATCTATATTATCCTTACATTTACATACATGTAATCAACTAGTGAAACCAGATAGTTAATTGAACTTTATGAATAATGAAGGGCCTGGCTGCTCATCTGTTGGAGCTGGAGCCTTCATTGAGCATGGACCTTTTAAACCAAGTGGGGGACATTCTGCTCAAGAATGATTTTAGTTGGAACAAAGGTAAGTAATCCCATTAAAGTCTATGCTATGCTCAATCAATTAATGAGCTTATACTAATTCTCGTTATGGTTTTTTTCCTTTTTAATCTTTTGCAGAAGCAAATATGCTCTACTTGGAGTCACCTGCAGGAGTTGGCTTCTCCTACTCTTCAAACCAATCATTCTATGATTTTGTGAATGATGCTATAACAGGTTTTCACTTCATATCACTATTTCATCAAACTAAGAAGAACATCAAAATTAAACTGATTCTTTCTGACTTGTGAGTCTGTTCTCTTCTGTTTAGCAAATGATAATCTCATGTTCCTTGAGCGCTGGTTTGACAAATTCCCAGAGTTCAAGAACAGGGATTTCTTCATCACAGGAGAGAGCTATGGAGGTAACCATTCCCTTAATAAACACCGGTTACCAGATAAAAAATTTGTTAAGGCATGAATCGTTGGTTCCAACATCTAAACAAACCCTGTTTGCTGTTTGTTCCCAGGCCACTATGTTCCAGAGCTTGCACGTCTGGTTGTCCAATCGAAACTGAATTTCAATCTCAAGGGCATAGCAGTAAGCAAATAAAAGTTGAAAAACTGAGACCAATTGAACTTTCTTAAGTAATAAAGAGTTTTTTTTTATGTAATGCAGATAGGCAACCCCCTTCTGGACTTCAACACTGATTTCAACACAGGGGCAGAGTACTACTGGTCACATGGATTAATATCAGATGCCACCTTTGAAAGTTTCACCTCTGTTTGCAACTATTCTCAAATGCTTAGGCAGATAATTAATACTGGTAAACTTAGCCCTGCTTGTGCTGCAGTATATAACCAAGTTCAAACAGAAATCAGTAACTTTATCAATCAATACGATGTTACTCTTGACGTCTGTTTATCCTCCGATGCTGCTCAATCTCGGAAGCTCACTCAACTGGTAATTGAAGACTTGGCATTTTTCTCCTTTCATTTCCTCTGTTGAAGTCACTCACTCACTCACTCACATCTACAGCAAGAAACAGAGAAGATAGATGTCTGTCTTGAAGATGAAACAATTAAATACTTAAACCGGCAAGATGTACAGGAGGCACTTCACGCTCGGCTTATTGGAGTCTCGAATTGGACCATTTGTAGCGAGTAATCATCTCACCTAAAATACTCATAATCACAACCTGAAAAAGAATGTTCCACCACTAGTCTTTTCGGTTGGTTTATTTGTGCTTTCACCTTGTAGTATTACACTGCCTGCCGCTTTTTTCTAACTTCGATCATTCTCTTTACAACAGTGTCGTCAGGTATAATCGGCAAAGCATGGAAATATTAATGCTTCCTGTTTTGGGTTACCTTTCCCGGTCTGGAATCCGGATTTTGGCTTACAGGTAACCATTTTTTGTATGTCTGCATTATACTCATCGCCGTACAAAAACTCTTCGTCATCCAAGACGTTGTAAAGGCTTTTACAAATTCTAAAATTATATCTTGAATTTCTACAGTGGAGATCAAGATTCTGTTATCCCACTAACTGGGACACGGACAGCGGTGGATGGATTGGCAGAGGTCTTGGAACTGAATACGACTGTGCCTTACAGAGTCTGGTTTGAAGAAAAACAGGTCTGTGAACCTAACCAGATTTGAAAGGACTCCGCTTCTTGCCTTCCCTTCTTAACCATTGTTCATTTCTTTAACTTCTCAGGTTGCTGGATGGACACAAGTATACGGTGATGTTCTATCGTTCGCCACTATAAGAGGAGCAGGTCATACAGCTCCATATACACAGCCAGAGAGATCACTGCTTCTATTTAGTTCATTTCTGGGAGGAAAGCCACTGCCAGAAGCACTCACTCACTGACCAAATTCATAAATAAAAGGAAGAGCAGAGGTCTTACATCATTCATTACACATAATAACTGAAGCAGATTCATTTGCTAGCTACATGCAGATCAGCATTCCGAAAATAAAACCTTACAAAGTGCAAAATTCGAAATAATAATAAGTTCGCACTTTTTCTCTTTATTAGCAATATTGTGGTAATATCCAATGAAATTAGAGTTCAGATAACATTTTTAATTTCTTCCTTATGTTAAAAGAGCTTATGCGATATTCCAACATAAACCAGAAACGTCACAGTTGCACTAAAATTACTTGTCCAATGACAGAAAAGATAAGCGTTACACGTTTCTTTCATCTAATATAAACACATAACAGATGTAACTCTAGCGCATCAGGAGCAAGGATGACTCCAATACATGCTACCGAACTCCTCAAATCACTACGGTAAATCATGAAAAAATTTAACACAGTCACAGGTCATATAGTACATCAGTCGTGCAAGGTTCCCAGTATATCCTCATCTCGGTATAAATGGTACCTAAAATGGCAGAAATCAGTTTCATGAGCATGTAATTAGAAAAAACCATATGAAAGTCCAAAGAGATAATAATGAAGGGGTAACAGAAGTACATCCATTATTGCAGTATGACAGCTACTGTCACAAGTTCCTGTAACGTATATAACATAGCATACATTCTCAGATGTTCATAGTCAGAAACAGAAATCATAGCAGGAAAATGTTTAGACAGCACTTTGAAAGAATTTCAGAGCTTATGGTTCAATACATTTGAGTTGAGGTACACCAAATAATCCTTGAGGCAAGACATTCACTGCCAGAACAGACTGGGCCCTTAATTTAACTCTACATTTGAGTTGAGGTACACCAAATAATCCTTGAGGCAAGACATTCACTGCCAGAACAGACTGGGCCCTTAATTTAACTCTGCATTTGAGACTTGACCTTTGCTACTGTAACCCAACAACAAACTTATGGGGCTTTACCATAACTCTGATTAGCTAATGAATAAAAGACAACTATTATAAAAGACATTGAAGTGATTATAATACCTAAAGTGATCTCATGGTCTACATGTCACTTCCATTTGGATAAATGTCAACACCTTTAGAACATTATTGCTAATTAATCAAGTACAAAGCAAGATCAAGCTTGATTAATGTAGATTAATCAAACCCAACCCAATGCAATGCAAGCTCCACCTTGCCTGAAAGTTCAGCTTGATTTCCATGAGATCAGCCTCAGCTCAAATTACCTAAGATTACTCAAATCATGCTCACATCATTCTCTGAGCTACAGAATTTAGCTTGAGATCATATAGTAATAATAAAGCCAAAACAAAGCTTACCAAAGCTCCTTTCTGCTTTACAGATCTAAAAACATTTAGTAAGACTAGAATGGGCATTCACCATGAAATAACAAAAATGCCTTCTTGAGTGAATCGTAATCCTACTAAACAACTCAACTAACATGCTTGAACCTATAGCTATTTGTGTGTATAACATGCATCTATTTACTGAGAGATAGATGCGTGCATATTGATACATATATGCATGTAAGACATATACGTATAAACGGAACAATCAACCATAAAAAAGATACACTTCAATATTTAAGTATATGTGAGGTGCACGTACAGCATTAGTATCCATGCTTCTGTGTAGCTGTTTTGCATAAATGCTAATCATAGAATGAAAAGCATGCCACTCTAACTTATATTTTTATTTTTTTGAAAAGCCATGGCACCCTAATTATTTAGTACCATTTCAAGTCACAAAATCTAATATCGTGTTATTCTTTCGGGTACAAAGTTCTGCCATTAGGAATATTTTATCTACAAAAAGTTTAAACAGTATTTAACATAAAATAAAAGCCAACATGCTTCATGAGTGCAACTCCCAGTTTCAGCTTTCCTCATAGATAGATAGAATTGTGGTTTGTTTATTTATATTAATATTGATGGACAACCAATGTGCATCATAAGAGGAATAATTCTACCCTAGTTCTAATCCTTATAAGATAAATTATCTACTCAATAACTACATACAAATTAAAATTGCATGCCCTAGTCAGTTTATACTAATAGTCAATCGAGCAACTAAGATCTCATTTAAGAATGTTTGTGCTAATGACTGTCAAAATCAAGTTATATGTGTATCATGTGTCTCTAAAAGAAGACTACGAAACATAAAATCGATGGTAGATTCCTTAAAACATTAAGTACTTTACAATAAAAAAAATAAAGTACTGTACAAGATAACTAGTGGCTGAACTAACAAAAAGCTCAAGTTCGTAGTAGAGGAATAAACATCATTTAAGTGTCCACAAGATATACATTTTGCGTGCATCGTACAAACATACACACAATGCACACACGCAAGGCAACCTAATTTAGTGATTAGTTAATGAAAACTTTCTATGGTCTGCACTGCTATTAATAATATCAAGCATCACAACAAATTTCCAATAAGATCACTGGAGCAAGATCCAAGATGTCAATCGTCGGATGGTTGTGAATTTTTAAAAGATGTTTACAATATTGATCAACTTAAACCAATGAACTGTGTAAATTTTGGACGAACAAGGAAGAAAAGGAGAAGAGAAACGAACACTGTGTAAATTGAATATGGAAATTAAAAAGCTAAAAATATGCCACATCTAGAAATACGAACAATAAGGTCATTTGAGAAATATATACATACTCTTTATCGCCAAGCTTCACTTCAGTTCCTCCATAATCCGGTAACAGAACAGTGTCACCTTCCTTGACAGTAACAGGAATAAACTTTCCCTCCTTATCACGAACCCCATGACCGACAGCAACAACTTTTCCAGAGTTCAACTAAAGCATAATAAAATGAAAAACATTCCATTTCGCAGAAACAATACCTTATTTCTATGCAGAATGCTTGTTTTTAATTTCCTCGAGGAAAAAATAATATTTCCCCAATCTCTTTTGGACTTTTCTAACTGAGACCGACTGGAATTTAAGTAACAGCAAAGCCGCATTCAGATTGGCTTTATACCAACAACAACAACAAAAAGGCACAAGTCCATGTTACTGTGCAACAAAATTCCTATTTAGATTCCTCACCAAAAGAACAAACAAATCTAAATGGTTTTGATTTTGGGTTTTCTGATGTACTGGTTCGACAATAACAATACGCTTGCAATGTTAAATAGTACCCATATACAGGAAAAGCTCAATCTCCCTAAAACGCACAGCCAGAGCTATTGAATCAATCAAACGCCAATTAACCAATTCATTTCAAAGTGAACTCAAATCCTAAAAACCACAGAGAACTCAAGTTTTCATTTTATATTATTATCGAAGTTTCCCAGGAAACAACCACAACAATGAGAAAGTAGGGAGTGGATAAATTGGCAAGTATACCTTGGTGGACTTCTCAGGGAGTAAGATCCCAGCATTGGTTTTGGATGGAGGGATGATTTTCTCAACAAGAACACGATTCAACAAGGGAACCAAACGCTTCGCCATCAGAAAAAGCTTCGCCTGAGCTGCTAAAGTCCTTCAATCGAATCTACCCCTTTGCTTCTGGGCTTGTGTGGGGTTTAGGCTGCTGGGCCTGGGTTTATCGTTTGTCCATGAAATTTACATCAATGCGCCTCTTTGAAAAGGACCAACTATTTGTCTCTCATTAGTTGGACAGAGGAGATCTCGAATTCGACTTACATGAAGAGGGAAAAAGATATATTTGACAAAAAGAAAAGAAAAAAAAAGGGGGTAAATATATAAATTTTGTATTTAGTTCGATATCTTGTTGTAGCATAGGGTTTTTTTTATATATATACAATTGATATGGGAAGGAGGAAATTAAAACTCGGTGACGAAATTGTTTCTTTTATACAAGTAATATTGGGGATATATTGGCTCATTATAAAAGTATCTTATAAATATATCATCATTTCTATATAAAAAATTATTAATAATAAACTGAATTTTGAACAGGCTAATTAATGTTTTGCCCCAAGTACTTTTATTAAAATCTTAATTTATTTCATGTATTTTCAATGTCTTATTTTAACGTAACATGCCCGTTTGGTTCAAGGTTTAGAAGTTTGGAAATGGGTTTCAAATTGCATTCCCATGTTTAATAAGTGCACTCTTGGGAATGCAATTATGGACTCATGGGTATGGACTTCCCATGTAAGGAGGAAAGTTCATACCCTTAGCTCACCTTGGGAAACTTTTTCCTCCCACTTGGGAAAGCATTTAATGCAGTTTTTTTTTACTATCTTACCCATGTGATTATTTTAAAATACCACGTTTGACCTTTAAAAAACTCTTCATATTAATATCTTCTAATAATAAAAAAATCAAAGGTATATTGTTGGAAACTGATCAACTTTTTATTCCTAATATTGCACAAACCAAACATGGGAATGGGAGAAAACAACATTTTCTAGTCCTCATTTATAAGCATTCCCAAACATGGGAATCTCGTGGGATTAGAAGAAATTTATTCCCAAGAAGTTCAATAACCAAATGAATATTTTGCCACACACACGCTGCAATCTCAATAATGGTGTCGCAGATGAGCATCTAGACTATACCAACCTTGAGCTAACATGGGTTCTTCTTGGCATTGATGATTGCAATGATGATGTACATTATTTGATCATTGTATCTTGAGGTGTTTGTGTGAAATGTTTTTAACAAAGCACTAGAAGAGATTGCAAATGGGATTAGAGTTTTGGTTTGTTTTAGGAGGTGGGGCTTATGTAATTAAATCAACAGAATACTAGAAAAGGATGACGATGGAAGTGTAAGTACGGGTAGGAATTGAAGGAAACATTAAAATCCTACTTATATTTAGCCAAAAAGATAAGGTTACAAGTAACCTTAGATAATGGAAGCTTTAAAATTTAATTTTTAAGTTTTAACAAAACTAACCCCAAGTATCTTGAGGCTTGGTTTAGATTGTTCCACTCCTAGACATTCTAGACTAAGAGAAAGAAAAAGTAGAAACTTTACTCTTGAAGCGCTACTCAAGATTGACATCCTTTGAGTTGATCACCTTATGGAAGGCCTTCTAGATTCAAGAAATCACCAATGGAGGTAATCTCTAACTTTTCCACACGAAGGAAGATGGAGGATATGAGGCAACCTAGGAAGGAAATGATGCTAGTGCTCACTTCCTAGGGTGGCCAGTTTTGGCTAGGTGGGAGGAGCTTGATGATGTTTTAATTGCTCTCTTGAAACTAGCTAAAAAACCCTAACTTTTCTCAAGAGACAAAGTTCACTTAAATAGACACACAAGGGGGAGACCAAAGTCCCCCTTTGGTAAAACCGGCCATGGGGTATTACTTGGGCTTGTTGGGCTCAAGTGGTCATCTTACTATGCCCACAGAACTCAATTAGCCCATTGGATCCAAGCCCAAAGGCTCCTGAACCCAATTTCATAGTTTAGGTCCAAATTACCCTTTTCACGTATCCTCTTAATTAATTTGATCTCTATTAAATTAATAAGTCTATAAACATCATATTTATTTCCTTTCATCAAACCTTATTAGTGTGCAATCCATTAGGTTCTAATCGGCAAGGTAGTGGGCGATCCAAAACTCTATTGATCAATTGTAAATTAAAACTCCCTTTAATTCTCCCTTTATGAGAACTAGATTTTGTTCTTAGGGCTTACACAAACCGTGAGCGATGTCTAGCAACATGTCATGATTCCCCAAGTCAATATAAAATGGGTTTGTGAACTTATTCAGTTGAAATTATCATGTAATACGGCCAAGAGCCCTTAGCATGATCTAAAGTCTCATGTGATTCATTAGAGCATGATCACATTCTCTATTATTGATCTAGCTCGTTGCTTTGGTCAAAGACTTTTGAGTCACATATTCTGAGCATTCTCCTCTTTTACTAAAGGTAGAGATCACTTGTTGTACACTCCATGTCTCCATGAATTGATCATGAACCATATTTATATCTTTGGGTTATGTACAGAGAAACACAACACTTCAACATGGCCAAGGGCCGATGACGCTTCCATGAGACAAGTTGTGGTGCCTCAGGCCAGGGACTAATTTGCACTACTCCAACTTGAGAGATCCTGATTGACATGTAAGTAAAACTTACATTCAAGTTCTCTCTATTGATCGTGTTTAGTGAATCCATTCTCTATTAAACACCCATACACTTATCTTAGTGTCTACACATGAATGACTAAGACTAATCGTCCTCTTGATTGAGCATATACATGTGCATGATGGTCTTTGCGGATTATCAATGCCTAGTTGATTATCCTATGACCATAAACTATTATGATGTGGACATGGTACAGAAAGGTCTCCTGACTTAATTCTTTAAGTCACTTTCTACGTCTCACAATCCATAGACTTGTTGATTAAGTAAATGACTAAGATTATTACTCAAAACAACATAATGCCCTTAATTAATTAGGTGAAATATCCTTAGAGTTTACATCTCATGATTAGCTCTAGGGCATACTTCTAACATGAATGGGTTGTGCCAGGTTCGTGTTGTATTTCCAATCCGAATACGAAAATGAGTAAAGAATATCCAACTCAAACACAAGCTCTTATTACACGGGTAACACGACATGACTCAAGTAACCTGTTTTATTTTTTTTTAAAAGCAATAATAATTATTGATGAAACAGAACAAGTACAAAGCAGCCATAGTGCCGAATATGAGTACAATATCTTCAGTGACCAAACACAACAACATGTGGATTTGATCTGGAGAGAATTACGCCTAAACCAAAAAAGACTTAAATCCTTGATTTAGCAGCCCAAAGCACATGTACTCAGACTTGTAATAAAGATCAACCGTGCAACGGTAGAAATGGTAAATTTGTATTGGAAGTTGAAAACTAAAATACAAAACACATCAAACTCCTAAAGAGTTCTTGAAAATTATTAGACTAAGACATACAAAGAAACATGATCATCGCTCACACATCCCCTCTGGCAACCGAAAAAACTCATATAATGCCATACCGACTAAACCCTTAGTGCCGCACCGGCTAAACCCAACCCACACAATCCGATAACTTCAATTTTTGTAACTCCAAAATATGAACTAGAGCCAAATCCTTGTGTATGTGGGCCAAACCGACAACTATATGATGGAGACAATGGTGTTTCGCAGTGGTTGCTTCAACAACACAAAACAAACCAGCATAGCAATTGATGTTAAACCCATCGACGTTGACACCACAACCTCTATTGAGATAGAGAGCACCACCGACAACTACCCAAGACCTCACACCAAACAAAACAAAAAAACAAAAACAAAACCAACTAACAAATCCTATATCTAAACATATCTCACAAAGGAGTAACCCGTTTATTAAATGAGTTAGTTGAATTATTATTTAGGTTAACCCATTAACTCCTTGAACCTATTTAGCATATTTACACGGTTTTAGCATATTTTTGAGAAATTATGGGGTTGCATTCATAATTGAGCCAAAAAAGCCACTAGCCACAAAAGGGCATTAAAATAAGGAGCGATCTAACATCAAAATTAAGACAATTTGGTGCGCCGCCACTAACGATCATGCATGATAGAAGAAACTTTAGAATAGGCATCTAAACTAAGATTGTAAACTTAGAATAATCAAAAAGAGATCAAGCTTGAAAAACCAAGCCATATCAATACAAATAAAACTCTCATAAAGGAGAGGTGAAAAGTTCTCAGAAAAAGAGAGGTGAAAACTAAACAGAGAACCCAAAGAGTCTCTGTGACTTATTCTAAACATAAAGAAACCAGAAAGAGGGTGATGGTGGAGATCCGAAGCCAAAATGGAGGTGGAGATCCGACATCGAAAATCAGGTGGAGATTCAACGTCAAGACATAGTCGCCTGTGATGGTTGGAGGAAAATCATAACAAAACGAAGACAACCAAGGAAAACCTTTTGTCTTTGAAAATGGGGGAAGAGGAAAAGGGAGAAATAGAATAAGGGAGTGTTCTTCCTCCCCCCCCCCTCAAAGTGAAAACGACTCTAGGATTGTTTGTTGGGATAGAGAAGGCCATGGTTAGCAGCAGGGCCGTCCCTGAGATTTTGAGGGCCTTGTGCGAAACTTAAATTGGGGCCTCACATAATCTAATACGAAAATAATATAAATAAAAATTTTCCATAACTTAATGTCATAAACAATTTTTTTATAACTAAAAGTCACCATGAATAAATATGTAATGACAATCAGAAATCAAATTCATAAAAATTTAAATGTTTCTATTTGATAAAATTAAATGTTTGGTACAAAAATAAGCTCCTTGTGCCCCTACAAGGTCCTTTGCTTGCCTCCAATAAGCAATATGTGTTTAATAGGAAAAAAATTGGCAATCACAAATTAAAGAGAAGTTAGTTGCACACAAATTCCTAAAATTTGAATTTGACTATTTGATTTTGAGTAGTCTTTATGAATTTAGGAATTAGGGTTTTCTCTTTTTAGTGCTGAAATTCCTAAAATTAAAAAAATAACAAAAATTGTCAAAGGATTGAAAAAAGAACCAAAGAGAGATTGATGAATGATGATGATTACTTACCAGAAAAACAGAGTTTAAGAGAAAGAAGAAGCCATGAAGGTTTTTTTATTTTGTTTTGAATGAAGAAAGTACTTTTCTTAGAAGAGAAATTTTTATATTTTTTCAAAAAGAACGATACGTAAGAAGCCTCCTGTGGTTAGCTTTTTCTTTCTTTTTTTTTCTTTTTTTTTCTCAGGCCTCATATGGTTAGCTTTAGGGGTGGGCATCGGGACCGGAAAACCGAAACATCGAACTGAATCAAATAGAAAAAACCGAGAAAAAAATCGGTTGACCGAAAAAGTCAACAAACTGACACCGAACCGCACTGGACCGGTTTGAACCGGTTCTGGTTCCGGTTTAACATTTTACAGAAATGAACTAGACCAGACCGGACCGGCTGTATTAATTTTTTATTTATTTATTTTAAAATATTTCATACTTAAGCCCAATTCTCCTTAACCCAAATAAAAAACCAAACTTAAATCCCATATACCTTTTATTTTCAAAGCCCATTCCATAACCCTACTTCACCTCTCTCTTCTACTTTTCCCTTTTCCCGAACCCAATGTCTTTTCAGTCTTTCTTTTCATTCTTTTCAGTCTTTCTTTATTCTTTTTATCCCTCTCTCTCTCCTTCCCCTTTTCTTTTATTTTCTTGATTCTTCTTCTTTGCTACTTCTCTCTTTCTCTCCCCTCCTTTCCCTTTCCTTTCCTTTCCCTTTTCTTTTCTTCTTTCTTCTTCTTCTCTGATACTTTTTTTTCTCTCTCCTCTTTTCCTTTTCCCTTTTCTTTTCTTCTTTTTTCTTCTTCTCTGCGACTTCTCTCTGTCCCCCCATTTTTTTTTTTTTTTTTTTTTTTTCTTCACTCTCTCTTTCTCTCTCTGTGATTTGATGAAGAGGATGAAAGGGGTTCTTGCTATGGAGCCTTCTTCATTTGCTAGTAACGAAGATCCTAAGACTAGATTCAAGCATCAGAGTCTCATGCAAGGAGAAATATGGTGTTGTATTCAAATTTTTTTTGTCGATTTCATTAGATCTGGTGTGTTGTAATTTTTTTTTGGGTTTTGTTTATGATTTCTGGTTTACTTAGCATTGGATTGTTTAGGGTTATTTTGCTACCAAGCGATCTGAGAATGAAAGCAAAAATCAAATATTTTGGATCAATTTTTTTTGGGTTTCAGAGAAGTAAAAATTGCTTAACTAGATTTAAGTTTTTATTATTTATTTTTTCCTTATTCTCCACTGATCTCTCTTTCTTTTATTACTATGTATGTGACTTGCCAGAGAACCGGCTCAAACTGGAAAACCGGAAAATCGGACCGGAAATAGCCAGTTCGACTTGATCCGGTTTCTATCCTGTTTTTCTTAAAAATCGAACCGGACTAGACCGGATGAACAGTACCGATTTCGGTTTCGATGTGAGCTGCAAACCGAATCGAACTGGATCGTGCCCACCCCTAGTTAGCTTCGATGTTTCCTTTTATTTCAAGGCTTTCTGTTTTTGTTTTTTTGTTTTTTCGCTTTTTTCATTTTTATTTATTTATTTAATAATTATGTAAAGTTTTTAGTTATAATGCAAAAATGATATAAAAATAGCAAATAGACCGCCTTCAACAAGACTCAAACTTTGGTGCTTCGTTAATTGGATGAGCGCTAGAGCCAACTCCACCAGACAAGCCCTTGTGCAAATGTCTAGCACGCTATACTATATATACTCTTCCTATAATATTAATTGTTCGCACTAAATCTGAACAGATAAGAGTTTAGGCTAACTTACAAGTGTGCTGGTGGTTGAGGATTGGAGTGACCTTCTTCCGTGATGTCCGAAGGTTTGAGCAGGGGCTGGATCCGAACTGAGGAGGGGATACCGGTGTGGTACCTGCCAAAGGCACTCCGATGCCAAAGTTAGTAACTAAGAGTGATTCTATTGACAGTGGAAGCACTAGTCAAGTCAGAAAGTCTTATCACTTGGCTGGGCCAAGGGGCTCTATTTATAGAGAGCATTTGTGATGCTCTTAGCACTTAGTTTCGATGTGGGACTCGGGGGAGTGTCTCCGGAGATCGACACATGCTCTGACAGGTTCCAGCAGAAATTCTGAGGTAATCTGACAGAAATTGATTGACGTGATGGTTGGTTGCTCGGCATACCATGCTGAAGGTTAGCGAAGGGACCGATGGTGCATAACCGACCCCATGAATCGATAGAGCATACCGAATGAACATTCGGTATGGCCTAGTTGAGCTGGTCTCGGCTTTGAGGGTGTTCCACGTGTTACGATGTGAGTGGGCAGTCATATATGGTACAAACAGTAGTCCCCCAAGTTTTCGATCGAGGAGGGACTTCCTGGTTGGGGACTTGCTTGTCCCTGAGCTCCAGCACTCTGACCCGGGAATGAGCGTCTGTCGTTTGTAAGCCGATGATGATCATGTAGTCCCCCAAGTCCCCAAGCCGAGAGGTTGGGATGAAGAATGGAAGGGAATCGGTAGGAAGAGGTGAGTGAAAAACTCGACCACGCACGCCTGCCGTTCTGCACAAGAGGTGAGTAAAAACCTGACCCGTGCGTGGCAGCCGTTCGGCACGAGAGGTGAGTGAAAACTTGACCCGTGCGTGCCTACCGTTTGGCAAGAGAGGTGAGTGAAAACTCGACCAGTGCGTGCCTGCCGTTTGGCACTAGAGGTGAGTGAAAACTCGACCAGTGCGTGCGTGCCGTTCAGCATGAGAGGTGAGTGAAAACTCGACTCGTGCGTGCCTGCCGTTCGGCACGAGAGGTGAGTGAAAACTCGACCAGTGCGTGCCTGCCGTTCGGCACGAGAGGTGAGTGAAAAACTCGACCAGTGCGTGCCTGCCGTTCGGCACGAGAGGTGAGCGAAAACTCGACCCGTGCGTGCCTGCCGTATGCTGTGAAAGTTGGGCTTTGCCTCAAAAAGGGGAAGAAAGGGAGAAGGTGAAACGTTCGAAGTGTAGGCGCAAGTGGGGAGGTGAGGGCGGTTGGGCTCCCTTGTGCATGGGTGCCACGTGTCAGCAAGGCTGCGAAGACTTGTGACGTTTCGGTTTCCGAGGCTAGGCTCGTCCTATAAATTGAAGGAAGAGGCGGTAAGAGGAGGTACTTGAGGTTTTTTGAGAGCAAACGGAGCTTGTGAGAGGCGATTTTCGGCGAGTGCATTGTGGCGGTGTAGGCGATTTCTAGCGAGTGGGTGCGAAGGCAGAGCAATTTCCGGCGACTTCCACCACTGTGCAAAACAAGGTATGGTAATGTATTCCCGCCTAGCATGAATCAAATGCTTGTATAGTTGTATGAACACGGAAGAACATGTAAGAACATAGATGAGCGTAGATGAACAGCAGCTCTTGGGCTATAAGATAGGGGTTTGATTCGAGTATGTCATTTAGTTTTGCGTTGCTTTTGTTTGTAGATGTCAGACACGAATCAGACTATAGTCGTAGCCCAAGAGCGTTTGATGGAGAATCGGCATCGGAGAGCTCAACTGCAGGGCTTGATAGTGCTGATTTCGAGGAGACCGAGGGAGGAGAAGTGCCGGAGGTGTCTATCGATACGGGGAGCATTTCGAGTGTGGAAGTAGTGAGGGCGGACGACGTCCACCCATCGACATCTGGCCGTCGAATAGAAGAGGCCGAGGCTGATGTGTCTGTTGCCGAACCTGGTGAAGGCGTGCTGACGGTGGTCACCGACCGACAAAGGATACCAATGGTGAAGCCAAAGGACCTTGTGTTTGGGGTGGACCACCTAGAGCCGAACGTTTTGACCGAAGCAGAGGCGGCGAAGATCCGGGCCTTGTACAACATACCAGAATCGGTAAAGATGCGGATCCCAGGGGCGTTGGAATCACTGAGCAATCCGAAGGGGGAGGTGGTCTTCTTCACGGATGTCTTCAAGCACGGGCTTAGGCTGCCGCTGAGACATTCGGTACAGGCAGCGATCGGCTACGCCCCTGGGCAGTTTAATCCAAATTTTTGGATTACACTCCTGGGGACGGTTACGGCCTTCGACATAGCTGGCGAGGGGGAGCCGAGCTATGAGCAATTCGCCCATCTGTATAGTGTGACGAGGGCGAAGAGCACCGATCAGGGGGGTGGGTGCAGTCGAACTGTCTGTCGACGGGGCAGAGGGGGCATTTCGTAGTTGGGGTGCCGACCTCGCAAAAGACCTGGCGTCGGCGTTGGGTGCTTGTGTCCGGGGCTTGGGAATCGGCGCTGGGAGTGATCGTGGAGAGGCATATCCTCACTTCCTTCCAGACAGTCGGCAGGCCCATCGGGCGTCGTTCGGTAGCCATAATGCCTGTTTTTTTATTTTATTTTAACCAAAGCTAACTGGAGGTTGCATTTTTGTGTTGCAGTGTCCGTGAAACGGCCGATCGCTACGAAGAGGGAGATAGAAGTGATCGAGCGTGTTCAGTCAAGAATAACTTAGGAGGGTCATGTGCACAATGCTCTGCTAGACTACAAGAACTTGTTCAAAGCGGGTCTGATCAGCGAGCCAGAGTACCTCCGAAGGAAGGAGGAAGAAGAAGAGGTGGAGAGGCGAAGTAAGTAATGCCGTTCGGCCTTTCGTGGGTTCATGTTATTGTGGCGTAGGCGGAATCAACGCTAACTTCCCTTTGTTTTGTGCAGTGGTTGGTGGGATGGCAATGACCGAAGCGACGAGGAGGAGGCTCTAATCGCGGGCCCCTCAGAAGAAGAAAACTGGTCCTTCGAGGTCGAAGACGAAGTCGCCCCGCTAGGCCGAGTGTGCGTCGACGCAGGAGGGCACGCCGGGCGATCGGAGGTGGGAGAGAAGGGTGGCGGAGGCCGAGTTGATCCGGGAGGCCCATCTCCAGGTGACTGGGAAAAGGGTGATCAAGGGTGCCCTCGATGTGACCCCTTTACCGAAGAGGCCGAGGGGGCCGAACGAGGAAGCAGCCGTCCTCGTGTCGGACGAGGAGGATGCCGAAGCGGAGCCGGTGAACATCGCCTGCCCCCAGAAGATGGTACCGTTCATGAACGGCTTCATCGATGGTGCTCAGATGGAGCTTCCGGAGCTGGAGCAGCTGCCGACGAAGTCGGTGCGCGAACAGGCCGGACGTGCCTTCTGCCTCCAAGTTGCCGTAAGTGTACTTACCTTAGTTTGGTCCAAGGGATGAGGTGATGGGGACATGCTAACGTTTGTCTTGTGTTGTAGGCTAACATGGAGATATGGCTCGACATGAAGCGGGCTATCAACACGGCCGAGCGCGCCTAGAGGAAGTGCGAGGAGGGCCGAGCCAAAATTGCCGAGGTTGGGAAGCTACTCCAAGATGCGGATTGGCATGCGGAGGAGAATGCTGCCAAGATAACCGAGCTATGCTCCAGGCTGGCGGAGGCCGAAAGGGCGGCAGTGGATGCCAAAGAGGCCAGGGCGAGGGCAGAGGCGGCGAAGGAGGCCGAGCGTCGGTCTTGGGCGACGGAGCTGGAGGAGGCCAAGAAACAGGCCAGAGCTGAGTACCGAAACTGGCTGGAGTTTGTGGCATTGCTAGATAAGTAGGTGATGGAGCAATGCGAGGATCTCATCTACCGGTTCAAGCACTTCAATGCCGATAAAAAGCTAAACCTGAACTTCGTCTGGGATCTACCGCCGTTGCCGGAGAGGGTAACCGAGGAGATGGTCGAGGCGTACCTCGGGGAGGATGCCGAAGCCGATTCCTCGAGTGGCTCAGAATCAGACAGTGAGGAGGAAGAAACGACTCCCCCTGCTGAGCCGTTGAGTGCCCTAGAGGATGAGGGCAGGTCGGCACTGCCCGAGGCCGATCCTCCAACTCCTTGACTGCTGCCCTACCTCTCTTGTGTTGTAACATAATTAGTGGTTGGATATTGAGGTCGTTCGGCCAATTTTTGTAAAGACAATTGCCCAGTTTGAGGCGTTAATTATATCCAAGTTTAGTTTGAATCAGCTTCGGTGTCTGTTCTTGTTGCCGAATATAAGCATGGATGCCGAATTGTATAAAAATAGGAAAACAAGAATGTCGTTGTAAGAAAAATTGTACAAAAGTATAGTGGCCAAAGGTCCAATCACTTGTGATAGAATTTTAAATGTTCGACATTCCAAGGGTGGGCGAGGGTTTGACCGTCGGAGCCACGTAATCGGTAAGTGTCGGGTCGGCAGATGCTGACAATTTCATAGGGTCCTTCCCTTGAAGGGTCGAGAGTGCCTTCAGTAGGATTTCTCGTGGCTAGAGACACTTTTCGCAGAAACTAGTCCCCTATCTTGAACGATCGGTGTTTTACACGCGAGTCGTAATACCGAGCCGTTCGTTGTTTGTAGGTAGCGTTCCAAAGCTGTGCTTGCGATCAGCATTCGGCAATGAGATCCAGATTGAGGGCGAGCTATTGTTCATTCTGCTAAGGGTCGTAAGATGTTGTTCGGCATGTGGGTGCATGTACCTCTACTGGTACAACAGCTTCACTAGTTGACCTTCGGTAGGAGGTGTTGATGGCCCATAGTGCTTCTGGTAGTATGGCAGGCCAATTGCCCTTGGCGGCTCCCAGTTTCTTCCTCAATGTTTTCTTGATGATCTTGTTGTACTTGCCCATTGGATTGCGGATGTGCCGGAGATGCAAAGAAGATGCTGAAACCGTGAGCAGAGATGCCGAAACCGTGAGCAGTCGAATTGCTTGCCGTTGTCCGTCACGATGGCGTTTGGTAGGCCGAATCGGCATAGGATGTTTTTCCATACGAAGTGTTCGATCTTAGCTGCCGTTATTGTTGTGAAGGCTTCCGCCTCAGTCCATTTGGTAAAGTAATCGACTGCCACGACTGCGAATTTAAGCTGACCTGTGCCTTGAGGCATTGGGCCGATGAGGTCGAGTCCCCATTGGGCGAATGGCCACGGGCTAGTCATCAGACTAAGTGGTTCGGCAGGGGCCTTCGGTACAGATCCGAAACGTTGGCACGGATCGCACCTTTGCACAATCTGGGTGGCGTCAGCGTGGAGAGTTGGCCAATAATAGCCTTGCCGAACGGCCTTGAGGGCCAAGGATCGGGACCCCGAGTGGTCTCCACAAGCGCCTTCGTGTATCTCACGCAAGATGTAGTCTCCTTGTTGCGGTGTAACACATCTCAGCAACGGCAGGGAGTAGCTGCGCCTATAGAGGATGCCTTGCAACAGAAGGTAGCGAGCCGATCGTCATCGTACTGCATTTGCTTCGGCTTTTTCAGTTGGTAGGGTGCCGTCGGTGAGGTGGGCGCGGATTGGGTCCATCCAACTAGGGTCCTTACGGACTGTGTTGACATCGACTTCGGTCGTGCTCCACCGAGCGAGAACCCCTATGGGGACGTGGCGTCCAACACGGACGTCGATTGCCGAAGCGAGCCTAGAAAGAGCATCGATGTGGCTGTTCTCAGATCTGGGGATCTGGCGGATGTAGTAGGTTTTGAACTGTTCGAGCAATCGGCGGGTTTGCGCGAGATAGGCAGCCATTTATTCGTCCTTTGCTGCGAATTCGGTGATTACCTAGTTGACGACGAGCTGGGAGTCGCTACATATCATCAGCCGTTCGGTACCCGAGCTATGGGCAAGCCGAAGGCCTGCCAGGAGCGCCTCGTATTCGGCCTCGTTGTTGGAAGCATGAAATTGAAAGCGAATAGCATATTCGATTTTGGTGTCATCCGGAGTCTTGAGGACTAGGCCTGCGCCACTGCCCTACCGATTGGATGAGCCATCCACGTATAACATCCAGTAGGGGTTGTTTTGATCGAACGCGCTGTCTGCCGAAGGTGGTGCTGTGACCGAGCCGATTGGTTGACCGTTGTTGGTTGGAAGTGTGAATTCTGAGATGAAATCGGCCACGACCTGTCCTTTTTTGGAAGGCCGAGGGTGATACCTAATGTCGAACTCGCCAAGCTCGATGGCCCATTTGATCAGTCGTCCTGATGTTTCTGGCTTCTGCAAGACTTGCAGTAGGGGTTTATTGGTTAATACGTCGATGCTGTGAGCTTGAAAGTGGGGCCGAAGTTTGCGTGCAGAGAGGACGAGGGCGTATGCCAACTTTTCAAGCTGGGGTACCGTTGTTCTGCGTCTTGTAATGCATGGCTCATATAAAAGATGGGGAGCTCAATGCCGTTCGGTCGACGGATGAGTACGGAGCTCAAGGCGGATGCCGAGACCGAGAGATAGATGATGAGGTCTTCTCCGGGAAGAGGGGTGGACAACAAATGAGCTCTGCTCATGTAGGCTTTTAGATATTCGAACGCCTGGTCGCATTCGGAAGTCCAGTCGACCTGCCGTTTACTCCCCTTGAGGGCTTTGAAGGGGCGCACAGGTCGGTGGCCTTTGATATGAAACGGGCCAAGGCGGCGACTCAGCCGGTGAGGCTCTCGACCTCCTTCTTCGTCTTCGACACCCGCATGTCGATGAGCGCTCGAATCTTCTCGGGGTTGGCCTCAATCCCCCTTTGGCTGATCATGAAGCCTAGGAATTTGCCAGAAGAGACGCCGAAGGCGCATTTTCTCGGGTTCAAGCGCATGTGGTATTTTTTTAGCTTGCCGAACATGAGTGAGAGGTTTCGAAGATGATCGTCGGCGGTCCGACTTTTGACTAGCATATCGTCTACGTAGACCTCCATTGAAGTGCCAATGAGTTCGGCAAAGATTTTGTTGACAGTTGCTGGTATGTAGCTCCAGCATTTTTCAGGTCGAACGGCATGACGTTGTAGCAATAAAGCCCTCTGTCGGTAATGAATGTCGTATGCTCACGATCTGTAGGATGCATGAAAATCTGGTTGTAGCCGGAGTAGGCGTCCATGAAGCTGAGGAGCTCATGGCCAGTCGTGGCGTCCACCAGTTGGTCAATTCTTGGCAGTGGAAAGCTATCCTTCGGACATGCTTTATTTAGATTGGTTTAATCTTGGCACATTCGCCAGGCACCGTCGGATTTCTTCTCCAAGACTGAGTTGGCGAGCCAAATGGGGTAGGTGACTTCACGGATGAAGCCGATTGCCTGAAGCTTGTCTACTTCAGTCTTCATGGCCTCGTATCGTTCGGCGTCGTAGGATCGTCTCTTCTGTCGGACTGGCCTGAAGGAAGGGGAGATGCTGAGCTTGTGGCTGATGACGTCCGGGGAGATCCTAGGCATATCGTTGTAAGACCAGGCAAAAACTTCCGAATTGGCCCTTAGAATGGTAATGAAGTCGATCCAGAGAGACGGACTGAGGGAAGTGCCGATTCGGACCTGCCGATCCTGTGTGTCGGAGATGGAGATCGTTTCAAGCTCTTCGGTAGGTTGGGCTTGCAGCGTGACGTTGTCATCTCGGGGGTCATCGGTACGTTCGGTCCCTTCTTTGCCGTTCGGCATGTTTGGGTGGGTAACGGCCAATGTTTCGGGCGGCCTTTGCCCAGACGTCCGAGTTGCTGATTCCGCCGTGGATGACACGTAGCATACCCGTGCGCTCAATTGGTCCCCCCAGACCTGACCGACTCCTGAGTGGGTTGGGAATTTAAGCAGCAGTATATGAGGTGACAAAATGGCTTTCATTCGGGTGAAGACGCGCCTGCCAATGATGGCGTTGTATGCGGTCGGACAGTTGACTTTCAAGAAGTGAATGTAGATGAATGCCCTTCTGGAGCCAGAGCCGACGGCAAAGGGAAGCTGGATGCTTCCGATAGGCTCGACCACATCGCCTGAGAAGCTTAGAAGAGGAGTGATCTCCTTGTTGAAGCTTTGATGGTCGATTCCAAGGGCGTTGAAAGCATCGGCAAAGAGTACGTTGACAGAGCTTCCGGTGTCGATGAGGATTCAGCTTACGTCGAAATCGGCAATGTCTGCTCGAATGATCATGGGATTGGAATGGGGGAAGATGATGTCCTTTTCTTCTTCTTCGGAAAAGGTGATGGGTTCCCATCCGAATCGCCGGATTTTGCTGTTGCGCTCCTCAGTGAGGCTGAGGACCTAGGGGTGCCGAATGGCACGTACATAACTCTTGACGGACTAACGGCTGTAGTCAGCGATCGGTGTACCGCCACCGATCATGTTGATTTACCGATTGCCCTGGTGCTCGGTACCCGATTGTGCACTCAGATACTGGTCTAGTTTGCCCTCGCTGATCAGTTTCTCAACGATCCTTCGGAGGGGGATGCAGGACTCGGTATTGTGACCTTTGTATTGGTGGTATCGGCAGAAGACTCCTATATCCTTATCGACTTGCCGAGGGAGCTTCCGGAGGCTTGGCTTTGGAATCATCTGATTTTCAGCCATGAGGACATGTTCGTAGGTCGAATTAAGAATGGTGAAGACCTCCGGCGGCCAGTCGCTTTTGGTGCTTCGGAAGTTTCGGCTGTCTGAACCCTTATTGCGTTTGCCTCTGTCCTGCCGACCCTGGAACAAGTCCCTTCGCTTGTCCCCCGTTGTGCAAGGTGCGGGCACAGTGGGTGCCGTTCCGTAGGGAGCTTGATTAGCGGTCTAGTGCGGTGGGAAACGGTCATAGGTGGATGCCGAAGGTTGATTTGTGCTTGCCGTCTGGCCAGGAGATGCCGAAGGCATTCCGTTAGAGTTGAAGTGTTCGTCCTTGGCGTGAATGGCTGCTTGCTTCATGAGTTCGCCATAGGTGGTCCAATTGCTGCTGTGTACTAGGTAGCGGAATTGGGAGGCTTGGAGACCACTTTTGAAGGCGTCGAAGGCTGCTCGGTCGTCGATTTCTGGGCACCGAGAATACTCGTGGCTGAATCTGGCTGCAAACTCCCGAAGGGGCTCACTGTCTCCTTGCCGAATGGTGTAGAGGTCATCGGCAGAGTATAGACGATCGGTCTGTATCATAAAATGATTGAGGAAAATTTGTTTTAACTGGTCGAAAGAGTCTACCGTACTTGGTTCCAGCAGATAAAAACCAATTGAGAGCTACTCCGGCCAAGGTAGATGGGAACAATAGGCATTGGCCTTCATCGGTGAGTCCCTTGCAACCCAAGGCCGATAGAAATGTGTGAATGTGGGTGACGGGGTCTTCCACTCCTGAGTAGAATGAGATTCGGAGGGCCTGTACCTCCTTTTTGGGTCGGTAGAGTCGGATTCAACTGGTGAAGGGTCCCGATTGTGCCTTCCCCCAAGTTGGTGTCCGGATCTGATTCTGCTCTTCCTCGATCCGATTGACTTTTTGAAGGAGGAGGCGGATTATAGGATCGGTAGGAGGGAGATCAGTCCCTAAGGGTTCTGTCGTTTGGGGGCCGGTTGGGAGGCGACCTTCACGTCCTTGTGCCTCGTGGCCTGCCGTCGGACGCTCTTGTCGCCGATCGTTCCTCCTGGCTGATCCGGATGTCGTCGACTGGCGTGAGAGTGTCGTGCTGAGGGAAGTTGGAATGTAGTCGGATTCGTCTGTCTCCTCTAGGCCGATCACGTCGTACCTTCGTCGAAGGGGAGATTTTGGTCCCAATACGTCCAGATGCCGATCGTTGAGTTTTGCTTGGACAGGAATCGGTGATCTCTGCCGTTCCTGTCTTCGGTCATTGATTCTGTCGCGGCAGTCGGAGTAGATTTGGTATTCCCAGCGGTGTTCTGCAGGAGTTGGCACGAACAGCCTTCGGGAGGCGGACGGTTCGCCTCGAGCCAGCCGCTTTCCTACCTGCCGATCGTTAGGCCTTCGTACGCTCTTTAGTGATTGTTCCAGCCAAAGCTGCGTGGTTTGTTCCAAACCGTCCTGCAGTTGGGCTGAACGTGATTGTTGCTCGTGAAGTTGTTTCTGGGTGTCGTCCAGTTTGGAGGAGAGGATATTGTTGTGCTTCTGCATCCTGATCATTTCCCGCTGCTGGGCTTCCATCCTATCTTCCGGGGTGTTTTGCCGACCAAGCGTTTCCACTCGGGGTGTTCCGGGTGGCACAGCAGGGTTCTCTCGGTCGGCGAGGCCGAGGATGGGACTGTCGGCCGTAGGGGGCCAAGGCGGGTTCATAGTTTCAGGAGTAAAAAAAGGAGATATGGGCTGATTGTCAATCGGTTTCCCACAGACGGCGCCAATCTGTTCGCGCTAAATCTGAACAGATAAGAGTTTAGGCTAACTTACAAATGTGCTGGTGGTTGAGGATTGGAGTGACCTTCTTCCGTGATGTCCGTAGGTTTGAGCAGGGGCTGGATCTGAACTGAGGAGGGGATACCGGTGTGGTACCTACCGAAGGCACTCCGATGCCAAAGTTAGTAACTATGAGCGATTCTATTGACAGTGGAAGCACTAGTCAAGTCAGAAAGTCTTACCACTTGGCTGGCTATTTATAGAGAGCATTTGTGATGCTCTTAGCACTTAGTTTCGATGTGGGACTCGGGGGAGTGTCTTCGGAGATCAACACGTGCTTCGACAGGTTCCGGTAGAAATTCCGAGGTAATCTGACAGAAATGGATTGACGTGATGGTTGGTTGCTCGGCAGACCATGCCGAAGGTTAGCGAAGGGACCGATGGTGCATAACCGACCCCCTGAATCGATAGAGCGTACCAAACGAACATTTGGTATGGCTCGGCTTTGAGGGTGTTCCATGTGTTACGACGTGAGTGGGCGGTCAGATATGGTACAAACATTAATATATATAATATACATAATTTTATTTTCGGGGGTCCTGTGCGATGACACCACTTGCACCACCCTAGGGCCGCCCCTGGTTAGCAGTAGTCCTCATATGTGCTAAAAAACTTATGATAATGTGGAAAACATTGTACAAAGATAAATTTAATGTTAAAAATAATTTTAAACTAACAAAACTAGAGAAATTCTCTATGAGAACGTTAGGAAATTATTACTGTGCGGACTATTACCCCTCACTATTTTCCTCTCTGTTTACAATGGCAACCACACGGTAATAATGTGTAGACATCCGAATAGGAGAATTTCCGTAGTTTTGTTGGGAGTGTTTTTCCTCCCCTCTCAAAGTGAAAACGGCTCTAGGATTGTTTGTTGGGAGAAAGGGGGCCAGGGTTAACAATGGTCCTCATATGTACTAAAAAAAACTTATGATAATGTGGAAAACATTATACAAAGATAAATTTAATGTTAAAAATATAATTTTGAACTGACAAAACTAGAGAAATTCTCTATGAGAATGTCTGGAAATTATTATTGTGCAGATGCCATGTATTACACCTCCCTACTTTCCTCTCTATTTACAATGGCAACAACACGGTAGTAATGTGCAGACATTCGAATAGGAGAATTTCCGTAATTTTGTTACTATAGTGTATCGGGCATTATTATACTTATGTGGTTTGGCTCATTATCTATTTATGGAACCCATAAATTGAATAGAAATATGAAATAATTGCTAAGCTCTGGGCTTAAATTCGGGACCTCGAGGGAAGGTGAACAAAAATTATAGTGCTATATTATTCCTAGGCGAAAGGTACATCAAAATCGAACTAAACATGACTAGAAATTCAATTACAAAGGATTAGATACACTGAGGTTGTCAAGTTGTCATTAGCTCTTCTCCGAATAGTGAAGCTGGAATTCATGCTCTTTCCAATGATCAAGATTAATGTAGAAAAAGAATGTGGAAACACAACGAATTTACATTGTTTTAAAAACTAGTATTCTTCAAAATTATCATTTGGTTAGTTTAGTCCCTAATTCCCGAACCAAATGGGACCACCCATTCATGTTTGTTTGGACATCAACGACATGATTGGGACTATAAAGAAACAAAGAAAACAAATGAATTTCACATTATTCTTTGGATATAGTTATTTCAAATCCATTTTGAATATACATGATCATCTAGTTAGTTCGTATACATTTAGGGCTAGTTTGGCATTGCTGTGCTTAAAAAAAATAAAAAAAAATAAAAAAAACTGTTTCTGCTGTGTTGCAAGAATAATCAACTGTGGAAAAAATCAGTTAGGCGTTTGGTAAACTATATTTGAAAAAGTGTTGTGAGTAAAGTGTTTGGTAAACTTTTATACATAAGCACTTTGAGTATGTATAATGAACAAAAAAGTTACAAGATATAAAAAATTAGTTGAAAATGAGCCATTAAATGTTAATAATAATAAAAACTTAATAATAAACTGGATATAATATTTAAAAAAAAATAAACAAAAAAAAAACAAAAAAAAAAAAAAACAAACCACACCAGCATCAGTCAGCCCCTCCCATCCTCTTTCTTCGCAGCCCTTTCCCCATTACCACCACAAACTCTCACCCCCTCCCTCCTCTCCTTCCCTGTTTGGAACCAATCCCCCCATCGCAAATAATCGCCAGGCCCCTCCAACAACCCCACCTGACCCGACTCTGATACTATGGCCTTGTTTGGGATTGCTTTTTTTGGCAAAAAACATGCTTCACTTTAAAGTTAAGTAGTTTAAGGTGTTTGGTAAAAATAAAATATCCCGATTATTTTAAAAGCAGTGGCCTTTTGATAGCAGCTTTTAAAAGCAGACTCTCGGTTGCTTTTCAAAGTTGCTTTCAAAAGAAGCAGAAATGAACCTTTAATGAATTTTTTAATTCCCAAAATACCATCATTCATTTAAAAAAAGGACACCACCTCCACTTCCACATCTAACTCCACCACTTGCACTACTACATTCACTACCTCCACAACCACCACCACCACCACCACAACCACCACCTCCTCCACCACCTCCACCTCCACCACCACCACTACCACCACAACCACCACCTCCTCCAAAACGTCCACATCCACCATCACCTCCACAACCAACAACACCACCACGTCCATGTTGCCATTGCGGCCACCACCACCTCCATAACCGCCATCCCCATCACCACCACTACCACAACCACCAACTCCACGCTCATCACCACCACCACCTCCACTCCATCACTACCATTACAACCACATGATTAGTACATAATACTTTCAACATCATATCTATTTTAATCATTATCCACAGTTACAACAATTTTATATTAAAATTTATCAAACGGTTTTGACACTGCCTTTTGTACTAACAGCACTTTAAAAATATTGTTTACCCAACATAGAGCCGCTTTACTTTATAGCTAATTATTTTCAAAGCACAGCAGAAGCAACTTTTTTGAAAAACTGCTTTGGATGACCCGAGATTTTAAAATAAGCTGACTTGATTTCTTTCACCAAACACTTTCAATTGCAAAAATTATTTTTAAAGCCGCTTATTTTTTAAGCACGGCACTCCCAAACGCGGGTCTTGCTTTTGTAGCAAATTGTTGTCAAATCCAAATATTTTCTTTCATATCAATCAATCCAAATGGAGCCTAATTAATACTGTACACATTCTACATATTGCTGGAAAATAACAATAAATAAGAAGGATGATTTGGCAGCATTAAAAAAGAAATAGACATTATCTCAATTTTTATTGAACAAAAATGAGAGACCACTTCCAATTTCTCAAAAAAGTGATTGTGTGATGAGAGGCCAAGCTAGGCAGCACGCTGGGGTGTGATGGCTCTTGACCCGTGAGGTTTAGTATTCGTACCTAACACCCCAATCTAATACCAAGTTGAGGTTTGCTACCCACCCATTGAGGATGGGCGGCCCTACTAACCCGAGGGTAGGGGCGTGCTTTGTGCGACTTCACCAAGGTGAACAGTGCAAGACCACCACACCTCACCTAACAAGGCTTGCTCAAACAACCAATCACTTTAATGCCCTGCTTAGTTACAAACCCACGCTACTAGGCTCGGCAATTACAAGATGTCATGTAAATCCTTATAAGCATTCGTATTATTGCGTATTTTTTCAATGTGGGACTTTACAATAAGCCTATGCCATCATTAGGACACCCCAGTAGTGATTTCAAAATGCTCCTTAGCATATATCTATCTACATCGGTTCTGAGTCCCCATCTGTATATTATCTTCCCAATCATCAGATGATGAACCTCAACTCATTCCAGCATAATATTCACCTCCACCAAACTAAGTTAACGTTGAAAAAAAGTTCTCTAATATCCACAATCATTAATACAGTTAATAAATAAATATACATTAAGTGATGTTTCTGGTAACCTTGGATTGAGATTACCACCAATTCATCAACATATAGAGGGCCTGTCCACTGATGTGTTTCGTTATTTAATCATACCAACTCAGAGAATAATCTTGGCTTCATCATACAATCTCAGAGAGAGATAGAAGAACTGCTCACTGCTCATGTATGACAGAACTATGTTGGACGCGTGGTAAAGACCATATATTTTTATGGACCTCAGAATTAGATTGAATAGAAATATGAAATAATTGCTAAGCTCTGGCCTTAAATATGAGACCTTGACGGAAGATGAACAAAAATTACAGGTCTATATAATTCGATTACATCAAAATCGAACTAAACATTATTAGTAATTCGATTACAAAGGCTTAGATACACTGAGGTTGTCAAGTTGTCATTAGCTCTTCTCCAATTCTGATCTTGATACCCATGCACTTGGCAACATTGGATAATGCACAAGTGATGGATCATGATTAATATCTATAGGACTGGTTTACCTTCTCTTGGCTTCCGAAGGAACACAATTTATTTTCTGTTTCCGATGGGGACTTCCACCATCTCCTCTTCCTGGTCCGATTGTTTTCTTTGCTTCCGAAGGGGAGGGACTTATTCCGACGGGACAGAGGGACTTTTTCCTCGGGGAGGGGGACTTTCCGATGGGACTTTTCCTTTTTCAGGACTTACACTTCGATGTGACAAAGGGATTTTTCCCCACGAGGCGAACTTAGTGTGTTAGAGGCTGAATTATAAGGAGTTTACTCACAGCCCAGTGGATCGATGTGGGACAAGCTTACTCACAGCCCACTTGGTGGAATAATTGCATTTAAGCCAACCCAGCTGCAGAAATCAATGGAATCAGAAACCAAGTGTTTTTTTTCTTCTCCTTTTTCTGTCAAAATAAGAAACAGAGTTTTGTTTATATAAAGAATACATAAAAGAAGAACCAAATACAGAAGGCACTTTCAAAATTAAGCTTCACAGTGAGTGTTGGATAATGGATGAGTGAAAGGGTCCAAACAATTTTGGAAGTGTGAATAAAAGAAAGAAATCATATCACGGAGAAAAATAAAAGTACTTCTCTCTCTCTCTCTCTCTCTCTCTCTCTCTCTCTCTCTCTTCTTCTTGGGTTGGATTAATCTATTTCTGGTTTGGTTGGGTTTCATTAATATTTGTTTGGTTTCTGTAGCAAAAAACAAGAGTACTTTTTTGGTTTGGCTAGGTTTGCTTAATTGAAAAGGAGAAACTGAGTTTGATGAATTAAAACAGAAACAAGAACGCCGCTTGTTTAACTGTATTGTTTCCACTTAACTAGTTTTCCCTTTGTGTTAGAAATTTGTATTTCGTGTTTGCAGTCCCAAGCGACGACTCTTGTTTCTGGCGTTTTTTACCCTGCTACTGTGAAGTTAAGAGAGGCTGTTTGCACCCATTCCCCAACCATTTGGGTCAAATCAATGGTCTAAATGGCTAAAAGGCCCAACATTCCAAACTATTTGAACACATTTAAAAGCCCAAAATAATTGGAAAATGGGCCAGCGCGTGCTCAGAGGGGGAAAATACTAAATCGGATATGTCTGATACAGTTTGAAAAGGTTAAAAAGATATGTGTTTTTTAAACCAAAATTAAAAAAGGTTATTAAAAAATAGATAAAAGACTATATCTATTAGAGTACCCAATATATTCTTATTCCAATTTCATAAATTAACAACCAATGTTAAATTTAGGAAATATATTTCTTGAAACAGAAATCAAAATGTCATGCCAACACGTGGTACTTCATGACTGGTTCCAAAGAAGAGATAATTGGATTAAAATAAACAAAGCCCCAAAAAGCTTGTTTATTTGAAAGACCTGGGTTATCCCCCAAAGACCATTGCTTTTACCTAGTTAAAAGTGCGGACATCTAGATTTAAACTCAAGGTTGATCTCGACAACTGATGGATAGTCACACATCATGAAGGAGGAGGGAGGGGAGAGGGGGGACAACCGCATTAAATGCGATTTGAACCTTGAGGTTCAACCGCATCAACTTGTTAGAGCGAGCTAAATCGCGAGGATTAAGAAAGAACGAGAGATCAGTCAATCTTACTTGCAAAGAAGAGACTGGTACATAGTTGGAACATTCCTTTGCCAAGCGTGCAAAGCCAAGGAGCCAAAAGAACTATAAATAGCAGCAAAAGATTTGATTAAGGGGACAACCAATTTCTATCAATAACAAACAACTTATTTGAACAACCTTCAAATACTCTTGACTCAAACACCTTGTCAAAGCGTTTCATAGCATACCAAAGTCAAGACTTGAATCAAAATCCTCTCTTACTCTTTGAGTTCCCAATTGACCACTCATGATTGGAATTCTATTTTTTTTCCCAAACACATACTCTATCTAATTCTCAATTGACAACTCTTGATTGGAATTACATTGCTATTGTTTGTAATCTTAACGCTCTACCAACATCAGTGTTTGGTATGATTTTATAAGTTGGTCACTTGTTCTATAACTTATCTAAAAGCAAATTCATATCTACATGCCTCTTTGTGCATTGCATATACTGTTGACATCCTTCATTTGACTTATTATATTGTCTCAAGTAGATTACAGTGGTGTCTGTTTTAAGATTCCCCCATATCCTACTTCTGAAGCATCGGTTTCTATGATTTTAAAGGCTTCTAGGTTGGCGAAAGCTAAACAAGGAAGTTCTTTGACTTTTACTTTCAATCTCCTAGCAGCTTTAGTGTGTTCATCAGACCAAGGAACTGGGTTCTTTTTCAACCTTTGATATAATAATTTTGAGTCATGAGCTAAATCTTTATAAAAATCTTTTATGTAATTGAGACTTCCTAAGAACCTTTGTAACTATTGCTTGTCCCTAACTTCATCAGGGAACTTATCAGTAAAGGATATTGCTCGATCAATCGGAACTATTAGTCCCTTATTAATATTATGTCCCAAAAAGCAAACTTTTGAAGAAAATACTTTCATTTTCTTTGCCGATACTACTAATCATGCATGTTTCACAACTTTCAAGAAAATATTCAGATGTTTAAAGTGCTGTTCCAAAGAATTAGAATAGACTAAAACATCATCAATATAAACAAGAGTGAAAGCAGTGTAAGGATTAAATATATCATTCATAATATTTTGAAATTCAGAAGGAGCACTTTTCAATCCAAAAGGTAGAACGTTCCATTCGTAATGTCCAAAGGGGACATTAAAAGCTGTTTTGTACCTATCCTTATCGGCGATCTAGATTTGCCAATATCCTGATTTCATGTCGAATTTTGAAAAGATGACTGCCTTATTTAGTCTATCCAAAAGATCCTTCTTATTAGGTATCGGATATCTAACCCATTTCAAGGCTTTATTTAGAGGTTTGTAATTTATCACCAATCTTGGTACTCCTCTTTCTAATTCAGTTGCGTTTTCGACATAAAAAGCGGAACAGCTCCAAGGAGATGAGCTTTACCTGATTAACTTCTTATTTAATAAATCTTGTATTTTAGATTTACAAATTTCCATCAGCCTAGCATTCATTTGAATTGGCCTGGCTTTGGTTGGGATTTTCTTTTCATCAAAATGAGGCTCATAGGGTAATTCAATTATGTGCCTTATTCTATTCCAGAAGGCATTGGGTATTTCAACACAAACTTGACTTTCGAACATCTTTTGGATTTCATCAATTTTTTCTTTTATCTTGCTATTTTGCAACTGGTCTTCTATTCTCTTATGCTGCATTTCTTCTTTCAAATGGTACAAATAGTTTTCTTTCCTTTTTATTTTTTCTTAAATTTCATTAATATACTTATGCTTTGGTGGTTGAGAAAACCTAAAGATTATAGGTTGACCTTCTACCTCATTCTAATTCCTTCTTCCGAAACAGAAAAAGGATAAAGCATATTAATGAATGGTGTTCCTAATATAAGAGACTGGTTTAAACCTTTCACTAGAATAAAAGGAGTTTCAAAACAATACCCTGATTGAGCACAACAGCGTTAGACAATTTAAATTGAATTCCCATTTTTTGGCTATTAACGGCTGTATGTAGAACCTGGGTAGTTTTCTTAAAATACCTAGTAGGTACCACTCCTCATTTATACAATTAAGATCGGCTCCTGTATCTATTAGCCATTCAACTGTAAATGTATAGGTTCTATCAATCACAACAATTATCATCGCATCCCATTTCTGAGCTATCACTCTATCTATGCTATTAATGAATTTCATGATATTAACCTGCTCTTCTTGTAGAGATTCTTTTCTCACAAGTTCTATTTTTCTTGAAATTCTTCCATTAGATTTTCAAATTCTAATTGCTCTGATTTTTCTTCTATATCTTTTTCCGAAAAAGGGAGATAAAGTTCTAGAACTCTAACCCTATTTTTTAGATCTCTAAGTTCTTCTTTCACATTATGAACTTCGCACTGAAGATCATTGAGAGTAAGTTCTTTCTTGTGAATTTTGTCATTCATCATGTTTACTATAGTTTTAAAGCTATAGTTTTCAACTAGTTGTCTTACATTAGTTACAACTGGCTACGGGTTACTTGGTCCTGCTCTAGCTAATGAGATATAGCTTTCTAGCGCTTCTTTCTTTTTATTTGGATCCTCTATTTTGTCAATTAAGTCTATTATCAGACTTTCTTCTTTGGTTAAAACACATATTTCGAGATCATTGGATTGACAAGCGCACTTATTTTCACTATCTGAACTAGTTTCAGTATCAGATTCAAATAATTATTCATTTTCTAGCTAGGCTAGTTCGTTATCACTATCTTGCTCAGAATAAGAGGAATTAAGCATTATTTGGCAAAGTTGCTGCTTAAGTTCTTCGCTAATGCTTAAGTTACTAATTTTATCCTTCATTTTACATTCGGATTTATAGTGTCTGACTTTTCCACACTTGTAGCATGTTGGGACCGCACCTTTCTTTCCTTTACTAGCCTTCTTACTAGTTTCCCCTGCATATTTCTTTTTCTTAAAGTTTCTATACGGTTTCTTAGGCTCAGACTTAGACTCGTATTTTTCATATTTCTTAGTCCTACGCCCCCCCCAAATTTCTTTCCCTTTTTATGTGGTTTATGTGAATAAGATTTCACTAGTTCAAAACCAAATTGTTCACAGAAGTCTCCTAATTCTTTTCTTCCTAGAGTTTTCTGCTTATCAAGTTGTTTCTTTAATTTCATGTCTATGCAAAGAGCTAATCCTTCTGCACCGATCTTAGAGGATAATTCCCCATAGGTGTATGACCCATAAGGAATGACACCACCATTTTTATCTTTAATTCTATTCCTAACCTTTTCAGCAAATAGAATTGGTAATCCAAAAAGAAATTTCTCTTTCCAAAAATCAACATTATAGTTTTGTCTTGTAAACACCTTAGAGTAGAATACATCCTTATACCATCTAAAATGGGACAAGGTCGGACATTTAAGATTCATTAGGAGTTCCCTAGACCTATCATGCTGCAATTCTATAGTTTCTACAAAATGTAGAGTGATGGTGTAAATCAGTGAATTTACTGCATCTTCTTGGTAAACGTTTTCACTTTTAATGACTCCAATTGCTGGATCCTGTACACTTTGCTGGCCAATGGCCACTTGAGCATTTAAGATCTGGGTCCTAGCCGAGTCGCTTAGGTGAAAATCCCACCATCCTTTCAACTGACCGACCAAGACGACGATAATGGCTTCAACCACCCTCCTGTCTCCATTTCCTTTTATCTTAGAGGTTGTAGCGTACATCATCATATGTTTCATTGTATTAATGATCTGGTATTCTATCAGACCATCAATATTCCACTTAACTATGGAACTTCCGTCATATTGAGCAGAATTCCACATTCCATCTTCCTCAAACTGTAAATCTACTGGTATGGGTCTAGGGTAGTAGTTTTTAGTCTTAGCAGTTTGAGTAAATCTCTTTTCAATCATTAACCTATTAATTTCAGGTTGCTCTTCTTTAAACATTGTTTCCAGGTTATCTATTTCTCCTTCAATGAGAACTGACACTTGAGGACCCTTTCCTTTATCTGACAAATTTAACCCTGATAACTTTTTGGCCAAGACGTCAACAAAGTTTTTGTCTTCAGATATGGTCCTTCCCATCTTAAATTTTTATTATCTAAGGCAAGAGGTGGTTTAAAGAAGGCTCAACTCACTTCTCTATTTCTTTTGGTTTCTGAGGGTCCTGGTTCGGATTTCTGTTCCCCCATTGGAACAGATGTTTCAATCCTAGTAACTTGCTTTCCTAAAGACTGCAGAAACAGGTTGGTGTAGTTATTCTGCTGTATGACAGCACCTACATCTTCTTTACTAGCTATGCGAAAATTAATGGCACTGTCTTCAAGGAAAGTGGTTTCTTTGTAGGGAGTTGCAATTACATCCTTTTGTTTGATCACCATCTCGGGTGGATGTATGGCTTTGACTGACTTTCCATCTTTGGAAGTGTAACTCGAGAAGGGGCTTCCTATCATTTCTATATTATTCCTATATTCAGGGATGTCATACTTTTTAGCACACCAATCTAACCACGCAAAGAAAAAACTGTTGAATTTCTTTTCTTTTATGAAAGCGGTGTGAGCTTTCCAAAGATGGTCTTGCCTATCCTTCCTAAAGGTTGTTTCAAACCAAATTCTTTTATCAACATTTTCAATGCTCAGATAATCTCTTTTAACCTTTTCGTGTTCTATTTCAAAAGATTTTATCATATTTATTTCAAATTCTACATCTGAAAATGTCGGTTCAGGTTGAGGAGGATTTCTTCTGAAAGCTAAGTCTGGAATGGTTTGTTCGAACCTATAGGCTGGCCTCTGTATTTGTTCTTGAGTTCTCCTAAGTCATGCTAGAACCATTCTTTCATGTTCTAGGTCATAAGCTCTATCAGAGGAGGTGCTCGATCTATGTGGTTCTATGTTAGATCTAGAGGGTGCAAAATCAACCTAGTTTTTCTAGCACTAGAGAATTGTATTTCTACCTCTCCATCAGCAAATTGCGAGATCCGTGTAGGCTCCTGATTTTCAAGGGGCCTTTTTGGAGCTACTTCATCCAAGATCCATTTTTCTGGCAGAGTTATATCACTCCACTTTATTATTTTTGGGACTGCCACGTTTGACTTTTCAAGATTGGTTTGGAACAAGGTAGTTTCACTTTTAATGTCTAATTCTTTAGCTTTGGGACAGACAATGTTCATAACCTTATATGAAACCCTGTAAATGATTGCTAGATTTTGGGATCCTGGGTCCATATCATAACCCTCAGTTTGAATATTCGAAGTTAAAGCTTTTAAGACATTTATATCAGAAAGTGCAACAGAAAAGTTGGGAAAACAGTTAAATATAGGCTTAATTATGTACATGCCCCTTGTGCTTTCAAACTTATCTCAGATTACCACCTGTGTTTGTAAACATCTCAAAGTACCCCCCCAACGTTTAAAAAAACCGTCTCATGTTACCCGTTCCGTCAGTTTTTTGATGTTCCGTTATGAACGTTACTGTTCATCCCCCCCAAAATTCCAGAACAGCAGCCCCTCCCCTTTGTTATTGTTCATCGCTTATTTACCCTTCAAAACTCAGAAATTTCTCCTAACCAATACAACTAGCAGCAAGAACAGCTCGAGAGGTTGAAAAATCATACATGGATCGAAGCAAATGGTTCTCGGAATCGCCTGAACGACCGATGAAGATTTTGGGTTAAAACCAGCAAATTTCTTGCTTTTTCCGGCAATCAATACGGCGGTTGGCAGCGGCTGAGATGTGAGGCTGGTAGAGGACAACGTGCTAGTTCTTTTGATACCCATGTCGTCGCTTGGGGTGGCCGGAGGAGGAGATGGCAGCCCAAAAACTAGTCGGATGAACAGTAACAAAGGGGAGGGCTGCCGTTCTGGAATTTTGGGGGGGATGAACAGTAACATTCATAACGGAACGTCAAAAAAACTGACGGAAGGGGTAACGTGAGACGGTTTTTAAAAGGTTGGGGGGTACTTTGAGCCGTTTGCAAACGCAGGTGGTAATCTGAGACAAGTTTGTAAGCACAGAGGGCATGTACATAATTAAGCCTAAAATATATTGGGTCTTCCCCTAAGGTTGACTTGACTATTCCTAACAAGGAATCTGTGAACTTTCTATGTCTTCCATCTCTTACACATAGCAAGATTGAACTGGACAATCCTGTTCTGGTAAGTGGCTTCACCACTACTTGCACCAAACCTATGTGCAAATAGTTATATTTTCTATCCAGATGCTGGTCGATTTGACGCTGAGTAAATAGCTGGAAACTGTCATTATTATCAATGACAGATATGGTTTTTTCAACAGTTTTTATTGCATAATCATATCTAAATTTGAAAGATCCTTTATAGTAGATATCAGTAATGGGTACTCTAGGTATATCCCAGTTGGAAAACTCCTTTTCTACGTCCTACATGGTTATTTCTTGAGAGTTTTTTACCCTTAGGGTTCTATGGCTAGAACTGCTACTAGCGCCTGCATCTCCAGAAGAACGGGTAGACAAGATTTTTCTAAGGCTTGCCATTTTATCAATCTAGGTTTTATGCTTTCCTTTTGTTCTCCTCCAATTCAAGGTTGCTAGTCCTTGCCTAGGTCTCTTTAATGCCTTATGCCTCCTTGGCAATGGCCAACGAGCCTATCCGACAGCTAGACAACTCGATGACTAGTGAGTAAGGAAACTTGACAGAAAACCTTCAAATAACAACTCTCCTAGGGACTTTAGGCTATGATACCAGGTAATGGCCCGGCCTCTATATATATATATATATATATATATATATTTCATCGTCCCTGACCTGGAGAAAAAGCATACGATCTCCCCAACTCACCATCCCCAATCTCATCGTCCCCAACCCCATTCGACTTCCCCCACCCCCATCTCATCACCCTTACCCATCCATCCAGCGAGCCCCATCGCGATCTCCCCTACCTCCTCTTCCCGACGCACCTCCCCCACCCCCGACATACCTCCCCATCCCCCACCTCCTTTTCACTTTCGTTGATTTGTCTTCTTTCTTTTCTGAGTAGTTGGAGTTATTTCTGTGAATTTGTTTCTAGGAATGAAGGGGAAAATGGAGGGTGATTTTCAGTTTGGGCCTAATTCAAATTCTTTGGATTTTCAGTTTGGAGAAAATGGAGGTTGCAGTTGTCAAAAATTGAGGGGAAGAGGATGTTGAGAAGGCCATGGCCATGGTTGTGAGACACTGCTTCAACCCACTTCAGGGATGTGGGTTTCATGGGTATTGGTTCTTGACAAGGCCATGGTCAAGAAAACGAATAGGGTTTCATAATTTGTTCTCAGGGTATTACAAAATATAAATTTATGTGAGCAAAATTTCAGCTAAATTGATGCCAAAAATATGATGTCAATAGCCCAAAGACTGAACTGATCAATCAAATTTAATATGCCGCAAAAGAATTATATAGTCCAATTCAAAATTTCTCCAGAATTGGCTTGAGCTTGATAGCCAACTTAGATGGAATCGATGTAGAGCTCTTGCTTGAAATGATTCTATATAGTTATTTGCTTATTTTAGCTGCCCTCTGTACAAACTTGTTGTCCCAAATCAAACCCGAAGCTTCTAGGTTTGGGGATACAAAATTTGAAGCTGAGGATGGGGTGGGGGAGGTTGGGATGGGGTGGAGCTTCTAGATTTGGGGATGGGTGGCCTGAGTAAGCTTGGGTGGTTGGGGACTAGGAGGAGAGTTGATTTTTTTTTTTTTTTTTTTTTTTTTTTTATTATTATTTATAATAAAAATTTTAATTATCTTAAAACTTATTTTAAAAAGTAGATAAACTTTTTTATTAATTTTTTTGTCCACATGTAAGTCCACCTCATTAAAAATGGAATCCACATTTGCCACATCAGCATTTAACAGATTCACTAACGGTATGGCTAATGGAGGGGGCAATTTGTAGGGTTTTCGTGACATTGAAAATCGGGTATGAACTTGTAAATGACTTTATAGGTTGGGGGGGTTTTATGTAGTTTGTCCTATTATTTTTCTTGGACTTAACTTCTAAAATTCATAATAAATAAATTAAAAATTCTCTTCTTCTTCTTATCATCATCTTCTCTTCCGTTTGTCTCCAAGTAAATGTATGTATTTATTTGGCAAATAAAAAATGTATTTAGAACCAAAAATTCAGAAAATGATTGAATCAATGCACAAGTATAATTTCCTCCTCTAACCCCAAAAAAAATTATTTCACATAACTTTAATTCTTCAAAAATTGTCACATATTTAGATGTAGTCTATAGAACAAAAATTCAATAAAACGATCTACATTAATATATATATATATATATATATATATGATAAACAGAGCAATGAAGAACACACAAAGATCACTCTCATACAGCCTTTGTCTTCTAGAACAACAAATCAAGAGCACACAACAAAGAATAGAATTGAGCACAGCAGACCAAGTTCTAGATAGAAAGGAGGCAACATCTAAGCTTCATCATTACTGTACACTTGTCAATATCTCCATCTTTCCTGTAACAAACTTAGTCTAGAAATTTCCATTTCAAGTGTATATATATAGACGACTGTACAATCTCATGATTATCAAATATACAATTTCAATTCTTACAAAACCTAATTTCTCCTTTTTCTTACTATTCTTTCATGGTATGACGAGCCTCCCACCTCACGGTATTCTGATTCTATGGCCTCCCATCCTTCCTCTCCCTCTGCTGGGGTTTCTACTCCTCCCTCTTCCTCCTCTTACTCTGCCATTCCTCCTACTCACATTGCCACCCTCCTTCCCATTAAACTCACTCGCGACAACTATATCCTCTGGAAATCTCTTCTTATTCCTATTCTCCAGAACTCGTCTCTCTATGGTATTCTTGATGGCTCTGAAACCTGCCCTTCCCCCACCCTTTCCCCCAACCAACCAAATCCAGCTTATGCAGAGTGGATTATCAAAGATCATACATGTAAGATCTGGCTTCATGCTGCCTTATCTGACTTTGTTCTTCCGTACACTGTGGGCTGCACATCCGCCAAAGCTCTGTGGGATAATCTTGAGAAACGATTTACTGCCATCACTCGCTCCCACATTCTTCAACTCAAGGGCCAACTTCAAGCTCTGAAAAAGGGATCTGATTCCATGATGCAGTATCTCGAACGCATGAAATCTCTTGCTGATGGCCTTGCTGCGGCAGGTGCCCCTCTTGACGACCTTGATCTTATAGCCCATATCCTTCGTGGCTTACCTCCTGCTTATGATTCCTTTGGCACCTCCATCCACGTTCGTGCGACCCTATTGACCCAGATACACTTCACGGCTTATTAGTTAGTGAAGAAATTGAAATCCTCCAACGAGAAACCCTAGCTCCTAATGATTCATCTTCCTCTTTTCAGGCTTTTTACACCACTTCACCCTCCAGGCCCACTTCTTTTCATACCAAACCCAAAGGCCCATCTTCTCAATGTTTTCCCCTAAAACCACCCCTTATTCCTACTTCTTCCTTCTCTTCTCCTCGGCCCAACACCACCACTACCTATCAACCCAACCCCTCCTTCCCACATTCACGCTACCCCCAAGAACACAAAGTCCGCTGTCAAATCTGTAACAAACTAAACCACACTGCTGTCCAATGTCGTCACTGCTCCAACTATGCTTACCAGGGTTGCTCTCCTCCACAACAATTTTCTGCCATGACTGCTACTCACCTTCCTTCACTGCCATCTTCCCCCAGCTCTCTCTGGTATGCTGACTCAGGCGCCACCAACCATATCACTCATGACCTCAACAATCTATCTCTCAAATCTTCCTATCCTAGCACTGACAAAGTGATTGTTGGCAGTGGTGAAGGTTTGGATATCGCCCATACTGGCAGCTCTTTTGTATCTGCGTCTAATTCCAAATTTCAACTCCACAACATACTTCATGTTCCACATATTTCTCAGAATCTTTTATCTGTTCATCGATTTGTTTCTGATAATCAGTGCATACTAATTTTTACTCCTTTTGAATGTCTTGTGAAGGACATAGCAACGGGGAAGCTCCTATATCGTGGCCCTACTGATGGTCACCTCTACCCCATCAATCTTTCTCAAGTTCACCATGTTTCACCTGCTGCTCTTCTCAGTACCAAAGCCTCTGCTTCCTTCTGGCACAAACGATTGGGCAACCCCTCTGCTCAAACCCTCCAACATCTTCTCTTCACTCGTTCTCTTCCTCTTCAAGGCTCATCCATCACCAACTGTGTCTGCGTTGATTGTCAGTTAGGCAAAAGTCACAAGTTGCCCTTTAATAAATCCATCTGTAGTTCTTCTTTCCTTTAGAATTAATTCACACCAACATTTGGGGCCCTGCTCCTGTATCCTTTGTATCTGGCAATTGATATTATATCATCTTTATTGATGACTTCTCCCGTTTCACTTGGTTATTTCCCCTTCAATATAAATCTCAGGCACTCTCAGCTTTTCAGCAATTTAAATTACTAGTTGAAAACTAGTTTGACCACAAAATCAAAGCACTTCGGTGCGATAACGGCGGAGAATACACTGGAATTCAATTCCGACAATTTCTTACCAGTCATGGGATTGTTCCACAGTTCACATGTCCACATACACCTGAACAAAATGGCATGTCTGAACGTAAACACCGCCATAAAATTGAGCTCACTCGAACCCTATTTGCGCTGTCTTCTCTACCCATCAAATACTGGGTTGAGGTTGCTCAAACATCTGTTTACAAAGAAAGCAGGATCATGTGCCAAGCTAAATGGTTACCAAGCCAAGGATGGGCAATCTGCAAAAAAAGAAAAAAAGAAAAAGTGTGTCAAAAAATAGCTGCTGCTGGAATATGTAACGTGATAAAAAAAAATGATGAATGAGCTGAGTACCTTTAAGCTATGGGGAATGTCCGAAAAGAACAAAGGAAGCCCCAGGAGATAATCTGGCCGCTGCTCCGTCACGCACTCAACGCTGTCAACAGAAATACCCTTAGCAAGAAGGAGGGCATGCATCTCCCGGCGCTGGTTCTCCAACTCCTGTTGTTTAATATTCAAGGCATCTGCAGCAGCTTTTACTTCATCAGAGTCATGCGATAATTGCATACTACGAATGGCCCGTGCTCCAAAGACGGCACGTGCTAAGTTCTTCACGAGTTTGAGAAGAAATTCCACCCGAAAGCCCAGAATCATGGCCTCACATATTGCATCTCGCCAACAGAGTAGTTTGTGATTCGTAATATCAAGGAGTTGCAGGGTGTCCATCCCGTGAAGTACTAAGCCAAGGGCTCGAAGGGCAGTGCACCTTGAGAAAGAGGAGGTGACATCTGTAGCTTCCATCAAACTTCCGTATTTGTCCATGAACCTTTTCAAGGCTTCAACCGTCTCTGGATACACGAGGGCACCTTGGAATGTCACATAACCATCGAATCTGTGGCAAAGCGGAAGAAGTTCATCAATGGATCTAAGAATGGTGACACCACCATCAAAAAAGGCTTTGAATGCCGTGTAGGAATTTTCCCAATCTTGCCAAGACATGCCTTTCTCGAATGAATGCCCTTTTGAGGAACCTGCGATAAAAGCATCACCATTCTTATGACTATTGTCAATAATCTCAGCAAAGGGATGTACTGCTGGAAGAAGTGGAGCGGTGCCGGAAGCTATGTCAGGTGTGCTCGGGATTGGAGAAGTAGGGGGAAGTACTGCTGAAAGAAGTGGAGCGGTGCCGGCAGTTATGTCAGGAGTGCTCGGGATTGGAGAAGTAGGGGGAAGAACTGCTGGAAGTGCCGGAGAGGTGCCGGCAGCTATGTCAGGTGCGCTCGGGATTGGAGAAATAGGAGGAGGAACTGCTAGAAGTAGCGGAGAGGCGTCGGCAGCCATGTCAAGAGTGCACAGGTTAGGAGAAGAAGGAGGCTGCACTGCCGGAAGGCTTAGGACAGCATCAGCAACAGTAGTGGGAAAGGCAAAACCAGCCTCCGATGAGGCACCTATCGTGTCCTCAATGGTGGGCACGACTTGCAGGAGAAAAACAAAGTATGAACTATGGGACACAACGGGCAGTATGCAATGTCAATATGCCAAGTAGAACAAGCAAGAGGGTCATTCGATACCAATTCAATGTCAACATGCTGTCCATGATCACTAGCCAAAACAGGAGGTGTATTTGAGGCATCGAGCTCCTCCAAGTTAGTGCCGAAGTCCGGATATGTGTCTTCATCATGACTATAGTATTGGCCTTCATCAAGGTCCTCATCCATGCCACTTGTATGTGAGTGCTCTCTTGCTCGTGGATGTTAATCTCAGTCCCCGCAGCACCACTGTCATCGCTACCATCATCACTATTATCATTAACCGTTACCACTACTTTGGGTCTAGAGTCTTCACCTTTGTTCTTGCGGGTATTGGCAAACCGTGTTTCAAGAATACGCATGCTTCGACGCTTCGAGATCACGGGAAACTCCTTACCCTTGCTTTACTTTGGGAAGTGCCTGTAAAATAAGATAAAAGGTATACTTATATGTATATAAAGAGCGGGAAACAAAGAGAGAAAACAAATGGCAATACTTATTGCGAGGAGACGAAGTCCTTGGTGCTGTTCACGTGCTACTGCCGGGGGCTACAAGCTGCTGCAGTGGTAAAGGCTCTGGCAAGGAAAATTTTCTTGGGCTAGGAGGACCACTTGCTGCTACCTTGGGGATGAACTTTTCGGCCCTTTTACAGCTTGCCTTTTCTCGACGCTGCAGCTTTCCTCTCGCTTCCGTTTCCCATGTACAGCACTTTTCCCAGTGCTGTGAGAACCCGATTTCTCCAATTTTCGCTTTAGCTTCGAAAAATCACCAACGATCTCTCCGCTTTGGAAGTAAAAGGCAGATTCCGCTTCTCGCTCAGGGAAATGGCCTTCTCTTCCGACACTAAGCGGGCATGATGAATGATGGTAGGAATTAATCTATCACAATGGGCAGCATGGAATCAGCTAAATGAGGCAAAGCAGCAGTTCCAATAATTTTGGTAGGCCTTCGAGAGACTACCAACGCGCTACCGGCTGGCCAGAGCAAGGGCAAGAGGTCTGCCGTCTCTCGGCACACTGTCACCAGTCCAAAAAACCCTGTGCAAGGTCAAGGAATCTCCATGGTTGGGACGGGAAGGCACGCCTTGGTCAAACCCAAGCTGTCGTCTGACCCGGTAAGGGGAATAATGCACAGAAACCTCCGAGTGGTCATCACCAAATGTGGGCAAAGGAAGGCATGCAACACTTAACAATGCCTCTCTACGTAATCGACAACCTTGTGTTGGCATGGCCAAGGCCTCCATTAAAACATCAGAATCAGCATAAAGGGGTATACTTCTAAATCCCTCTGATAAAGCGCAATAGGGACGGAAGATAAATTGCTCAACATCATCCAGCAACTCTAAAAAATTTTGGCCCTTTCTTTGCATTCTACGAGAACATCGACATATCAAGGGGAGATTACCCGGCACATAAGAACCCGCGTCGGAATCAACAAGAGATCTAGCCTTTGGATAGGGAAGTGGAGATACCTCTATACCTTTGAAGCGCTCCCATAAGAAGATTTGCAGAAAGCTGGAATTCACAAAAGTCTCCACAGCCATAGTTCCTGCTGTCCCTTTCTCAAGAAACTGAATCTGATCGAGCAATCGGTATGGGTGCCCCAAGAACATGGGGGCTAGAGGAATCATGCTACCCCGTGCTATTGCCAAGGCCAACGGAAATATCCTTTCGTGCAAGCAGTCTTGGGAAAAATCACAAAAGAGGAATCTCCCAAGCCATAATGATACAAATGCAGCAAGACGACACGGTTCATCTCGGTTACCATCCCCAAAAAAACTGAATCCAATTGCTGAACCTCAGGGAAGTACTAGGAGAAGTTGGGGCACCCTTCCGTAAGGCCTCAAACTTGAGTTTATCCTCTGTCGTCAGTACAATGTGGAAGGGATCTTGGCTGCCTCAAAGTGGAAGGTGGAAAATTGTGGCTACATCCTCAAGCGTGGGGGTAAACTCTCCCCATGAACAAATAAAGGTATGTGTCTCAGTACTCCATCGCCTAACCACGTGTCGAAGCATCCGGGCTTCAATATGGATGCCGCAAGCCTTAGAAATAAAGATGGCATCCAGCACCCCTGCCCGGCTTAGGATGTCACAGGTAGATGGATTCTTCAACTCCCGATCAACCCACTCTGACCAACCCTTGCTGGTGCCGCATGGATACTGAAAGAACAAGGGGACTACTGGAAATAGGCCTCTCTCTATACAACACCTTGATACGGATGCAGGATCAATTATTGGAGTCACCTCGGGCACTGGCTCTCCATCAATAATTATGTCTTCATCGGTACCTTTAAGCAAAGGAGGGGGCCTCCCTCTCTTTAACCTGTCATCCGTGGAGTAAAGATGGTCCCTGATGACGGATGATGGATTAATAGACGTCATGGCAACTCTTGGCAAAACAGTGAACACCTGCACACGAAAGAGTGGGAAGAAGCGAAATAAAATTAGCACGCGCAAGCCACATATCAAACGTGGCTGGTCGAGTTCATCCAAGCAAACATGCAATTTAAAATTCAAACGCATGACAAGTAAAAGTCTCACTCCGTGATCAACAAGCAGAATAAGCAAGTCCCTTCTCGAAATAAAAAAAAAAAAAAAATATCAACCAGGCAGTACAGAACACGCACTCTGTCAAGTGTTGTTCTCCACAAGCAACACACGTAAGAACCCACAATTGATCAGGCATGCGTTCTCAAGGAAAGAAAGCCTAGGCCAAGCATCAGTCTACACCTATTCTAAAATACCCAAAGTTGGCAGAGTTATTTACCAAAAGGTTAGGACAAAAGCACCAAAAAAATTAAAAAATCCATGTTAGAAGACTGAGAAATTCGAAGGTTCCAGCAGCAGAAATGTCAAGGGTTTCCAGCACCTACCCTCACCTATGCCTGAGACGTATATACCTGCACAGAAATAAATAAAAGAGAAAGCATATCATGCCAAGATTAGCCTTTTTACATACAAAGAGGAAGCCTGTGCAAGATAAAGGTGGAGAAAAAGGAAAAAGGGAGAAAACCAAGCCAACCAAAAATTAGGGTACCTTTCCAGTAGCTTGAGCAAAAATTAACGAAGGAAGAAACTCAGACAACGGCACGGGCTCTTCCTTGCTAGTACCCAGTTCGTGCGCATTCTTGTTGCAGCAGTAACAAGATGGGTAAAAACAGGGATTTGGTATTTGGCTGCCCAAAACGAAAAAAACAACATCCATGGGTATGAAGAATCCATCGAATTCTCCAATGCATCCAAGGGAAAACTGAGAAAGAGGCGTACCTTGTTAAATCTTCCAAGGGATGGCCTTGAATGCACCAAGAAGAGGAGAAAAATTGGGGATTTGAAGGCAAAAATCGCACAAAAGATGACCTTTCCAACAGTGACGAACGGGCTCCTTTGGAACAAAGACGGGACGATGGGGTTGAGTCTGACCTGGGTTTTCTTCTTGGCGGTTGGAGAAGAATGATTTTGGTCTGACTTTGTCCTCTCACTCGGTCTGAGTTCGTGGAGGAGCAAGGGAGAACGAAGGAAGACTGAAAAGATTTTGGTCTGATGCGTGAAAAGGAGAAGAAAATTCTAGAGGGTTGTGTCTGGTGCGAGAAAAGAGAAACAAAGGAAGAAAAAATAATAATAAAAGAGGAGGAAGGCAGTTGGCGTTGGCAAACTGCAAATAACCGCTGGGACCAATCATGGCACGCCGTCATTTTGCACGCGGGAAGAGGAAGAGTTCTCTACAAATACAAATTTGATTTTTTGGGTTGGGTTTAATTACTCGGCCCATTCCAGCACCTGTTCATGGCCCTTATAATTAAGGGGGCTAATGTTGAGACCCAAAAAATACATGGTTGGGCCCGAATAAATTATCAGCCCAAAACGACGATCCATTAGGAAAAAGCGTAAAGCAGAGTGCACCGAAACCTACCACATGCGAATTGCAATGCACGTGCCACGCTAAATAAATAAATTCGCTCGGGGTTGAGATAAAATATACCGTATTTACAAGCCCATGCAAAAAATAAGCATCGTAGGACGATAAATTAAAACATGCCAAGCAATGTGCCATGCCAAGCACGAAATCATTATCGCACACTCAATCACGCTACAAGCCTAAGTGGGCCCAAGCCACTCAAAAAACCGGGGCTTGCTTGAGTGGGTTGTGGTATGGACGGTGATAAATCAACATGAGACCCATTGATGGGCCGAGAAATGGAAAGTCTCGGGTTGCTTGGGAGCCTCGAGACTCAAGCCCATTTCTTAGGCCCAAACATGTGGGTAAGCACAAGAGAGAAAAGTAGCCCAAAAGCCCAAGCAAAATAACCTAACCAAGAGATAACCCAACCAAAAAAATAAGCCCAAATCAAGAGGCCCAATGTTTCACAAAAGGCCCATTTGCTTAGGAAGCCATCTTGGCCCTTAGAAAAACCCAAAATAGCCCACAAAAGCTTCAGCTCTTTTGAAAAACAGAGAACACGTGAAGGAGGAGGTTGGCAGACTCATCAAGCAAAGCTGCTGGGAGCAAGTTCCAAGCCAGAGACGCCCAAAGAACCAAGGAATGTTGGCCCGCACCTTGTCAAAAGCACCCCTTGGACCAGCATATATTTTCACTTCCTTTCCTTCATCAGATTCAGCCAAGGCAGGGGGAAGGAAAGAAGAAAAAACAGTAACCAAGAAGGGAAGCTCTCACTACGCAGCTGCGGGAAAGGGGGACATTGAGCTCCCAAATTTCCTGAATTCGAGCAAATAAACAGAGGCAATTTTTGCCAAGAAAGGGAAGTCAGAGAAGAGGAGGAGAAAGGAGGAAAAAGCTTAGCCAAAATAAGTAGAAGCCATTAGGGTTTCTTGAAGAATGGTGATTTCCAGCAGCTATAAATTGAGGCTTCCCCTACCCACAGAGGCAACTCAAAATTCAGGGAGCAAGCTTTCTCTCTAACTTGCAAAAATCTAACTACCTCGTGCACTGTTCATCTTCTTCTCCAATTTGTTTTTCTGGCAGCTGCCAGAAGAATTCTGTGTTTCTTTTTCCTCTTTCCCCAGTCAAACTTCCTCACAAAACACCTCATTCCTTACCTTAAAACTTTCTTTTCTCATAAACCAAGCCTAACCTCTCTCTTAGTGCTAAACTTATGTTGGTTTTGCTCCCATGCCACATGCCACTCATGATGAGCTAAAAGACTATCTGAAAGCATGCCAAAATTATCTATAAGTCACCATTATTTTGATCAGTTAAGATAGCCAAAATATCTCCTAAGGTTTTGCTACCCTTTCGAGGTATTTTGGGGCTTAATTTTCAAACCCAGGCAAAAGGGGACAGTCTCCTCAGTCCACCCTTTTACAGTAGCCCAGCCCATTAGCTACAGGAAGAAAAAGTCCCCCACACTGATATATAGATCACACGATTGTACGTATGGATTTGTGATGAATTGTTGTAACTATGTTGTTTTTTTGTGCGGATCTATTGGTGAAGTGCGGATTGGAACAAATTAGATACCACCATATGTTTGGATGAAGAGAAAATTGAGTGAAAGTTCAATTGATGGTCTGAAATTTGGCCTTTGTTTTGTGATTTTGTTCTTTAGCTCCCCAGTTATTGAATTGAGTGTTAAATTATTCATCGGTTTGGTCTTATTCCATCATCTCACCAATATAATGGAAGATTGGATTGGTTTAGATTTGCTCAGGACCTTGGTAATTCATAATTGAAGCTGTGTTTCGAGTTGACTCACTGGGTATCTCTTGTTTTTGCGAAACCTTTGCCTACTCTGGGTTCAGAGCTTTGTCACTAGCAAGGATTAGATGGATATCGTTCACGTCTTTTAAAGGATTGTTAATTCAATAATTTTTGAAGATTTTTTTTATCTAGCTTGATTGTGAGGTCTCAGGTGATGTTATTTAGATCTAATTTTAGGTTAGATAGGTCTCTTTCCCGGGAAGTTTGACTTCACTTTAAATTATGACAACTATATTAAGGGAGTTATCCATGATATATGTTGCCTGCGTTTTACAGCATGTGTGTGTACCTGTTTCTCATAGGTCATATATCGATACTTTTGTGTGCATCTAAACATGTGTACTAGGGTAGAAGTTTTGGTTTCAATCACGACTCTTTACTTTCTCTGCAGCAGTGAAGGCCATGTGAGCTGTTTGGGATAGATTTTGATTATTGCTTGGACAATTAGTATTTGATGATCAGTTTTTTTAGTATGCTTCGGATGGGTAAATGCAAAGGTTGTGGGAAATTAGGAAGAATGATGCCAAGGGGTGGATCTGTGAGTGCATAGCAATTTTCCCTTCTACTGTCGCCTGTTGTTTCTGTTTGGGATTGCATCGTTCGCAAAATGAGGTACTCCTACATACCTGAGTGGGTGTAGTTGTCAGGATTACAGTAATATATTAGTTTTCAACAAGAAAATTAATTAAATTTATTTAGTAATATAGAAAAGTAAGGGAACACAGTTATAGGGAAATGCATACACTTTAGAGGAATTCTGAAAGAAAAGTTAAACAAAGGCATCTGTTTAGAGGTCGTTAATCTGAATGGATAACATGGAGTGTAATAAACTGCAACCTGTTGTGAGAAAAGTTAAGAAGAAGCAGGTGAAGGACGAGTTGAGTAGAAATAAACCTATAATAATAAGACCATGTTTAATATTTCATAAATGTTCCCCTAGGCTGGAGCCCACTCCAGCCTAGCCTTGGATCCGCCTTTGTTTGTGCCTGTCATGCCTTCTTCATGTAATTGGTGGTAGCACAATTCTATCTTGTACATCATCAGGCACCACCCAATCTGTTTGATCCCCAACTAGCCATATAAGTTCTGCATACGTATTTAACAATGAGTTTGTAGTATAATATTTTGAACACTTTGGGTAACACGAAATTTGTCGATGCCTTCATGCAGCACAAGCATGTGCACATGGTAGTTGGTCAAGATCAAATTTTGGCCATGTGCAACACTTCCCCTCTAAATTTACAATTTCAACACAACTTCCATCATCTAAATGAAATGAGTATGCCTCAATAGGAGAAACCTACATATTCAAGAAAAATGAAATACATTATAAATACTCCCCAACTATTTTATTGAAATCATTTCAACAAATATGTTCCTTGAACAAAAGAATAAACGAAATTGAATAAATAAAAAAAATTAATTGAATGATATGCCCATTAATATTACTAACTTTTCTTTCTCATTTGGTAGCCTTGTTTGTAGCCAAGGATCCCAAAGACAAGTTCCCAGTATGTTTTATTTCTTTAAAATTAAATACTTGCAACAATGAAAAACAAAAGAAGGTAATGAATTCAAAATACGTGCAATGATAATACTTTTTGGTTATTTTCTCGCACCAACTTGTCAGCTCATTCCATCAAATGTGAATCCATTTTGGCTGCCTTAGTTCAACGCTTATGAACCCAATTTTGAAGTATATTCATTCTTAAATACTATGGTTATTTGTTGTCATTAGGTTGTATTGCTTCCCATTAAAGTACGCACGATCCCACTTTTCATATCCAGCTGGGTGAAGATAATTACCCCCGTGAAAGTCAACATTAAATATTTGCAGCATATGACGATTAAATTCTGGAACACAATATGTCTTAGCAGTTCTAAAATAACTGGCCTATAACACTGTGAAATCCTCTAATGCAAGGTCGAAGAGAAAAAAAAATATACATAAAATGATTATTACTGTCAGTTTCAATATGCGTTATCGTACCAAGATCTTTGGCTTCTAGCATAGCACAATATGATGGGAGTCTCATGTACGATTCATTTGGTGATCCCCTAACCAACTCCAATGCATGTTCCCTAGCTCTCCAAGCCTTCATATAACTTATAAGGACACCCATGTCTTTCCGCATATCCTCTATGATGTCATGGGGTCCATGTACTCGTGATACACCCTCGTAATTTGACTTTATGCACTAACCAATACGATAACTACTTGCCTATCGATGATGCTGATGATAACATCCAATAAGCAAGTGTGTTTAGTAACATATTTTTCTGACCATGAAATATGAGAATTTCGTACCTTTGATGCAAGCAGTTTCCACATGCATCTGTCATCCACACAACCAACTTCAAATCTTTCTTTATTAGATCTCCTCACTTTGTACTCAAAATTTTTCTTCATAGCATCGATACCCAGCTCTGTTTTAAAATCCTCCTTAGTCTCATACACCTGACCTACAATTATATCTCCACTTGAATTGCATAGCTCTGCCATGTCTAATCCATGTAGAATGTTTTTATCCTCATTTGGGGCAGTTGGATTGTTAGAGTTAGGCTCATCACATTGCACATTGATAGTTGGCACTTCGTCACATCTCATGTTTTCATCGAAGGCAACATTATCTTGAAAAACATTATCACCCTCTACATGTGGCATATCCTCAAATTGCATGTTCGCAAAACACAACTCATCTACATGTGTTGTATTATTTTCCACTTCATATTTTGAGTCCTCAAATTTTTTGATTCCCAAGTCATCTTCTGAATCCTTATCTTGCTCATAATCTTCTAAATCACCTTGAGTATCCAAGTTGAGGTTCATTGGCATTGGTTCGAACTCAACCAGTGGAGTTTGTTGATTGCTTCCACTTCCGTAAGAAAATACTTCACGTTTCACTATAATGCACAATGGAATCTTGTAAGACTTTGAAAGGCTTTCAAAAATAAAAGCTTTTATATCATCATCATCAACTATCTCTGTGGGCCATGCACTTTTCATTGCATCATATATAACTTTCACAGTTACCTCATACTCATTTCGGTCCACATTGTTAATGTCATACACTTTATTCCGGAGTTCCTCAAATGTAATTTTGTCTGAAACAAGTAGTCCTTTACTTTTGCAATTTTTATACGTTGAGTTAGCCCACCATCCACCATAGTTAATCAAAATTGTCAAACTAGACATTTGCCTGAAAATGTAAGCCAAAAATATTAATTAAAAAATAACCTTACAGACCAAAAATTGATGAAGAAGCCAAAAACATTAGCTATGGAACAAAGTAGAAATTAATACAGCTTTTAAACTATGGAACAATAGGCAAGTCGGAGGCGTTTGATTCCCCTCGAACTATTGAAAGGTTAAAGATGAATATGTTAGTAGTTACATAGAGACACAAAATACACTTCAAAAATTCTACATTTACAAAATAATTCACTGGCATGAATAAATGGAAGTTCCAGCATACATGTGTATATTTACATATGGGTATGTTTTTGTATTTTTAGTCTGAACAAAGTCAGAGAGAACAAAAAGGAGGAAAGAAGGCATTACTTAAACGAGCTTTCATGATACCACCAGAGGCCAAAGTATCGCTCAGCATGGATGTAACATCCCCACCCAATTTAAGGGTTTATTTAATTATTTAATTATGAAATTTACATTTTTGCCCTTAGGGGAAAGGGTAGTTTAGTCTCTTTTTGTTTGGGTAGTGTTTGGGCCAAAATTCTACACGCCTAGCCCAGTGCTGGAGGCCCAGAACGAGAAAGCAATCTAAGAATCCAAGCAGTTTGGACTTTTCCGTTTAATTGGAATCAAAATCCCAAAATCAAGAAAGCCCAGCCTAGGATCTGTCAGCCTATGAGAATAAACTTGGGCCTTGGAAACAAAGAAAAGAAATTAGCCCAAACCCAAGTCAGATTTTTTAGGGTACCAAATAGACCCAAGATTGGAAGAAGCCCCAGTGCATGTGATTTGCTCAGCCCACAGTCCCAAAACTCAACCTGGGCTTGGCGTGATAAAATGAAAAATAGAATTTCAACTAGGCACATGAGAATTGATAGGGAATTAATGAAACCATGTCTTAACAGGAAGACTTCTCTGAATCTTTCCAGACAAAAAGATCAAAATCCTTTTCTATATTCAAAAAAATATCGCACGAGTCATTTCCAAGGGAAAAGCAGGCTACATTTTCTAAGGAGATAATTAGGGAGCAAGAGAGTTGTCCAAACAGGAAAAGCAAACTGACCATCATAGGTAGATTGTACCTTTCCTTCTTCACAAGAAACAAACAGAGAGCAAAAGGAGTTGATTTTCTTTTTTGGGAAAAGCAAGAAAAAGACCACCATGGGAATTGATTGTTGATAGGTTCTTCTCTGCCAGAATAGATAAACTCCTTTTTTCTTGGCATTTAAAATAAAAGATCTTGTTTTTAGAAAATTTGCTGCCCATTATTTTAAAGATTAGAAATCCCACTCCAGCATTTCCTATAAATATAAGAAGGGGTGAACAGATCAAAGGGACAGCAAAAAAAAATCAATAAAAAATAAAAACTCAAAATGATCACTTGATCTCAAAAGCCTTCAAAACACTGAAGCAACCAAAGTTCATTGAACCACAAGAAAAAGTCAGTCATAATTCAGAATCTCTAGCTTCAGTTCAGTTTCAGAGAAATAGTTATTCAAAGCGAGATTTCTCTCATTACAAATTTGGTTCAGCACAAACCAAATCAAGCAGAGTCCAAGTTTTTACAAATTTGAAAACCTCAACAAATTTATGGAAAGCCCTGATTAAGCAGAGCAGGTACTACAGTGCAATTCCAGCTCAATAATCACCAAATCCAACCACTTCTGCCCCTTCCAAACTGAAGAGGCTCCAATTCTGCCCGTTCAAAAAGCCTTATAAGGCTTGAAATAGATTAAACCTTTGCCACACTCGAACGTTGATATCGATCTATAGCTGAAACTTGACAGTTGAAGGTGTTGATAGTCCAATACAGCATAGACATATCCAGTCCAGTCCGGATTAAAAGCATTTATCCAGGTGGAAATTGAAGTCCAACGCTCTTTTTGTCTTTTTAGAGTTGGTCTTTCCTTTTTTAGTTTTGTAAACGGCAATTCTGCCTGAAAACAGTTCAATTTCTTATTGGTTGTTCTGGCCAGAACTACCAATTTTGTATTGTGAAAAATTTTGAAGTCCTCACCAGTTTGAGGCAAGAAAAAAACTTACTTAGGAGATATTCCTCACCCAATTTACAATTGCTTGTTTAGAAATTAGTAACTTAGGGCGCAAGTTATCCATTTTTAAAGAGGTCTGCCAGGGTTTTTACTACTAGCAGTGGCATGCTCATACACAAAAGAAAGTTGACTTGCTGGCCACAAATGGTTTTCAAGTAAATGGGAAACTTTATCCTTCCATCATAGGAACAAATCTAAAACGGGTGAATAGGTAGGAATTTGGGAAAGTGAATGGCACCGTTACGTAGAGCTTGCCGATACGAGTCTGTGGACTGGCGGCACGCTCAATTCCAAGTTGTAACGAATGAGAAAAGGTCTGAAAGCGAAAAAGACGTATCAGGAACGACTGAAATTGTCCAAAAAGCTTAAATACCAAACTCTCTCTCTCTCTCCTCCTCACGCAAGGTCAGGTCTCTCTCTTCCTCATTGCACAGTGACTGTTCAACTTCCCGATGAGGAACCAAGGTAGTCCGGCCACCAATGGCAACTCAACTGGTTAGAAAATGACTGGCCAGGGCTGGCGAACTCATATGGGTAACTTTTTAGTCACGACAACCACTCACAAAGCTCCGGTTGTTTTAGAATTTTTCGGCGCTGTTTCCTCCTTCTCTAGTGGCCAAATCCGTCGATCCATGTATGCTCTAGGTGATGGTATGGTCGGTTAGGATCAATATAGAGTGTTTAGAGTTCGATCTAAAAACCTAGGATGTTCTCCAACTAAGAGGTGCTTTTTGGGCTAGCTCCGACCACTTTTTGGCAGGGGAAAAGACCAAAACACGTTCCCCTAGGTGTGGTGGTTCTATTGGTATAGGTATTGGCCATTGATTTGGAGTTTTTTCGATCGCCAAAATTTACTCAAGCCACCCACCACTGCCACTTTTTGGTGGTTCATTGAGTTCCAAAATACTCCCCATGTTGTCCCGAGCACAATGGTATGCTCGGATTAGAAATTGGGTACCGTTTGACTATTGACCGGATTTACGCATATCAGGCGATATCCGAGTTCAATAGATTCGGACCGTCGGATCGGTCCCATTTGAAATATGCGGTTCCTAATACCTCTAGGATCGTGTAGGAATTTGTGGGATCGAAAATTGGAGTCTCGGGTACTCTGAATAAATGAGTTTAGGGTTATGTAAAACAGTTAATGTCCGATCGTGCTATCGAGGGAGATCCAACCGCTCAATTGAGACCAAACACTCAGAACTTGTTAAGTATATATTGTGGGACTTATAGAAACTTACGGATCAGTAATTGGAGGTCGTGGGCCCCACAGGCCTAATTAACCAGGTTCCGCGATTGAGGTCAAACTGACTGTCAGATCATGATGAAACTCCTGAGATGAGTTTAACTTCTTAATAAGGGCCAATAGGAATTGTTGGATAGCAAACTGGAGGTCGTGGACCGTGCGTGCCCAGTTGACTTGGATAGTGGGCCATGTCGGCTTGGCTGAGGTCATTTAGTATGTTGTATTTTCAAATTCATTTATGCATGCAATTCAATGTTTGGAAAAAACAACGGTTATTAGATTATGGAAAGTATGGTCTAATCGTATTATGGATTAGTGAGACTGTATGCATGTTTGATGTTGGTTTTAACAGTATCGTGTGATCTTACTAGTATTGATTGCTGAAGATAAGGCATATGATTTTGAATATGAATTTGGAAAATAATTTTTTTGGGTTAAAGAGGTTATGAAAAGGTGTTATTAGATTGGTTTCGGCTTTTATAGTGTGACATGAGGATTTCAGAGAATATATAGTCATTATTATTATCGGTATGGATGATAAGCTTATGGGGTTTGTGAATTGCACCATCATATGTACCTTCGCTGGTTCAATATGGATGATAACCACACGTACGTTGAGGGATTTTCTGACATGTGAGATTTTAATGACCTAGGCACCCTTGGCGGGGTGTGTCGTAGGCCTTGACTGGCATTCCGCACGGGTAAGACTTGTTTCAGCCGCATGTGTATTGAGGATTCTACCGTGCGTGTCTAGGGAGCAATAGTCCCCTGGTTGGACTGCTCATTCCCTAGCCACATGAGTATTGAAGATTCTGCCATATGGTCTAGTTAAAACAATCCTTATATTGGATTGTTTTCCCTCGGTACATGATGATGGTGTGGGTTGTGTAATATAGATATATACATATATAGATAATGGGTACAAGATTAGGAGAAGGAAAGGGTGAGTGTTATATGTGATATAAATTTGGTTATGGGAATAGTGCGAATTGATACTTGTTTTGATATTGAATGACGTTACTGTCTGTGCGAGCCTGGAATTCAATTCTGGTTGTGGAAAAAAGGATGTTTGGATACTGGTATCGGATTATTTAGATATTGGATATTATTATAAATTTCTTTCATGTACATCTGAGTTTATTATATTTATTAAGTAAATGAATAATGTTTATTGGTTTATTGGAATTTAGTTGTGGGTTGAGTTTTTATTATATAATTATATATGACCTTGTGTTTTGGGATTTGGGATAGTGGTTTTGAGTTCCAGCCGCATGGGCGTTGAGAATTTCCGTCATGCGTGTTTGGGGATTTAGTTTCAACCGCATGGGTGTCAAGGATTCCGTCGTGTGTTTGGGAAATGTGTATATGTAAAGATAAAGATATAATGGGATCAACGGTGGGAGAAAGTCAATATGAGTTTTATATTGTTATTTACGGTGGGATATTCTTAAGTTTGTGCAATGAGACTACTCTGCACAGGCATTAGTATCTTTAAGCAAAGTTTGATTTGAAACTTGGTTTAGACTAATTTATTGGATTGTATGCGAATAATATCATTACTGAAAGAACTACGTGTGGCTTGATCCCTCAATAATGGTAGGTAACCTAGGTTAACCTAGGTGCAGCCATTGAATAAACTATGTGAGTTGTGCTTGAATTGAATCAAAATATATTATTGAATCTGTTAATGGTTGTTGATCCTAAACTCGAAGTGGTTTGTGAATAAGGTTTAGAATTCTTTTTGTTTTGGTGGGCCTGTAGCCCAATTGAGGTTTGAATTATATGTATAACGAAGTCTGAGCCACTTTAGAATTTCTTTTGACGGCGGTTGGAGTGTAGACCTTGCATGCAGGAACTTGGTGAATTTGTTATGGATGTATGTAGGTACGTATATTAAAGGGTGACATTTAAAGGTCGGAGGTCTATGTCGTAGTTGTATGTGATATTTCTTGTGCATGCTGAAGTTTGGGAAGATTAAATGTGTTTTTTATAAAGGTGTAAATCTAGAAAATGTTCAATTTTTAGGGGAGACTCTGCCGAAATTTTGGTAGATGTCTTGCCCTTTTTTTTCTCAATTATGCTGAGTGGAGGGTTAATTTAGTTAGTGCGCTCGGTATCCATTGGATGTCGGAAGGGAAGCAAGATTTGACACGGATTTCAAGGGGGATTCAAGTCGGGTCATGTCAATGGAAACTTCCAAATCCACATTCAACCACAAATACGATTCCTCTTTTAGAGATGACAACTTCTTCTCTATTTTTTTTTTTCTTAAATTGTAACCTCCACTATGACTACCTTAAATACTAAGGCCATCCCTAATGGGGGCTCTATTTGGGGCTCAACCACCACAAGGGTCCAATATATACAAACTCTCTTTAAAAAGGCATCCCTAATGGTGCAAATTTAGGGCTCTAAAACTTAAAGCCCAACCGGAGTAGTAGCTAAATGTATGAGCTTGGTTGAAGCCCTTGAAACCGAGTGGGACCCACCAATTGAAAAAGCTGCAGCCCACTTTTGTGCTATTTCTCACTTGCCTGCGACTGTACAAGGCATACTTGCCTTAAATTTGGTTGTCCATTTGCATGTTGGCCCATGTGGCATACTTGCCTTTAATTTGGTTTTTCCATTTGCATGTTGGCCAAAATATAACCAAATTTACAAAGCTGTGTCACAGCTCTATTTCAACTTTGGGATGAGCTTGGTATTTATGAAATAAAATGTTGATTTCCAAATCTTGTCCAAATTTTGATTTTTTTTGGTTGAAATGTTCATACAAAAAAAACTAACATAACATGAACAAATATTAAAGTAAAATAGTTAACCAAAAAATAATAACACGTAAATCAAATTACATCATAAAAAAATATAGAGCCCGCCATGAATATAGAGCCTCCCATTGTGGGAGAGATTTCTTTAGAGCCCCAAAGATTCCATCGGAGCTCTAAATGGAGCTCTATAAACCTTTTTTTAGAGCCCCAACCATTGGGGATGACCTAAGGAAATGAGAGTTTCTAAGCACTCTAAACTCCGGACGATGCAAGATTAAAAGATACAAAAACAGGACACCATTTTTAATTTTATAAATACTTGATAAAGCAAACTTTTAGAAGTTTGATAATTTTATAAATATAGTATGAAGACTAAATGAAGAAACGAAAAAGAAACTAAACGAAGAACCAAGGAAGAACTGCACTCACTGTTTGACTATGGCAACAGTACGTCTGCGAACGAACTCTTTACAAACATACAAAGATTCCCAATCTTATAGGGTTTTTCTTTTTTCAGTTTATGTGGGTTTTAAAATTTGAGGGTATTTGTGTCTATTGAGGTGAGTTTTTTGTTATATTTGAATTATTTTTACAAATACTAATGTTTTTGAAATTAGGGGTCAAATTTTAGCTATTTTTAATAAATTCTCGTTTAGGGATGGGTGTGGACAAGCGCACTCGGTTAACATGCAAATGGATGTAGGTGAAAAGCTACTAGTATAAGACTCTATAAGTAAAATATAGACCAAACATATATGAGAAACATGTGATGGCCTAATGGAAAAGCGCACTTAGTTGACATTTTGTTGAGAGGTTCGAATATCTTTGGTGGCGGAAGCACTTCATGTGAATAGTGACCCTTGCAAAAAACAATGGTGTTTCCAACAGTTGCCATGGCAAAGGGCAAATACTATTCATTTTTTTATTTTTTTCACAACCTTTTTTTACCTAAACAATTAATTTGGATAATATTTTCAGATAACATTTTTGGGTTCCTACATGTCAATACTATTCATATCTTATAATATGATAAAATTTTCAGATAAGATTTTCGGTTTCAAATTTCGAATCAATATCGAAATTCCGATAAATTTCAAAATTCAAAATTCAAATACATTTCAAAATTCAAATTTCAAATTTTAGATAAGATTTTCACCATCTAAAATTGCGCCATGGGTCATCTCTATCTGCCTAAATTTTTTATAAAACCATAGGCTCAGCTCATACCTCTCACACCAGATCTTCTCTATATTTTCATTTCTTAGATTTTAGAATTCATACTCCCATTCTCTGGAAAGGAAAGAGCGAGAAACTAGAGAAAGAATGCGTAAATGAGCTGCAGGCAAAAGGGCGCAGAGAGAACTAGATCAGCAAATTGTCATGGCAGTGGCTTTGCTTGATGAAGAAAATCAGAGTCGCCGTGGTTCACAAGAAATTCTCGGGGTAAGAATCTTCTGGTGTTCATTTTCGAGCACAATATAAAATGCAACCCCATTTGTTCAATAAAGTCATGCATGATATTTGCAATTATAATGAATACTTTGTTCAAAAGAAAAATGTTGCTGGAAATTTGGTACTTCTTCCCGAGCAAAAGTTCACAGCTGTTATACGAATGTTGGCGTATGGGTCATCTGCTGATAAGGTGGATGAGATTGCCCAGATGGGGAAGTCCACTATTTTGGAGAGCTTGGTGAGATTTTGTGATGCAGTCGAAACTCTGTACACTACGCCCAGGGACTTGCAACGGCTTCTACAAAAAGCCGAAGCTCGAGGATTTCTAGGAATGATTGGTAGCATCGACTGCATGCCCTGGCAATGGAAGAATTGCCCAACTACTTGGTAAGGAAATTATGGAAATAGAAAAGGGCAAAAAATTATCATCCTTGAAGCCATTGCTAGATTCGATGCATGGGTTTGGCACGCCTTCTTCGGAGTTGCCAAATCTCAAAACGACTTGAACGTCCTGGGTATGGTTGAAAGTTTTTTTTGCTTTGCCCATTAGCACTGTTGTAAATTTTAGACAACCTGAAAAATAGAAATTATAAAGATTAGTGTAAACACAAATTATACTCGCAAGTACACAAGGTCAATCATAATATAGTATGGCAAATACGAGGTCATTCCCACGAGGATTGAGTTCAACTTCCAATTAGTCTAACCTAATTTACTTCACAAAATACTTTAACTACTCTAATTATATAAACAAGAAATTAAACACGTAGCATACTCACGTAAACACGAAAGGGGTTTTCGGAAAAATGATTTAATTAACAACCACTACTACAAAAAACATTTTGCGCGACGAAATAAGTTTGTTGCGCAAAGTACAATTTGGTCGCGCAAAACCTGCGCGATGAAAATTTGGTCGCGCAAATCTCTTGAAGATAGGGTTTGTGCAACGAAAAATATTCTTCGTCGTGCAGAGCTACTTTGCGAGACGAATCTTAACGTCGCGCAAATCCACCTTGAGCGACGAAAAATATTGGTCATGCAAAGTTTTGCGCGACAAAAGTGTTGGTCGCACAAAGTCTAAAAAAAAATTTTAAAATTAAAATTAAAATTTCCGCATCCCATTTTTGGTACCCGCCCAAATTTTTAGAGTTTTGCGCGACAAATACTAACGTTGCGCAAATTCTTTTTAATTAAAATAAACTAATTTAATAATTTGCAAGACGAAATATTTTGTCGCTCAAGGTTTTTGACTTTTTATTTTATTATTTCTTTAATATTAATTTATTCAATTTTTACTTTTTATATTTGATTTAATTGTATGATTTTTTTTAATTACTTTAATTTAAATTGAAATATTCAAAATAAAATTACATATGAAAAATAGTGATCAAATTATCCAATAAATAAATATATAATATTCAAAATGTACACATAAATTAACAAAGTATAATAATAAAATCCTAATACAAGCCAATTGTGGTGGTAGTGGCGGATGATATGTTTCGATAGCGTCATAATCCTCAACTTTAGCCATTAAAGTCTTGACGATTATAAAAAAAAAAAAAAAAAAAAAAAAAAAAGAAAAAAAATAATCTCTCCCTAAATTATTATACCACAAATCCAACCCAAACTCCAATCCTCACCCTGTACTCAACCCCAAACCCCACACAAACTCAAAACTAACTCCAAAAACACATATTAATGAAAAAAAATTTAAAATTTGGAGAGAATATACCTTTTGGCAAGATTGAGAGTGAGTGAGAATGAGAGGGCGAAGTGAGTGTGAGAGAATTAGAGAAGATAGTGAGAGAGAGAGATGAGAGAGTGAGAGATAGTGAAGAGAGAGATTGAGTGAGAGGAGTGAGTGTGAGAGAAAGGGTGAGATTTGGGGAGAGGGAAGAGTAGAGAAAGACATTGAGAAAATGGTGGAAGAGTTATTTTGGTTTTAAAAACCGTATCACTGCGCATGAATTTTTTGGAGGATGAAAAATATTGGAATATGGGTTGCGCAAAGTTTTGTGCGACGAAAAATATTGGTCGCGCAAAGTCAAAAAAAAATTTTAAAAACAATTCATGCGTCCCATTTTTGGTACCCACCTAAATTTTTAAAGTTTTGCGCGACAAAAAATATTCGAATATTGGTCGCCCAAAGCTTTGCGCGACAAAAAATATTGGTCGCGCAAAATCTTTAAAAAAATAAAAAATCCCACATCCAGTGGCGGAGCCACTCCTAGACCTGGACTGGCCCTGGCCCCCCATATTTTTATCACTCCTCTATTATATTATATATGATATATAAAATTTGTAATAAACAACGTAGAATTTAAGTTAAAATTTCCTCTAAAACAAATTAGACATGACTCAATTAGAAATATTTAGCTCTAAACATGTAAGTATTGAATGTAGGTGTTTTATGTACTTGTATTTTACTACCCCTCCGCCCCACTTTCACAATTCTAGCTCCGCCCCTGCCCACATCCCATTTTTGGTACCCGCCCAAATTTGTTGAGTTTTGCGCGACGAACTGTTGGTCATGCAAACTTTTGAGAGACGAAAAATTGGTTCGTAGTGCAATATTTATGAAAATATTTATTATGAATAATAAGAAATAAAATTATTTTATTTTAGGATTTAAAATATAAATAATGTTAAAGCTACTTAATAAATATATATACTATTCAATTTCTTAAGTGTTATACGTACAAAATAAATAAATTTAAAGCTACTTAATAAATATATATATATATATACACACACCATTCAACAATCCAACCGTCAAACTTGTTTGTATATACTTCAAGATCGTTGTGGGAGCAGATATTTTCGTCTCCAATCGCAGCGCGCCACGTGGAAAAGAAGATTATCCCTTTTAATTAATTAATTGAACCAGTTTATCTGGCCAATTAATTAATTGGGATAAATATCTTAATTAACATGATATTATCTTAATTAATGTCATTATCTCATATATTATCCCCATAAAAAGAGATAGTATCATTTAATCAAGATATTATCTCCATAAAAAGAGATAACATCATTAAATCAGATATGATCTCAGTCCGACTCGATCCCTACGAATTTGGGTAGAGAATAAACTCAGCATATTCTCTACGAAACCCTAGCCCCGAGGCTCCTATAAATAGATGACCTCATTCATTATTCAAGGTACATCTAAACCTACTCCTTATACCCGAGAAAAATACCCGAAGCTCTTTCTCCCTCTCCACTCTCCATATTTTCTCCACACGGCTCCGGCCACCACACACGGCTCCGGCCGCCCGGTTCACACCCTACATAAACACTACTCTGTACCCTTTGCTTAGCTATTGTTTTTCTACAAACACTCGAACTAACTTAGGCATCGGAGGGCCTTTGGCCAACACCCCCCGGGTGTGGTCTATTTACTCCAATCTATTTTACAGGAATCGAGGAAGAGAGAGAAGGAAGATCGAAGGTTGAAGGATCTAGAAGCGAATATTCTCCCGTGAGATTATTTGCACAAACATTTGGTGCTTTCATTGAGAGCACAAGTTATACTCAACACGTGCTCAAGGAATCAGTTCCTCCTATTTTCCAATCCACCGAAGCCTTCCGAACAACCATGGTTGGAAGCAAAGGCACTAGGAGCAAAACTGCCGCGATGGCTCAATCCATGACAGCCCAAAGCCACTCCACCCACGATCCCGCGATCGACATGGTGGCACCACCACCTCTCGCCACCTCTCGCCACCTACCGGACCCGCGGCCGGATCTAGCAACCTCCGTGGCACCACTGCCGAACATGGTGGAACCTCCCATCAAGATGGGCTCGTTACCACCACCAACTTAGGCCCGGTCTTGTAGCAACTTCAAGCGTTCCCTTCATTGCCTCCACGCTCGACGCACGCTCTCGGGTACACCTCCAATGAAACCCTAGCCCGTGTGCAATTGGGCTCCATACGCTTCTCTCCTCCCGATCCACAAAGTCAAGCAGATCTCAACCTGAGAGTTGACCAGCCAGCTCAGAGAATGGACAACCAAAACGCTCTGATGAGGCAGCTCCTCAATCAAATAAGCGTGGCTCAAAATCTTGGCCTTGGACAGCCAGGCGAAGAGAGAAGAATAGACGAACGCACCGGTGGGCAGTTCAACGGGCACCAAGCAAGTCAAGCAAGACTGAGCCGACATGTCACGAGCATCTGCAAGCCACACACAAAGCAACGTGCGAGAAAGGCTCGGCCCACGACTTGACGTCCGTGCTCGCTTGGGCCCGCAGGGAAATGTACTTCAAAGGCTAGGCTCCTAGGGAGGTCAAACTGACAATCGCTGCAATGAGGGTCGTGAAGAGAGGCGCTGCGCTGCCCACTCGCAGAGAAATATTCATGAAGGCTAGGCTCCTAGGGAGGTCAACTCGGTAACCCTTGCAATGAGGATCGTGAAGAAAGGCACTCCACTGCCCGCTCTCGGAGAACCAATTCTCACCGTCAAGCTACAGAAAATCCCTCGCAAACGCAGTCCACCAACACGCCTCCTAAGCAGCGCGGACGAGAGGATCGACCCTCGCGGACCAACGAGGAGGTCAATCAGCGTCGCCCGAATCGCAAAAGTCGCCAACGTGATCGACCAACAATGTGTGCGGAAGACGTTGAGAAGCTTGTGAATGACCGACTTCGAGACTTGACGACTAGCGAGAACCTCGAGGATGCACTACGTAAGGAGATGGACCAGGCGATCTCTACTCCTTTCACCCCTGAAATCTAGCAGGCTGCTCCCCCAAAGCGATTCTCAACGCCTTCTTTTACGCATTTCAAGGGAGATTCTGATCCCAAGAGCCACCTAAAACACTTCAAAAGTGTCATGATCCTCCACAAGGCCGACAACGCACTGATGTGCAAGGCGTTTGCAATGACCTTGCGAGGAGCAGCTCAGGACTGGTTCCACACCCTGCCATCCGGGTCGATCAACAGTTTCAAGGAGCTTGCCTATGTCTTCACTAAAGAATACACTTCTTATCGGACGATCAAGAAGAACCCAGATCATCTGTTCAACCTGCGCAAGAAGCCCGACGAATCCATTCGAGATTACATCAAGAGGTTCAAAGCAGAAAAGGCCAACATCGTAGGGTGCAACGACCAAATCACATTATCTGCCTTCAAGAAAGGTCTTCCAGCAGAACACGAGTTATACCGCGAGTTGACTATCACTCCCAGCCAGACTCTAGCAGAGGTCTTCACGACCGCAGAACGTTACGCGCTCTAGGTTGACGATCGAATTGCCACGAAGAAGTCCACTGAGCAGGGAGATTGGCCAACCAAGCGGGCGGGCCAAAGAAGCGATGGATTTAGCAACAAGAATAAGGACAAGCGCAGGTCACACCCACAAGGGGACGCTAAGGCAGGAGAAAAATACACCAAGTTCACCATCCCTATACATCAAATCCTAGCCCAAATGAAAAACAATCCTTGGGTAAGAAGACCGCCACCCTTGAAAGGAGATCCAGACAGGAGGGATACTAGCAAATACTGTGCCTTCCATGGAACGCAAGGACACACTACGAACAACTGCTTCACTTGGAAAGCACACCTCGAAGAACTCGTGAGGGAAGGTCACTGCACGGAATTCATCGCTAAGCAGGCCATCCAGCAAATAGAGGACCGCGACACCGCCAAGGAGCCGCCCCGAAAGGTCATAAGGATTAACACAATCCTAGCTGACTCCGAGGAATCTGGGCTGACCAGAAAGGAAAAAAAAAGAAAGATCAAACAAGCCACTATGATCTCCCAAGTCTCAACCAACCTTCCGCTAGCAGAAGATGATCCTGTAATCGGCTTCCAAAAGAAAGATTTAATTGGCCTTGATCTACCACACAATGACACTCTTATCATAAGCATTCAAATCGCTCAGGCCATGGTCAACCGAATCTATGCAGACGAGGGTAGTGAAACCAACATCCTACAATTGACAGTTATCCAACAGATGGGCTTAGAAGCAAAGATCAATAAATCAGCCAAGTCGCTAACTGGCTTCAATGGAGCAACAACGGTTACCATAGACACGATAAAGCTCGACGTCTACGCCTTACCTGTAATCAGCTCGCAAACGTTCATGGTCATTGATGAAGTCTCACCCTACAATGGCATTCTAGGCAGACCATGGATCAGCAAGATCAACGCCATCACCTCCGCCACGCATCAGAAGATTCACTACCCAATTCCTTGGGGTGGGATCGGCCAAATCAACAGCGATCAGGCAATGGCAAGGAAATGCTCAGGTCATGGGCTGAAGAAAGGCAAGCAAACATGGTTCCTCCTTGTGAATCAGGCAGAACTAAAGGGAGTAGAACAAGCAGAGGAGAAAGCAAATCCTGTTCCTGACGGCTGAGTAGGCCAAAAAGGAAAGGGAATAACTACTCCCCAATAGCAACCAAAGAATCAAGACCAAGTCGAGGGAATCCGTCCGGAGGTCTATCCTGAAGAAGGATGGAAGCCCGAGGAGGATGTTGAGCTAGTACCCCTTGATCCTGACAAGCCAGAGAGAACAGCGCAGATCGACTCGGGCCTAAGCCAGGAGGAAAAGGCAGAGCTTGTAGCCTTCCTCCAGAACAACAAAGGAGTGGCTGGCGAACGTTGTTCTAGTAGCAAAGAAAGATAAAGGCCGATGGAGAGTGTGCGTCGACTATCCTGACCTTAACAAGGCATGTCCTAAAGATAACTTTCCACTACTGAGAATTGATCAGCTCGTCGATTCAACTTCCGGCAATCAACTGCTAAGCTTCATAGACGCCTACTTCGGCTACAACCAGATCATGATGCATGAAGACGACAAGGCAAAGACCTCTTTCATCATCGAAAGAGGTACCTACTGCTACAAGGTCATGCCCTTTGGGCTGAAGAACGTCGGGGCAACCTACCAAAGGCTGGTGAACAAAATGTTCAAGGAGCAAATCGGCAAGACTATGGAGGTCTACGTAGACGACATGCTAGTCAAAGCTCCCGAACAAGCAGACCACATCGAGAATCTTGCCGAGGCATTTAGCCTACTCCGAAAATACAACATGAAGTTGAACCCGAGCAAATGCACATTTGGAGTCTCGTCCGGCCGATTCCTTGGATACTTAGTCACCCAAAGAGGAATTGAGGCACATCCAAATCAAATCAAGGCTATACTCAACATGAAGTCACTTGCCACAACAAAGGAGATACAAAGTCTAACGGGTAGGGCGACATCTCTCAACCGATTCCTTTCAAGATCTACCGACAAGTGCAAGCCATTTTTCAAAGCCTTGAAGAAGGGACACAAAGACAAGTGGGATGACGAGTGTGAAGTAGCTTTTCAAAACTTGAAAACTTACCTCACTTCACCTCCATTACTCTCAAAACCGATACCAGGCGAAGACTTGTACACCTACCTGGCGGTGTCCGACTCAGCTGTCAGCTCAGCTCTCATCCGAGAAGAGCTGGGGGCACAACATCTGGTATTCTACACTTCAAAAGCTCTCCTCGATGCAGAGACTTGCTATCCGAAAATGGAGAAGCTCATTTTTTCACTTTTGGTTTCTGCGAGAAAACTAAGGCCCTACTATCAAGCACACCGAATTATTGTCATAACAGAATTTCCGTTGAGATCGATCATTCACAGCCCCGAAGCTTCTTAGCGACTCATGAAATGGGCTATCGAACTCAGCCAATACGACCTCCTCTACCGGCCGAAGACTGCTATAAAAGCCCAAGCTTTAGCAAAATTTGTTGTAGAGTTTACTCCGACAGCCAAAGAAGAGAAGATGGTCACGAAAAGCAAGGAAAAAGCAGACGACACCTCCCCCACCGATTCGAACCTACCTAACGACATGTGGCAGTTGCATGTAGACGAAGCATCAAATCACAAAAGAGTGGGAGCAGGAGTCGTCATAATCACCCCAGAAGGAACCTTGTTGGAACAAGCTATCACGCTAGGCTTTTCTGCTTCAAACAACGAGGCAGAATATGAGGCATTGCTTGCAGGACTGCGCCTAGTGAAAGAACTATCGATCAAGAGATTGGCAATCTACTCAGACTCCCAGTTGATCACGAATCAAGCCTCAGGCAAGTACATGGCAAAGCATCCAAGAATGGTCCAGTACCTCGACAAAGTCCAAGGACTTTTGAAAGAATTTCATACTTTCACCATCCAACAAGTTCCACGGGCAAAGAACACTCATGCAGATGCGTTGGTGAGCCTAGGATCAGCACTGGATACCCAATTCAGACGCTCCATCCCAGTTGAACACCTTGACCGACCAAGCATCGAAGAAATAGAGCCAATCGACTCAATCGACTACTTAGTGAATGGAAATCTACCAACGGATAAGTCCGAAGCTAGGAAGGTCCAACAGAAAGCTGCGAGATATTACATGCAAGGCGACAAGCTCATTCACAAATCATACTCCGGCCGTCATATCACTTGCACAAAATACCCTTAAACACTTGAGGTCCTCTACAAAATTCACGACGGCGAGCGTGGCAACCACTCTAGGGGCAGGTCACTCGCCCATAAGGCTTTAAACGTAGGTTCTTTCTAGCCTACTATGCGCCATGACTCCACTGAATGTCAAAAGATGTGATCGCTACCAACGGTAGAAACCAGTACCTAATCTGCCTGCCGAAATCTACCATCTGCAAGACAGTCCATGGCCATTCATGTAATGGGTCAGTGATGTAGTGGGTCTCTTGCCACCTATGCCCACCAAGAAGGATATGATGATCGTTCCTATCGACTACATTACTAAATGGATCAATGCCGAAGCTTTATCCTCTATTAAAGAAGCCGATGTCGAGCAATTCATCTGTAGAAACATCATCTGCCGGTTTGGCTGCCCATAATCGCTGGTTACCGACAACGGCTCACAGTTTATTGGCAGGCAGATCACCGCAAAACAGTTGCCCATAAGCAGCGTCCTTAGGGAGACGTGGGGCGACGACTAAAAGCGTCCGTTTGCAAACTTAGCCCGTAAAGAAGCGTCCTAAGAGAGACGCAGGGTGTGCCAAAAATTTCCTAAGGGAGGAATCCAGGTTCTTATCTGTTCCCTAAGGGGGGCAGTATAGTCATTCAGTTGCCCATAAGGAGCGTCCTAAGGGAGACGCAGGGCGGCGACTAAAAGCGTCCGTTTGGAGACGTAGCCCGCTAAAAAAACGTCCTAAGGGGGACGTAGAGTGCGCCAGGAATTTCTTAAAAGGGGGTCGTCATGCTCCCCGCGGGAAGTATCCAAGTTCCTATCCATTTCCTAAGGGAGGCAAGATAGCGAAACAATTGCCCATAAGTAGCGTCCTAAGGGAGACGTAGGGCGACGACCAGAAGCGTCCTTCGGGAGACGTAGGGTGCGCCAGGAATTTCTTAAAAGGAGGTCTCCATGTCTTCTGCGGGAAGTATCCAGGTTCCTATCCGTTTCCTAAGAGAGGCAGGATAGTCACACAGTTGCCCATAAGCAGCGTCCTTCAGGAGACGCAGGGCGACGACCAAGCCATCCTAAGGGATATGCAAAACATGCCCGGAGTCCTTTAAGGGGGACCTTGGCTTTTGCCCAAATCCTAAGGGAAAGGCACAACCAAGACTCTCATCAACACGTCCTCGGACGTAGGCCAAACAGGCCACTATCATCAACACGTCTCTGGACGTAGGCCAAACGAGTCACACACATCGACATGTCTCCGGACGTAGGCTAGACGGGCCACTCTCATCGACATGTCTCCGGACGTAGGCTAAACGGGCCCTTATCATCAACACGTCTGCGGATGTAGGTCAGACGGGCCACTATCATCAACACGTCTGTGGACGTAAGCCAAATAGGTCACACTTGTCAACACGTCCTAGGACGTAGGCCAAACAGGCCACTACCATCGACATGTCTCCGGACGTAGGCCTCACGGACCACCTTCATCGACACGTCTCCGGACGTAGGCAAAACATGCCTCAACCCAGAAACACTCAAGTAGTTCACAAGACACTATGCAAATTGAAGTTGAAAAAATAAAGATTGAAATTTTCATAGCAAAGCGACCAACCGGCCAAGTTCAAACAAAAAGAAGATGGTCAAACAAGACCAATTATTCTAAACAAAAGCTGACTACAAAAGCTGAAATGAAATAAAGGAGTCTTCGTCTACTCCGAAACACCAGCAGGAGATCCCTGATCTACAGCCTCTTCAGCGTCCGCCTGATCAGCCACGCTTTCAGCAGCTCCACATGCCTGATCTATGACGTCTGCCACCACCGCATCGGCTGCATCCTCCTCTGCTCCATCCTCCTCAGCTACCACCTCTTTAGCCACCTGCCCTTCAGCTCCTTCGGTGTTCACAACATTAGCCTCCTCACTTTTCACAAGGGGCAAGTCTGGATAGAGCATCTCGATCTCTTCATCTCCAATGGCGTAGAAGGGATCATATCCTTTTGTACAGTCCAGGTAGCCCAACTTGTACGCGTCCATGGCAACTTCGAACTTGGATTCCTCAGCAGACTCATGATAGGCCTGAAATCTAACTAAAAGCTTGTCATAGCTACGAGAGATGTCGACATTCTTGTGCTCAAGGTGGAAGTAAGCATCTTTTCAACTTGCCAAGTCAGCAGCAGAAGAGTTAAGCTCGGAATCCTTCTCAGCAAGGGAACTCTTCAACTCAGATATCATCGCCCGTAAATCAGACGTCTTCTTCTCATAACGGGTCTGCTCGGCGGAAAGTTTGCTAACTAACTCGGCATTCTTCTTCTCCAACTCGCTGAGCTGAGCAGAAGAGGGGGCAACAGCAGACGAGTTCCGAATGGTCTCAGCAGCAAAAACTACTCCCTTTTGAAGTAGATGAAGTGTCGCTTCCCTTTGTTTTTCCAAGGAAAGACTTGAGAAAGCACCAAGATCACCAGCCTGACAGATTTGGTCAACCAGTTCAGCACAAGAGGATGGACTTGATAGAAATTGCGTCTTTAGCAGATCAGACACGCCTGCATCCCCTGTAGCCTCTGCCAACCTCACTTCCAAAGGATCAGCCACTGACGTTGCAGAAGAACCTTTCGTCCGGGCAAATGACTCTCTTGCTTTCGTAGCCTCTACCAACCTCACTTCCAAAGGAATTTGCGACGTCGAATCAACTCCACACTTGACTGCTTGTGACTCAACAGTTGGATCATGACGGTTGGATAGATGAGTAGACCTCCCACATCGACCTCCACTCTTCGACTGGTGTAAGCGACCCGAACTTCGGGAAGGAACATCCGCATCTCTTTGTCTTTCAACAGGTGAGCTAGATTGCGCACAGGCCACTTCGCGAAGTAGATCATGATCTCCAAGCTCGTCAGCAAAAGGCTTAAGGGAAGCATCCCTTATGTTGCGCATACTGCCAATCTTCTTGCTGTCTGCGCCAACAAGATGCTTGACCCTGGCAGATGAGGCGGGAACAACTCCTACTGGGATCTTCTCAGCAGAAGGTAGCTTTGGCTTCTTCCTCAATGGAGACACGTTCCTCGCTTGTGAAGAGGTAGCTTGAGTTCTTGGAGACTTGACTTCAGCCTTCCTTTTTTATGGGGGTTCAACAGAGCATGCCTCTTGTTCAGCAGACAGATCATCAAGGTCCAGACCATTCTGCTTCCATCTTTCGACATCCTCGGCAGGGGGCAGACCACCGTCTTCCTCCCGATACTCGCTCAACAGCCAACGCCACTCACGAAACTTTTGGGGGATGTTCAAAGCGTGGCGGACCTTAGCCATGTCAGGCTCAAGCTCCAATTTCTTGCTGATGTCGTCCGCTACAAGCAGAAGACCGAAGTTAGTCAGCTACGCTTCAAGAAATTTAAACAAAAAGAGTGCAGATAGAAGAAAAAACTGCAAAAAGACATACAATTGCAATAGGTGAGGGGAACAAGGGGACCATCACCAACATCGCCTTCCCACCATCCGCTGACTTCCAACACATCATCATGCCACACATGATCTCCCTGACTAAGACTGTCAAACAGCTTGACATTGCAGGTGTGAAGTTGGGCATACTCCTTGAAGCACCTCACTTCAAAAAAAATAGAAGAACTCTCGTACTGTCATCTCCAACATGAAGAAACGGCTCAGGTTTTCAAAACACATGATCGCCCGGTAGACGTTCGGAGTACACTGACTTGGAGCACACTCCATGGCGCAGAATACCTCCTTGAAAAGCTTTGACAGTGGGAATTTGAAGCCCAAGGAGAAGTAAAAGGGACGGAAGGTGATGATTCTGGCATTCGGATCATTCGCATCCACGCAAGGCACGTTGTCAGTCAAAGGCTTCGCCAGCTTGACATGCACGTTGTCAAGAATTGCAGAGGCATAAGCAGCCCGCCACCTCTAGAATTGATCTTCATTTGTAACGCGGTGCAGGTTGGCCACAACCCTCTTCTTGTACACCTCGGAACCTCCCCACAAATACAAAGGCACCTGAGAGCCTGAAGCCTTGCTACCGTCTCTGGAAGACATGGTTGGTCAACGAATAACTGCAAGAAGAGAAGAAAATTCCACAAGTTAGAATCCCAAACAAAAGCTGGCAGCAAACAAAAAAAAGGAAAAAAAAAGACAACAGAAAAAAAAAAAAAAAAAAACAAACAGAAAAAGAAAAAATATTAAAGCAGCCCAGCTCAAGCAGCCAAGCACGCATGGCCCAGCTCCGTCCCAGCTTTGTCGCAGCCCACCTAGCAGCTCAAGCCCATCTCGCCAGCTCGAATCCGGCCCAGGTCCAAGCCCGACACGCCTCCAGCCCTGCGCGCAAGGCCTGCCTGCCTAGCGCATGCCCACGTCAAGCAGCCCAATGCCTCTCTGCTCCTACTCCAAAGCCCAGTGCCTCCTTTTTTCTCTCTTTGAGCCCAATGTGCGCAAGCCCAGCTCAGATCAGCTCCAGGCCCTAGCGCATGCTGGCCTGGTCAGCTCCCCTCCGTCTTCAATCAAGCCTTCAACCCTTGTCCATAGGCTTGCGAAAATTCATCAACCATGAGGCTGCGACCATAGCTAGGAGTGCACGGCTGGACCACCTCCTTGCTGCCAAAAATCGGAAAAAAAAATATATATGTGCATATATATTTTCACAAGGTCGACTTACTCTGGATGCACAGCAATTACTCTCTTCAACAAAGTAGTACAAATTCTCTAAGATCTTTCTCAAGCTAGAAGGTAGAGAAGTTAAGTTTGTGATGTGAGAAAGAGTGAAGAAAAGCCCTGTATTTATACAGGTTGGACAACCCAGGTCAAGGAGGGATCGCAAGCTCATTCCTACTGGGAATCCAACTCCAACAACAGTCAAAAGCCTACACCAATTGGAAATCTGATCTGCAAAGGAGTCCAACTCACATAATAAAGCCCAGACACAGTTGGAGAGCCCGAAAAAAAAATATATAAAAATAATTTCATCTCCTACATGCTACACAAGCGCCATGCAGAAGCTAGGGGCATTTGTGGGAGCAGATATTTTCGTCTCCAATCGCAGCGCGCCACGTGGAAAAGAAGATTATCCCTTTTAATTAATTAATTGAACCAGTTTATCTGGCCAATGAATTAATTGGGATAAATATCTTAATTAACATGATATTATCTTTATTTAATAAGATAATATCATTAATTAAGATATTATCCTAATAAAGAGAAGATAATGTCATTATCTCAGATATTATCCCCATAAAAAGAGATAATATCATTTAATCAAGATATTATCTCCATAAAATGGAAGTCTCGGGTCACTTGGGGGCTAAGGAAGGCTTTGTTGTCATTTTCATTGGTGAAGGTAACCAAGGAGTTTCCTAAGATCATCACCCTTTCGAGACATCCTTGGGGCTTGAGCTTCGAACTCAGACACAAGGGTACACTTGCATCAGATTGCTCTTTATAGCAGCCCAGCCCATTTGCTGCCGGAAGAAAAAAAGCCCCTACAACATGTATTTATAAAAAAAACCCAAACACTATTTAAACATAGAAACACACCAAAAATCAAGCCCAAAATCAACAATTGTATATTTTTTGGGTGTGTTTATCAATGGATTTTGAGTGTGTGTAATGATGGGTTTTGGGTGTGTTTATAAAGTGTTTTGGGTGTTGGGTTTTTTTATAATTTCAGCCCCCATTTTGGGTGTTTTAGTGAAACTCTCAATTTTTTACAGCTACACTCCTTGACCCTATATGAATACAATGACTAAATTTGATCTTCAATTTAAAATATTTACACTAGTGGATACCACAAAATCTTATGTTATATTTAACGAAAGTATAAATAAACTCTTAATTGTTAGTAAATACATTGTTTTGATGGCATACGCATTCAACGAAACTAGTTGCAACGATCCAACCGTCAAAATTGTTTGTTTATACTTTGAGATCACATACACCAAAAATCGGAAAAAATAAACATTCAGAGATCAAGTAATGAGACAAAACTTTTCGATGGTTATAAATGAAAAATCACGATTTAACGGTCATTTTAACTCCGATTTTGATGATTTTTAATAGCTACACTCCTTCACCCTATATGAATACAATGAACTAATTCGATCGTCAATTTAAACTATATATTTTCTAACCCCAATCTGAACTACAATAATATATTTTTCTAACAAAAATCCGATCCGAACTAAAATAATAAATTTAAAGCTACTTAATAAATACAAATACCGTTTAATTTCTTAAGTGTTATGCATGCAAAAATGAAAATAAAAAATTGGTTTAGGCGACAAAATGTTTGGATTACGTCATGCAAAGATTTTAAAAAATAAATTTTTTATTTTATTTATTTTTGTAAAGACTTTGCGCAATGAAACACACTTCGTCGCTCAAGACTTTGTGTAACGGAGTTTATTGTTTCGTCGCACAAAGTCACATTGAGCGACGATGCATTGTCGTCGCGCAAAAGCTTGTCGTGCAAAGTCACTTTGCACGACAAATTGTTTTTCATCACGCAAGAGTTTGAGCGACGAAGTTTTGAGTTTCGTCATGCAAAGTGACTTTGAGCGACGAATAGTTTTCCGACGCGGAAAATTTGGTCGCGCAAGGGTTTTTTTAACTAGTGAATGAAATTAAAGGACAAAACAAGTAGAAAGTCATGAAACACAAGATGATAAATTCAAATTGATAAAAGCACTAGGACAATGAATTCACCACTAGTAATCCGATCTATCCTCTTATTCACCTACCTATTTACTAACCATTTGATGTCGCCGCTTAGTTTTCATTTTTCATGAATTACCGATGGTATTTAGGCTAACTTGTATATTCCTACGTGCAATTTGCCTATGGTATTTGAGTGTACAAATTTCCCCACGAGAATATTTGATTGGAAAGATTCCCCTTTCTTCTTCGCCGCCTCCTTCTCCCTGCAAAATAGAACCAATAAGAGGACCACACTCGGGGGGTGTTGGCCAAAGGCCCTCCAATGCCTAAATTAGTTCAATTGAATCGTATAGAAAACAATAGCTAATAGGGTACGGAGATGTGTTTATGGTGTAAACCGGGCGGCCGAAGCCTTGTGTAAAAGAGAGAGAGAAAGGAGGTGGTTAGGGTTTGAGAGGAATTTTCTGCAGAGTTTCAGTAGGGATTTCAGACGTACCTCAACCCTTGTGTGTGGCCATGCTTTGATAGTGGTCTCGGAGGCTAAGGTTTCAGAGGAATAATTCCGTAGATGGAAGGGAATTATTCCTCCCCTATTTGGAATTGATTTGATTAATTAGGGATTTGATTTATTAGGGTAAATCAAATCCCTAATTGTGGTAGGTATCAAATGAAATCCCATTTTAATTAGGTAACTCCTCATTTAATTGGGAATCGTGGTAGGAATCAAATCAATTCTCAACCCAATTAGGTAACGTTCAATTTAATTGGGTAATCCCCAATTAAATTGAGTAACTCCCAATCAGGTTGATTAATTCCCAATTAGGTCAAATAATCCCCAAATGGAATGAATTATTTGACCTAGGGTTTTGATTTAATTTGGTTACCACAGTATTTAGGTCAAATATCAATACATAAAAACTCGATAAGATCAGTGAAAACCTTGAGTAAGCATGTAAACCCTAAGAGTATGGTATTTACCCTAGACGAATTACAAATCCTAACCACAAGAAGCAAGCCTCAAATTAAGTATGGTATTTACTCTAATTTGCATCCGATTAACTCAATTAAAAGTCTAGATGGTGATCAATCATCAAGATAATCAACCAAGTTATTAAGCACAGTGTTTAAGAATCCAACATCAAACGGCAATCAATAGATAGGGAAAATAAGAAAACTAGATTATCATACTAAGGCTACATCATGCCCTAGCAAAAGAAAATTAGTTACGCATAATCATAGAATTCGACATAAACAAAAACATAAGGAAGAAACAATCAAACTTAGTTAATTGCGGTACTCTTCTGGCATCTCCAATTTCTCCTAGTCTTTGCATGTCTCCCAAGGGAGTTGTTTCTCATGCTTAAATAAAACACCCCCCATCTATTCCTACCCTAGCTGGGCTTTTACAGCAGCCTAAGAATAAAGACAAACCTAATTAAAACATAAATCCAAAATGGGTAAGTAATTGACTCCTCTTCCTACTTTGACTAGGATAATACTTCAGTTACTTTGCACGCATGTTTGGGGTCGTTCCTCCTCCAAGAAAATTTGGAAAAAATATGTAAATTATAGATTTTTGTCTTATCTTTCCAGCCATATAATACGCCTTGAGGAAAAATCAGGAAAGTCTTCAAATACTCATTCTTCCACAGTAGCACAGTTTTGACGGGATTGCATCTTATGCTGACTTAACTTCAAAGACTGCTCTCATTGGCTACTCCGAAAATTTTAGAAAAATTCCACAATCATCTTCAAGATCTTAGCTTTCATCTCCAACTGGTCTCGTACTAAAACTCCACCAAAAAGTCGTATTTCCGTTGAAAACAAATTACTTGCTCTGGAAAGCTGAAAATTGAGAAAATAAAGTCATAAGTCCTTTTTAAACCAAATTCTCCAACAAAAACCAAGTATAAAGAGTACATAAATGTGTAAATTTATGGACTTATCAAGCACCATACCACATTTGTGCTTGCATAATCTATATATAAAAAAATATTGGAAATGCAAGAAACTTTCAAAAAAATATTGGCAATGCAACAAATATAAACAAAATAATGGAAATGCAAGAAATATTAAAAAAAAATATAGAAATTGCAAGAAACATTTAAATAAATATTGAAAATACAAGAAATATTAACAAAATATAGAAATTGCAAGAAACATTTAAATAAAAATTAATAGGACATTAAAATTAAAAAAACCAAAATTACAAATATTTTACCTCATTGCTAAGATTTTCCCTGTTTCTATGGTTGTCCATCGCTTTTGCCAAGGCATCTCTCCATTTTCCCAACTCTTTATTGAGAATTTTCCACCTACTAGATTATGCGATTTCCGTACGGGTCGAACTCAATTTGTTACAAAATTCGGTATGAATTTTTTTCCACATA